TCGTAATTAGTATTGCAATGCAATTCTAATATTACGTCAAAGTCATGTGACAATAATATAATATCGCATTGTTTCCTCTTAATGTGTTATTTATTATTTATAGTAAATTGTGAATTTATGTGTAACTAATTTGATATTACACCAAAATCGCAATTTTTTTATGAGCCACAATTAGTATAGTAACGATATATATTTTTATATTACATCAAAGTCGCATATACCAATAGCATAATGTCACATTGTCTCCCCTTGATAATTTATTTATAATTTATTAAATATCATAAGTCTTGAATTTGTGTATTGACTAGTTTTGTATTACACCAAAGTCATATTTTATCATAAGTCATAATTGGTATAGTAACACTATTTTGCTAGTACATCAAAATCGCACGTGTTAATAACATAATGTCATATAGTATTCCCTCAATGTTTTTTATTATTTATTGAAGTCCTTAATTTGTGTCGTATATAATTTTATATTACATCTAAGTCACATTTTATTTTAAGTCGCTATTAGTATAATAACTCTATTTTGATATACATCAAAATCCCATGTGTCAACAACATAGTGTCGACATTATTTTCTAACTATGTTTTATTTATTATTCATCATTAAGTCGTAAATTTGTGTCGTAACTATTTGATATTATGCTAAATTCGCATTTTATCATGAGCCATAATTAGTCAAGCAACGCTATTTTGATATTACACCAACGTCGCACGTGTCACTAATATAATGTTGCATTGTTCGGAACGAGGGAATTTGTGTATTAATTGTATCCAAATAATAAATACAAATAATTAAGAAACTCAATCTTTATTTATATTCCGATTATTATAATTATTGTAACTCTCTAATATTTTGAATGGATTAGGTTTCCCCCTCTGGAACTACCCCCCATTTCCCCACACCTCCTCCATGCGAGCTTCAGTGGCAATTGGGAAGAAAAAATTAGGGTTTTGGGAGAAGATAATCGCAACAGCTCCGCCGCCGCCGCCTGGAAAAGGAGGGACCCGGCAATGCCGAGAATGTTCAAGAAGACCTAACTAGCTCCTATTGTTTATTTTTATTTCACTTAATTATGTCATGTTCTTCTTTTATTAATTGTTACAAACATGAACATCACCCGCATGGCGCGGCCACAACGCTGCGCATGTGTGGTGGTGCCCGGCTACAGTCAATTGGCAATGTCTAAGGTTTTAAAATTTTAGTTAATTTTTTTGTTTGGTTAATTTTTTGCATCGCCGAAAACCAGAGATGAGAATGGCCGCTACCGGAGAAGAAAGGACAAGAATATAAAATAAAAATTACAATTGTATCCTATTAATGTTTTGTTTATTATTTATAGTAACTCGAGAGTCATTAACTAATTTGATATTACATCAAGATCTCAAATGTCAATAACATAATATCGCATTGTTTCCTTTAATGATTTATATATTATTTATCATTATGTCATAAACTTACATAGTAACTCATTTGATATTACACCAAAATCGCATTTTTATCATAAGTCATCATTAGTATAGTAACGCTATATTGATATTACATAAAATTTGCACATGTCAATAATGTAATGTCGCAGTATTTTCTCTCGATGTTTTATTTATTATTTAACATTAGGCCATAAAATTTTCCCATAGCAAATTTGATATTACATCAAAGTTGCATTTTATCGTAGGTTGTAATTAGTACATTAACATTATTTTATATTACATTAAAATCGCAAGTGTCAATAAGACAGTGACATATTGTTGCAGTCAATATTTTATTTATTACTTTTCATCAGGTGGTATGATTAAAAAGCATTTGATTAGGTGTCGGTTAGGAGGGGATCTTTAGTTCCATCCCGTCGGTTATTAGGTGTCATAAAAAATATCCCGAGTTTCAATACACATTAAATTGAATGAATTTTTATAAAATTATCGAAATATTCACTACAAAAAAATAATATATTTGTAACGAATTCCGTCCCTAAAGTTCACGTAGCTAACGTAATTCCATTCCTAATTCCGTCTCTAATGTCATTAGTAACGGAAAAAGTAAATTTAGAGACAAAAATATTTTGTTACAAAAATAATTTTTTCTCGTAGTGATTGTTTTATTACAATAGAATATTATTTTATGTATTAGTAAATTTGAAGTTCTTTTCTTTTTATGTCTCTCATTTTTTTTTCTTTTTCTTTGTTCAAATCTTTCTTTGTTCCAATCTAATGCATATAACAAATATGTTTCTATTTGAAATATCATATCGAATTATTTTTTTTAAATCTAAAAAATTACAAACACACAAACAAAACAATTAGTAAACAACCTCGATAAAATAGACGATGTCTAGGGCGGTGTCTTGATTTTTTACGGCCAGACAGGAACAAAAATTAGGGCCTTACTGGGCGGTTGGCGGCAATCCAGCACAAAACAAACAATGAAAACCGAAGAATAAAAGACAAAAAAAATCAAGTGTGATTGTAATTTATAAATATGAAATATTACATAGTCCAATTTTCGATGGGCCCTGGTTGGCGCTCCTTTCACTTGGCCTCAAGGCCGGCCCTGACGAGTACGTCTAAATGATTAATTTTATCTGAATAATAAATTTAAATGGTTAAAAAATTCAATCTCTATTTATAGTTCGGTTATTATAATAAATGTAACTTTCTAATATTTTGAACGGATTAGGTCGTATCGTCACAAAGTATACCGGTGGTAGCGGTACTGGTTATTAGGTGTAAAAAATTTAATTAAGAGGTTGAATAATAATGACTTAATTAAGGTGGTTTCTAAAATTTTGGTTGAAATTAATTAAAGAAAAACTCGAAAATATTTGGTCGTGAATTCATATCGTAATTAGTTTGGTGTTACACAAAACTCGTATTAATCGTAATTAGTATTGTAATGCAATTTTAATATTGCATCAAAGTCGCACGTGAAAATAATATAATGTCGCATTGTTTCCCCTCAATGTATTATTTATTATTTGTAGTAAATTGTGAATTTGTATTGTAACTAAGTTGATATTACACCAAAATCGCAGTTTTATGAGTCGCAATTAGTATAGTGCTGCTATATATTTTGATATTACATCAAAGTTGCACGTGCCAATAACATAATATCACATTGTCTCCCATCGATAATTTATTTATTATTTATTAAATATCATAAGTCCTGAATTTGTGTATTGACTAGTTTTGTATTACACTAAAGTCATATTTTACCATAAGTCATAATTGGTATAGCAACGCTATTTTGATGTTACATACATCAAAGTCACACGTGTCAATAAGATAATGTCATATTGTTTTTTCTTGATATTTTTTTATTATTTATTGTAAGTCGGTAATTTGTTTCGAATATAATTTTATATTACACCTAAATCGCATTTTATTTAATTTTAAGTCGCTATTACTATAATAACTCTATTTTGATTTACATCAAAATTCCACGTGTCAATAACATAATGTCGCATTGTTTCCTAAGTATGTTTTATTTACTATTTATTATGAAGTCGTGAATTTCTGTCATAACTATTTGATATTATGCTAAAGTTGCATTTTATCATAAGTCATAATTAATCTAGCAATGCTATTTTGATATTACACCAATGTCGCACGTATCACTAACATAATGTTGCATTGTTCGGAATGAGGGAATTCGAATTTGTGTATTAATTGTATCCCAATAATAAATATAAATAATTAAGAAACTCAATCTTTATTTATAGTTCAATTATTATAATTATTGTAACTCTCTAATATTTTGAATAGATTAGGTTTCCCCTCATCCAAGGCTGGAGGTACATCAAAGTCATGAAACTATGTCCTTAACTAATTTGATATTACGTCAAAGTCGCATTTTATAATAAGTTGTAACTAGCATAATAATTATTTTGATATTACACCAAGGTCGTATTTTATCATAAGTTGTAATTAGTATAGTAATGTTATTTAGATATTACACTAAAGTCGCACGTGTAAACAATAATATAATATCGCATTGTTTCTCTTCATTGGTCTTTTATTATCTATCGTAAGTCTAAATTTGTATCATAACTATTTTGTTATTAAAACAGAAAAAGTTACATCTTATCATAAGTCGTAATTAGTCGTATATATAATAGTGTTATTTTTATATTACATCAAAGTCGTACACAGGGCCGGTCTTGACTTTCGTAGGGCCCGGAACAAAAAAAAAAGTATATAAACCTCTAAATATATATAAATAATATGTTTTTATTTATAATAAAATATAAATAATTAAATAAAATAAATTTTTAGAATTTTTAGATGAAAATTAGTATAAAAAATACTTTTAAATGTTTGAAACATATAGAATTTAAATTAAAACCTCAATATTAAAATTAATTTTTATACCACCGAATCACAATTGTTTTATTTATATATATCAAATAAATTATATATATATAAAATATAAATATATAATGAACTTTCTATTTTTACGGTGGGTCCTGGGCGGGCGCCCTTCTGGCCGGGTCAGGACCGGCCCTTGTGGCACATGTCATCTAATATGCATATGAGTATTTCTATAGGTATTAATGTAAAATTATATGGGCGGGCCCAAAAATTTCTTTAAGAGGTTTCCGTCACATTGGACTCCAAATTATTTTGGTGGTGAGATCGAACGTTAGGTATTAATTTAAAATTTTAGTGAGTTTGCGGTCCAAAATCTATATGGACGGATCTAAAAATTTCTTGAAGGGGTTTCCATGCTACTTGGACCCCAATATTCGACACCCACCCCCCACGCATATCTATATATATATATATATAATAAAGTGAATGTGTATTTTAATATCAAACCTTTATTGCTGACTTTAAAACACATTACTAGGATGCAATTCGCCAATTTTATTTTTGCAATTTTTATTTTAGCCTTTTTTTGGGGGTGTAGGGTTTCTGAATCTATAAATATTTAATTATTTTTCTTCATATTAGTAATTACTTTCCATTTTAATTGGCAAATTTTCTCTCCTTTAACTATCTCAATTATTGCAATTTCCATCGAACCTAATTTTACATTCCAAAAAAAAAAAAAGAGAGAGAAACTAGTTGTTCATTCTACAAATACATACACGCAGGAAATTAAATTTCAAGCCATAGTGCAGTAGTAGTAGTAAAAGTGTCTAAGGAATTATTACACAAACATATGAAATACCAACAACAATTATTGGTGCAACAATTAATTAATGTCATGTAAATACATATAATACAAATCGATCAATCTTCAATTGACGGCGCGGCAGGAGGTTCTGACCTCGCCATTGGGGCCTTCCTTGACATCCATGGTCCCCATCTTCACCATGGCCTGCTGGAAATCCAAGAAGAACAGAGCCTGGTTCATGGCGTAGCCGTTGACGAACCCCCGCGTGGCGGCGCTGGCGAACAGCGTCTGGTCGGAAAACAGCACGCCGGCCCTCATCTGCAGCGCCCTGAAGTAGTTGTTGTCGAAAGTGTTCTGGCTGAAGTCCAGCGCCTGCGCCGCGCTGTCGCCGCCGGCGCTGCAAGTTTTCGACAGCGTCCGGGCGAACTGCGCGTCCATGGTCGGGTCGACGTCGTTCGCCGCGTCGAACTTGCTCAGCCGGCTCTTGAACGACGAGCAACGCGCCACCCCCAGCGTGTGGCCCCCCGACAGAGCCACCATTTGCTGCGCCGTGAAGCCGCGCTGACCGAACATTCGGATCAGCGCCGAGCTGTTTAGCGTCGGCGCCGGCAGGTTTATCGTGTCTTCGATCTTCGATCTTCTTCCGTCTTTCCTTCCGTTCGGGATGTCGTACACCGGCCCTCCAGCCTAATTAATTAATTAATTACGATTAATTACGATTTCCATATTTAATTAATTAATTATTGAAGAAGTACTTACAAAGAAAACTGCATCTCGAGCAGCCATGGCGAGGATGTCAGCGCAGGAGACGATACCAGGGCATTGTTTTTCGAGAGCTTCCTTGGCGGCGTCGATGATTTCGTATCCTCTCAGGCTCAGATTCGCAGGAGAATCTTTCTCTGCCGTGTTGCCGCTTGTCGAATCTATCAGTATGCTTCCATCACAACCCTAATTTAATTAATCGAATTCATACAAAATCAAAATCAATTAAATTAATCAAGCATTACAATTAATCTAATCATACATACAGGAGAATTAATATAAGGCTAAATTGCACAAAATTTACATTTAGTTTCATGAACTCTAAAACTATGTGAAACTCGGTTTCATAAACTCTACGTCTAACCTCTTTGTCGATCATTATCGGTATTTGCCATAAATGTGCCCAAACTTCCAATAAATTTTAGGATCTTTATTTCTAAACCTTTAAAATTACAAATATATTCATTTTTATATATTTAATCTCAAAAATAGTAAATATACTCAAAATTTTAGGGGTTTTAGAAATTAAAATTCTAAAATTTATTCACAGGGGAGGTTACATGTATAGTTTATGAAACCGAGTTTGACGCAATTTTAGAAATAGGAGGATTTGACACAATTTCGTAAAACAACAAGTGAATTTTGTGCAATTTAGTCTTAATATAATTACCTGAATAAAGCAGTCGTGGAAGTGCATCCGGAGAAGAGCTCCCGCGAGTGTGGGATCGGACTGCAAAGCAGCATTGACGGTGTTCTTAACGACAAACTCCGCCATGGGACACCCGGCGGCGTAGTAGTAGTTCATGCTCAGGCCATTGGCCCCCCACCCTCCGTACGGCCTCTCCCCACTCACCATCATCATTATCATCATCACTGCCAGCATTCCACCTCCAAACTTCATATTCTTGTTGTGATAGTTGCTCATCACTGCAACTCCAATGGACCTGATTCCCTGCATCCTACCTACCTAATTAAGCCTCAATTAATCAATTATATATGTGTTTGCCTCTTACAGTGATCAGTGGATTCGTATTTATAGTAGTAGAAAGGTAAGGGGGATAGTGCAGACAATGCATGGGGAGAAATGATTGGAGGGTTTTCAGATATATCGACTTTTACAAATTAAAGGGATTGTTTATTTCAAGATTTGACTTATTACTGCAACTAATTTGTTGCTTTTGAATTTTGTAATTAACTGTTACTTTTTTAGATCGTTTGACTTTAAAAAGAACTAATTAAGAGATCTAGTAGTGATCAGAAGAGAGAAGCCATGATTCGTAAGTTTACTAATACAAAAAGATGATCACTAGATATCATATGTACTTGTATAAATAATTGTAATTAATTATAGGTTTCTTGATCAACTCTACCTCACTTAATTTCAATAACAATAATAATAATTGTTTCATTAGAAATCATGGAGTATATAGTGTTTAAATCAGTAAATAATTAGCTGGTGGGTGGGAGCAGGTAATTAATTAGAGATAATTGGAAGCAGTGGGAAGTGAAGAGATAAAGCATTAATAGGTCAGATTGATCATCCGAGATAATGCCACATATATAATCCACATATATATATATATATATGTGTGTGTGTGTGTGTCCAGTGGTGGAAGAATTAATTAAGCAGCAGTCCAAAAGTAACCTAATTAACTAATTAGTGAATCGTTACATCAGTGTAACTATATTGCATGCATGGCGCAATCACGTTTTCATTATATTATTAATAATCCATATTGTTACTGTTATGAATAATACTAACATATACTACTATATTGATAAATTAATTAATGATAAAGATGATTATGATCGTAAATGGGGCGGCTGTTTGTGACATGCAGCTAATTGTTTCTTTACTCTCTCTCTCTCTCTAGCTCTCTCTCTCTCTAGTCTCTATGTAGTGTATAAAATGGTGGGAGGGGAGACAGAAGTCAAAGATGGAAGTGGAGGATGGTTGTAGTGGAGAACAGAAATGAGCTGGTTCCCACCACCCCACCCCACCCCACCCCACCCCACTCTAAGAATACATATATAATTACAATATGGAAGGAATAGTGGAGAGAACTCTGTATAGTAAGCATGCATGCATTCACTCAGTAGTGCTCCCAACACGCTTCTACTCATCTTTTTCTATAAACTTCAATTCCAAATTTCCAATACTTGTACAATGTGATGATCATGTATATCCCATTTATCTCTCTCTCTCTCTCTCTCTCTATATATATATATATATATAGATGCACACGTGTTAATGCTTGTGTGAGAGAGGGGAAGATTAATTGTCCCACAGTCGAGATGCATAATTCAATCTATAGAAAAGATAACAAATTTACAAGTTTCAGACATATTAAAAAATATATAAATTAGGGTTTCACCAACCAATCTTAATATGCATTTGATGATGATGATGATGATGATAAATTCAACCTCGGACATAATTAACTACGTCATGCTATGCCAAGTGTACTGAAAAAAGTCCCATAAGAGATGGTCATCGATTCAAACTCGCACGCCTTCAACCGGCTACACATAGTTCGTCTAATGTGACTTAATTTATCAGACCTAATTTGTAGGATATTAAGTTCGGCAAAAAATTTTCCGGTGGACACTTTCGGATAACTGCTGCAATTTCTCGCGTTATAAAAAAAGAATTGTGTAATGAAAATTAATATTGTTGACAATCTTCCTGAATTCAATTCTTAAAAAAGACTTGTGTAATGAAAATTAATATTGTTGACAATCTTCCTGAATTTAATTCTTATGATTAATTGATCTGTGATCTGCTTGGTTAATTATTACTGTCATATTGGATTCAGTGCAACTGAAGCAACAGTTATCATCATCAGATCAGATCATAAAATAGACATCATTAATTACCCATCGAACTCTTGATCAACTTAATTGATCTCCCATAGCAGGCCTTGTCATATATCATTCACCTCAATTAACAATTACCTACTAAAATTTAATTAACCTTAATCAAATAATAAATAAATAAACAGAAGCACCAGAAATGCACAAGCCTTGCTTGTTAATTATCTCTAGGAACATCGATCATCATATCCTCTCCCCAACTCACTATTGTATTATTGCTCATCCCCTAAATTATTTTCAGACATGTCACAAATTATTATCATCTATTATAAAATGATTAAATAAGTAATACGATGAATTAATACATTAGTAATACTCAGTCTTACGTGTTCGTTCTCTCGATTAACAAAATTTCTTACAAAATCTAAAACATTAAAAGAATACAAAATCTGTTTTTGTATTAATGAAAATTGTGCATAAATAAATTATTTTGACCAATATAAAGATGGATTATAATTATATAAATTTTGTATATTAGTACATTTATAAATATAATTATTTTCTCGTTAAGAACAAAGACAGGAATAGTAATAAACGACCGGCCAATATGTGCTATCTTATCCACACATGACACATCAGTTATCGTATTCAGACTTTCAGTAGTTTCTTGACCAAATAAATACAAACTCTTGGAAGAATAATAGCATGAAAGTGATGAAATAAATTGGCAAGACATTCTGAAATTGATTAGAAGTTGCCCAGCAAAGAATATTCAAATATTTAAAATGCAATAATTTGCTTACTCACTTTTAGTATTATTATTTTATCAGTCTCTATTTCTATTTTTTTTCAGAAACATTTTACTCCTCATCCTTATAATTGAACCAAAATTTCGTTATACAAATAATATTGTGGCAAAGAAATTTTAAACTATTTAATGGATAAATGACATCAGTGAGTTCAAAAAATATACATGCGCACACATATATATATATATATTAATTTTAATTTAAAAGTAACACACAAATCGTATCGATCACTATTATTAAAGGTGTTTCATGCAACATATTTTAACACAATTAGATATTATATGTTATGTAATTGAAAAAATACATATGATTTATATCTTAGTAATATTTACCCAAATTTAAATTATGTAGTTTAGATTGGTTGGAAGAATAAGTCAAGTAAACATGTAACTTCAAGGAAATTTTTTCATTGTTACGTCCAATCATTTTTAAACAAGAAGCTTAAATAAATTAAGTCATAGTCATTGCCCATTTAATAAAATCAAAATTAAAGTTGACAATGTTAAAGTCATTGTCCATTTAACTTTCGCAGGAGGTTCCAAATGTCTAATTTTATCCCTCACATTATTTATTGCCATAGATTCATAGTTATCTAATATATCTCCAAGTATAGAGATAATTTATATATCGATCCCAAAGGATATTCAAACCTTTTGAGTGTGAAAGGTTCGATGGATAATAAGCTGCTGACAATTTTTTGTGTATTTGTATATTGGATTAATAATATCGATTTGTTGGAGGCCAAAATTAGGCACTACAGATGGGAAGTGAAGTACGAGTTCAAGTCACCGGATTGCTACCGGAAACTTGCTATTACCATCAACGGGAGGACGCCGGGACCGAGCATTGTTGCGCAGCAGGGGGACACCATCGTCGTCGAGCTTAAGAACAGCTTGTTGACTGAAAATGTCGCGATTCATTGGCATGGGATACGCCAGGTGATTTCTATTTTCTTTTGATTATCGTCGATATTGGAATTCTTGCTCTGAAATAAAAAAGAAAAAAAAATTGGAGTAATTTAATATTTAATTTCTGGAATGCTAAATGAAGAAGTTTTAATCTATAATTTGTGTTGTGTTTTCATTTTCTTATCGGATATTCTATGTTTTGAGTCTTACCGTCCCTATTCGTCATTATTCACGTGAAAGATTCATATGTGGTGTAAATTCACTTTGGAAGTGTGGGTGACAGTGCATATATTGGTTGACTATATAATAATTTATTTTTTAAAAAATATATATATATATCATATTATACATCAATTCTATATTCAATTCTATATTATATATTACATATCATTTTTTAACATATATCCCACATTGGGATATTTATCATGTCCTACATACCACAAAGAAACATAAGCATGAAAGGATGAGTTGGTCACTTGAAAATAAACACACTCGTAGTACTATTTAATGAATTATTCGACATGATTAATATTCCTACATGATTGCAGAGAGGAACACCTTGGTTTGATGGGGCAGAAGGAGTGACTCAGTGTCCAATTCTCCCTGGTGAAATATTTGTCTACAAATTTGTTGTGGATAGAGTATGAATCCCTATCCTATCCTATCCAATCTTTCGATTTAACTTAAAAACATTCATCCATGGCAGATTCATTACATAGAAACATTGGTTTGTTTTGCAGCCAGGAACATATATGTATCACGCACACTACGGAATGCAAAGAGTCGCCGGTCTCTACGGCTCAATCCATGTTTCACTTCCCGACAGCGAGTCGGAGCCCTTCCGGTATGACTACGATACAAGTATAATCCTCATCGATTGGTACCACAAGAGCGCGCAAGAACAAGCCGTCGGCCTGTCTTCCCGTGACTTTGTTTGGGTCGGGGAGCCGGAGGTACGTAGCTCAAAAACTTTCACTTGTCGATTTTGAATGACTATACAATATATTCCTGTCGTCTCATTACTAAGTATTTATTTATTTATTGCGTATTGATCTTTGAATATTAATTATTATATCAAAACGTATTACAAATCAAAAGAAAATGACAAAAATACTTTTATTAATGTCTTATAATACTTAATATAATGTACAAAAATTTATACAAATATAAGAATATTTTTAATGTTAAGTACAATTATGCAAATAGTAAATGAATATCTTGTTATGGAATTGATGGAATATAATGAATGAAGGATGCATTTTTTTATCAGCTTAAACTTTGATATGAGACGGTCATTTAACAGAAACAATACGACTTTTTGTAGTTGCTAACAATTTGCTTCTTCTTACATCCTCAAGTCGATTTTGATACAAGGCAAGGGAAGATTCGAATGTAACGCATCGGGCATTGGAGTCGGATTGTGCAATGCTACTAACATCGAGTGCTCGCCGTATGTGCTAACGGTTTTCCCGGGAAAAACCTACCGGCTACGGATTGGAAGCCTAACCGGTCTATCAGCTTTGAGCTTCGAGATCGAAGGACATAACATGACCGTTGTTGAATCCGACGGTCATTATGTGGAGCCATTTGTGGTATCAAACTTGTTCATTTATTCGGGTGAGACTTACTCGGTGCTGATTAGAACTAATCAAGATCCTTCAAAAAACTATTGGATTAGCGCGAACGTTGTGAGCCGTAATAGCACCACCCCGAATGGATTAGCCGTTTTCAACTACTACCCGAACCACCCCGAAGAAAAACCACCAACAACTCCTCCCACGGGGGTGCAATGGAATGATGTCTCGTCGCGATTTGCCCAAAGTTTATCCATTAAAGCGCGCAATGGCTTCGTCATACCTCCTCCTCTAACACCCAACCGCGCGATTATCTTGCTCAATACGCAAAATTTGGTTGATGGATATGTTCGATGGTCGGTTAACAATGTCTCATTTAATCTCCCTACCACGCCTTACTTGATCGCGTACAAGAAAAAGTTGTTGCACGTATTCGAGCAAAATGAACCACCTAGTGGCTACGACAGTGTAGGGTACGATATCTACAACGTATCCAACAATGTGAATGCCAAGCTCGGAAATGGAGTGTACAAGTTAGGTTTCAATACGACGGTGGATGTCATCTTGCAAAACGCGAACATGATGAAGCCTAATAATAGCGAGACGCACCCGTGGCATCTACATGGCCACGACTTTTGGGTCTTGGGCTACGGCGCGGGCAAGTTCAACGTGTCTAGCGATCCTAGCAAGTACAACTTGGTTAATCCTATTATGAAGAACACGGTGCCTCTACATCCGTACGGGTGGTCGGCGATAAGGTTTCGCGCCGATAATCCCGGGGTTTGGTCGTTCCATTGCCATATAGAGTCACATTTCTATCTTGGCATGGGGATAGTTTTTGAAGAGGGAGTTGAAAGAGTTGGAAATTTGCCTACATCGATCATGGGATGTGGTGAGGCCAAAGCCAAACCATAGGATTGATTTATTGTTAAACTATTCGTTTGTTTACTTATGTTTCCAAATTATATAATATTTTGTAAGATTTTCAATCTCTAGAATATTAAGAGAGAATTCAACCGTTTTAACTATACATCCTCGTCTTTCTTTTAGTTTGGATAGAAACGTTTCTTTCTTCCACTTTTGACTCATTAGTTTGGACCCAATGGGTCATAACTATTCATGTAAGTGATTACATAAATTTATATGTTAATGGCAAAAAAAATAAAAATGTATTGTGTTGGATACATTTTGTGAATTGCATTAAGAAAAGTGGATGGTGGCCACCCAATCCAATTGTTGCTCATTGCTTCTTTTTTTTTTTTTTTTTTGGTACCTTGTACTTTATCTTTTCCCAAATATTCCTCCAACAATACAAAGTGGAATGCTTTACATGTTTGCTCTCTCTTTTATTTTTTATTTTTCAATCCCTTTTTTATTTAATAAAACATTGCTCGGATATATATATTCAAGAAGATTTTAAATGTAGTACAAATACAATTCTCACTACTCTCTTCCAAATTTGATGAGGGTTATGATCGATTATGAATAAAGATTAATTGATTATGCAATGAATTTTATATGAAATACGTCCTTTATTTAATTAAATGAAAATAAGATTCTAGATATGATTCATCCTAATATTTGAAAACATAATAGCTTGTGTTGACATCATGCAATGGTCATCACTTAAAAGCTTGAATTAATAATAAAAATAAATTATAAAAAATTAAATAACATGCGAAACCTTTTCAATTATATTTATTTTGCTTAATACTCAGTAATTGTGTTTAATATTTATCTTTTGTTTATTTTATTTGAAAAAATAAATAAATAACATGCGCAACCTTTTGAAAGTGTTTTTGTCCTAGAAAGTTGGTCGATAAAAAAATGACAGAAGAATATTCTCAGCTTGAACTCCTCTAATGCATTTGTGCCAATAATTTGTTTTCTTCGATTACTTTGAAACTTATAAATATTTAGTTGTTCTTTTAACTTCAGTTTTCGTTTTCATTAATAAAATTATGTTTGATATTGATCAACAAATTTTCTTCAATTATAGCATAAAATAAGATGGTTAAAAAAAGAAATGAGTATATGCAAATTTGCTTACCTATTTAATTAATTAACCTAATTGTTAATTTACTACACGAACCCCTTGAATACATCAAACTCATAAACACACACTTTCCCTCTTCTTGAACATATCAAATAACATACATTTAATTTCAACCATATATAAAATGGTATTCAATTCCCACATCATCCATAACATAAATTAGGACAAATGTGGTGACAAAACACAAGCATCAAACTAATAAAACAAAATTAGCTGATCAAACACATTACTACCTTTATTACAAACCCTTAGCCAGCTTGTTAATTTTTTTACATTATATTACATGCATTTGGATTGTCATCACTGAACATGTCCATGTAAGGCTCCTCGTTCTTGACAAGTGTTGATGTCGCCGGAGGATTGTCCACTTTCCTGACAAATCCCGGAGGCGCCTTCTTGTCGTATGCCTGAGGCGCATACGGCTGAGCAACAAGGTTGTATGGGACATATGGCCAGATCTCCGCCTTCTTCCCCGTCGCCTTTGCTTTCTTTAGAACCTTACTTTGATCAATAAAGCCCGTCACGGTTACCTTTTGTTGCTTCCTATTTATTTCCACAGATTTAACTCCTGAATGATATTTTTTGTGAGAATACACAGTGATTAAATAATCTAATGAGCAAATACATTAGGCATAGTCAAATTGTCCTATATAGAAAAGTTATGGAGGGAATTATATATTTCTGCATTTTATGAACTTAATCATGGCATTTGGTGTCATCCAAAATTGAATATTTTGAGGAAAGGGTCCCTTTTCTACAAGAAAAAACAAAAGTGATGCAAATAAATACAAAATGTTGATTACCAAACACAATAATCATCTAAGTATTGTTTGAATTATTCATTCATTCAAATTAAAGCAAAGACATCGATCGTGTTTTGGTGTGTTTTGAAAATAATAAACATTTTGAATTAAAGTATGTATGTTGATTGTATTTTTATGTGAAAATGTCATTTAGTCGAGATGTCCTGTGTAAGTCACTCGCACATGAGAGATGTATTGGCGGCTATATAAATAGATATTTAATGTAATATTTTTATAATATACGAAGTGATAGTCCGAATAATGTGTGTTCGTTTGGATATTTTGATTGTGTTCTACTATTTACAAGTTTTTTTCAAAAATATTAAATAAAATAATTGTTTTTAAAAAAAATAATATAATATTAAAAATTAATTTTATATTCAAATTTTTACTATTGAAATCAAAATTCAAAATGAATCCCCCAAACAAACATACCCACTTAGGGTTAAAAAAAAAAAATCAAAGAGAGAGAGATGTGGAAGAGAGTAATGAGTTAGAGGAAGGTACGTACCAGTGAGAGAAGAGAGGGCATTCTTGACTTTAAGCTCACAGCCATCACAGTCCATTCTGACCTTCAGATTCACTGTCTGCAGCTGCTTCCTCTTCTTCTTCCTGCTGTGCTTTTGGGCACTGCTCACCAGATCAGATATGTATTCCAGCGTTCCTGAAACACCCATTTTACTTACTGATATAATTTTATGCTTTCAGATTTCAATTTGATCGGCTTTTAATTATTTTCAAAGTTTTAAGGTTAATTAGTTCAGATCATCCATATACATATATATATATATATATAGAGAGAGAGAGAGAGAGAGAGAGGACTGAATGAATAAAGATGAAGAAAGAGATCGAAGAGAAGCAGCTTCAGAAAATTGGTAGAGAGACTGCTTGTGTGTGTGTGTATATATAGAGACATTTTTAAATATATATATATATATACATATATATGCAGCAGGTAAAGTTGCAGGTGGCCCCTCAGGGTAGGGTACAAATAATACATACATATGTGTATGTATATATATAATAGTACTAATAACCATGAGGATTACTTTAGTTTAGTAGCAGCATACGACCAAAGTACAAACACATCTAGGACAACAATAATAATTTTCTTTAACATTATTCAGCCATTGTCGTATAATATTACAAACTTACAATATGCCAATTTATATGTATTGCTATAATTTTCTCTCTTTTTCTTTTATTTGAGAAACATGTCGTTACTCTTCGAATAATATATATACCGTAGACCGATAAAACGTAAAAATTGAACTCATAACCTCACTATCATAAATTCATCCCACAATGGATAATATTAATTCCTTTATTAAGATAGTTTTCATTTCATAATGAACTACTTCAATTGATCATTACGTTGGTAATAGTCCTTATGTTAAATCAGATTGTTGGGGGTGACGTAATGATTAAATAAATTTAAGAAATTTAGGATTATGGCCAGATATTATGCAGTTGAATGATTTTCAAATTCACCAAAAGTTAAGCACTGTGAGAAAGTGACACAATTATAGTATTTTATTTTATTTTATTGCTAAAAATTGGGTCGTTGCTGATAAGGTGATTTTAACCTAACAATTCTTTATATTTTGAAGGTAACCTTTAGTGTTGACTTAATTTTAATTGGCCACTCACAAAGATGTCTTTAGTTGTATGTTTTTATAATGGGAATGGTTTGCTCTGATTTGGAGAAATTTATCCGGACATCATACATAAAACAATCATATAACACAGATAAAAATAAATATATTGTGTAAAACAAATTACTCCCTCTATCCTATAACAAAGTATCCATTTTTTTATTTTAGTCCGTAACGTAATAAAATATTCATTTTCTTTTTTTAGTAACTGTACTGTCTACTTAACATTACAAATACCCTTTCAATTTACAATATATTACACAAATGTCATTACCTTTATATCACACATACTAACAGATATAATACTAATATTTCTAAAACTACGTGCAAAAATCAAATAAATACTTCTTTTTTAGACGGAAGAAGTGTATATTTTCTATTTATATTGGTGTGTTATACATAAATAATTATATGGTAGAATCGAAGGTATTATGCGAGACTGTATCATATGTATATAGTTTATTTATGTGATGTATAAATTATACTCTTTTCGTCTCAGAAAATGCGTCTTATTGGGTGTCTACACAAAAATTAAAAATAATAATATTTAATTAAAAATTGATATAACGTATAATAATTTGAGTAATAATTATGGATAATTTAAAAAAATTAGAATAATTTTATTAGAAAGTGGATACCATAGTTACTAAATACAAAAATATGACCATTGTTATAGGTGGAACGAAAATTTAAAAAAAAAAATAAAGACAACTGTTTGGGGATAGAGGGAGTATGTTTATTTGTTGTGCTGAATTTTAGGCACATTAACGGCCGTTTATTATTATATATTTGCATTACTTATTAATTCAAGTATCTAAAGACCATCCACATATTTTAGCCCACAAACTTCCCACTATATTGAGTATCATTTTACCATTTGTATTTTTTATAGAAAATAATAGTTCATTATAATATTTAAATAAAAAAAATCATTAAATACATTTTTTCAAGAAGAAATTAAACCTTTTAATTATAGTCTATTAAATTTTGGTCTATATATTTCGAATATGCTGAAATATTATTATTTTAATATATATATATGTTATTATTATATGGTGAGGTTGATGATGCAATTGATGAACTCATCGATCATATTTTGGCATAACTGACACGATACGTACGTAGTTAATTATTTCTTTTTCAATTCACCTCCAAAATAAATGAACGATGGAAAATATTGCCCGCAACTACACTACACTACACTAAATGTATGAGTTATACTAATATTTTATTAAAAAAAAAGTAAATATTTATATTGATAGTTTTTAAAATAATACTACTATAGAAAAATGATGTCAAAACTAAAATTAGAATTTATCAAAACATAGGCTTTTAACTTTTTTTAAAAAAAGTAAAGTCGAAATTCACAATTTATTATTTTTTAAATACGTACCGTAAATCTTTAGCCGGACATAATAGCCTCTAAATTAAACCAATAAGTCTACGTCTTGTCATTTTTTGTTGTTCAAACATAAAATATTTATTTTTTTAGCAGTATGGACTTCACTGCACATTACAAGTATCTTCATATTTACACTTATTTACATCAATATTTTCACATTAACTTTACACATTACGGAGATAAAATACTTTTTATATATAAAAACGATATTTATATTTTTTTAAGTAGACAAAGGAAGTATATTAAACATCTATTTATATTACAATATTTTAATTTAAATGTATACTATTTTTCAAACCCTAAACCCTAAACCAAAATTGGAAAAGTGAGTATGATAGAAAAATATTTTAAATATTTTATATACCACACAAAACATTAATATTTTGTGAAGTAATAATAATAATAATAATAATAATAATAATAATAATAATAATAATAATAATGTTGAATTAAAATTTAAGGATGTTCATGTATGTATGCATACATATTAAATTGCAAGAATGATAAGGACATGTTTGGTTGGGAAGAAACAGATACAGCTGGCATTAATTAAATTGTGATTGATAGAGTCCTGTAACCATAACATAACATAACATAACATCATTTACCCTATTTTTTCCTCTTCTTCCTTCCCTTTATTTTATTTTATTTATAATATAATCTTTATCATTTTTTATATAAATACATTATATTTTTTTTTCCCAAAAATATAGTAACAAGAGTAAATGAATCAAAGATTGATACTAGTATGCTTCTTTAACAACGGAATCTACCTATCATTTTTGAGATATTTAAAAAAATAATAATAAAAACTTTATTCTTATATAAAATTTTCCAAAAGTTTTTTTTTTTTTTTCTTTTGCCTTGTATTCAATGCACGTCAAGAACTTAATCATACATCATTTCAAAATTTTCCAATAATTCAATCCTAGTTGAAAATAATTTGGCTAGTTAGGCACTTGTAATATCATATTTACTTATTTGTTATTTTATTTTAGATCTTGAAAGATTGTAGTAGATATTTTTGAGGAGCAATTATTTACTTGCAACTTCCCATCAAATATATTATACTAGTATTGTTGTTCAATCAAATTAAAGGAGGCAAACACTAGGTTTCAAATTATTATAAGGCTATTTGATAGGATAGGTTAAAATATCTCTCTATCCCTATAAAGGTAACTATGACAAAATAATTTACCTCAATGGGCAAAAGTGAATGGTGTAGGGCTCTTACATGGTACTAATTTTATTGAGACAAAATGTAGTACCAAAAAATCAAAGTAATTGAGCAATATTTTGAAAGCCCATGTCAAAACTTTTGGAATATAATAATATAGCTAAACTAGGGGTTGGGGTGTAGGGAATCTTTACTTATATATATATATATATATATATTCATTTATTTTATCTAGGGGTTGCATTTATCTATCATGTATGACAATGGAAAACAGAGAATGACCACTACCAGTAGATAAATAGCCAAAGTTTCAATCAATAAAGGGAGTTGTAGGTTCACAAAACAAAGAGGGCTTCATTGTCACATGCCTTTATTTACTTTCATTCTTTCAAACTTGAAGACTTAAATCATCATCAAGAATTCAATGTCATCTCCCTATTGTACTATAAAGTACTATGTAAAATTTCTTTTTAAAAAAAAAAATTAAAAAAAAAAAAGATTATATAGAAGAAGAGTAAGCTATTAATGATAAAATTAGTACCTAACTGTGACATTACTCATATAATAGAGTACATATTTTTATATGTTATATAAAAACATATGCTTTATAATTTTTATATTATTCTACTGTAAATGTAAATATGTTTATTGTGTTAAAATCAATAATATACAGAGCATAATATATATAATAGTCCACATAACTAGGAATATGATTGATCTCAACACAAGATAACTAGCCATTCTCTCTCAGTATGAATGATGCATACATAATAGTACAACATCAAAATTGAAAATAAATTACACAAATTTTACAGACTACTACACAAATTACTCTCTCTCAAAGTTAAAAAATAGCCTAGATTTCGACTACGAGACTGAGAATCAGAATTTACATATATAACTACCAATCAACACCATGTTGGTTTTCATATATATATTATGAGATGTGTGCGATTAAAAACAAGAACAGATTCACCAAACCTGACAAGCATGAGGCCGAGGACTTGGAAGGTGTCCTTCCAGCAACTGCCGGAGCGACAGCACGGCCATTGGCTCCACCTTGTTGCGCCGTTGTGGGCAGGGAATTAGGGGAGTTGCTATTACCTGATGAGTTCAACGGGGCGCCGTCTTCGTAATCAAGATCTTGGCCTGATCAAATGTACATAGTGAGAGATTAACAATTGCCCAATACCCTCCTGCTCAAGAATAAGAAAGTATCCCAGAAATATTTTAAGTAAAGATCTTAATTAATTTACTGACAATTTGAGCGCAACCAGCCCAACTTGAAATTTTCCCTATCGAACACAATCTGGTATCCAGTCATGAAGTTCTCTGCAAAGGACAAGGATAATTAGAGGAGAAAGTTTCTCTCAACTGTGTTGAATTAAAAGGTCATGTTGCCTTACGTCCAATTGTCCCAATGTTTTCTTGCGTCGGTTGTATTGCTAAACAAAATCCAACGGCACCCTGTGCCAAGCATGTCAACATTGTGAGGAACTTTAATCCAATGCATCAATTTAAAAAGTAGTACAGAGGTATTCTTGCAGCGCCAGCGAAATGTTTTCATCAAACATACAAAACACCTAAGCCTAATATCAGGCATTTCCACATTAAGAAGAAGTGATCATCGAAACAATTGTACCAAGTTAATCAGATTGATTTTAGTGTTTAAAATCCATAAGATGTTATCCAATGTCTACTAGATGATTAAGTCGATAGTAATCTGATTCTGCTGACTCGTTATGGATAATCAAATAAAATCAGGGCATCAAAGCATAACACTAACAAAATATACAGAATATTTGTGACAGTTCATAACAAGTACGGGTCTACCTTGGTGCCGTAGATCATCAAAACAGGATTGCTGACAATGAAACCGCTGGATGTTGCAAACTTCAGGGTCAACGTAGGAATCTTTGGCATTTCCTGAGAGCTGTTAACCATAAAACAACGAACTGTAGAATTGTAGTAGACAATATATGATATCGAGTGGATTGAATTTTGAATTCCCTATGGAAGACACACCTGGACTCGTAACAATATTGCCAAGGATAACCTGGAAAGCTTGCTTTTGAAGCATTTAGTTGTCTATCAAACTACACGCAAAGCAGTAAAACAAACTCAAGGTTACTGTAGACTTGTCCAAACGGTTCTGAACCACAGGTTACAGTTTCTTAATATGTCAAACCTTCTAAATAATGATTCCAGATTTAATAGGGCCAGTTTAAGTTCAAAACTGCTGGTTAAGGTTCGACAGCCTGTTTTTAATTTTTATTTCTTTGGGCTTCTTTGTAGATTTTTAACTAGGCATAATTTTTTCCCTCTAAATAGATCAAATCAATATATATTTTTCAATTTTTATATTATACTAAAAGTTAATTTTATATTCAAAAAATTACATCAAAAGTATTTATATCAGGTCAAAAAGCTAATTCAAATTCAAAATTTTACTATTCAAAACTCAAACCCCAAACAAACACACCCACAGTTTTTTCAATTTTGGTTTGGACGGATTTAGTTTAATGGTCGAACCGTTTGGATAAGTCTAGTTACTGCAGACAAGAAAACAGAATCACAGATGAAACTGAAAAAGAATGCAGTGAATAAAATATACCTCGTCAGCCACTTTCTTATAGATTTGATCTGGGATGAATGTGAACGATGACCCAGTGTCGACCAGCATTTCAAAGTTCATTAGGTTAAGACAGGAGCTCCCAATACAGCAGTCATCCACTCCAACAATATATGTTAAACTGTAAATGCAAAACTGAACTAATTATCAATATACTGACAAAAATATGAAAGAAAACAATGGGTTTTGATGTTACTTCTTTCCATCCAACGGCAAAAATGGTGTAGTTTGTTGGTCTGCTAATCCCATGTCCCCGAAGAATAGTTTTCCAGAATCATCTTCACTGAAACATAGCGAAAAGGAGTTTCGAATATATCCAGATTTTGCTAGAATACTCGGGACCGAAATTTCTCCAAGCCCCAGACCCAGAAGACCATCAGGTGCAACTCCAGATAGGTAACCACCAGTTTGTTTATTACCACATCTGAAATTGGAATATACAATTATGTGTCAAAGACAAGTAGATAGAAAGATCAGTAATATTAATTCAAGGTAGTTCTTGAGCACAATCAAATACAATCACTAAAAAACACACCCAAAAATAACTGGAGCCCTCACAAATTTGGTGGATGCATCAGAATGGGTCGATATTAGATGTAGAATATCTTCGACAAGAAATCCAGAAGTGGATGTATTAGGTGAATAATAGTCAATGGTATATGGACATTGCTGTCCAGGACTAGGACAATTTGAGCCCAATTCACATAACTGATGACCACAAGAGATTGATTGGCTTGTGCTAGAGACAAAAGGGCTGTACTCATTGAGATCTTTGTCCTGCATAATAGAGGCTACATAAATGGGAAGCACCATGAATCAATCATTTTGAATAACAGATTAGCAATTTAGCATGATATTAGAAACTAGAGCTTTGTAGACCTTTCTGGAATATTATAAATTTTCACACATTCTTTGTAGCACAAAATATGAAAACATCCGGTTTAAATCAGTGCATCCATCATGAAGTGTGTGAATGACTAGCAGATTATGAAGCTCGGCTTATTGAATGAAGACCAGAGCTTTAAGCAGACCAAGTAAATGGTCAATGGCTCAATTCACATTTTAGCTTATGTTATACATGAATATTAACATATCAATCCCATTGCAGTAGAGGTTCAAACTCATAGTGTCGAGGAAAATATTTGATGGTGTTGTTCTAGACTGGCTGTAGCATAAACTTAATAATATGATACCTAACAGATGTATTTTAACAAAATACTTGAAATTCTCTATAAATCTTGTGAGACAAATCTGTCGCTTTAATTTAAAAGATAATCAAATATACTAAAAATAAACATCAAATTCAAAGAATATAGACACTTTAATGTGCCTCTGTGTTTTTCAATATAATAGTTTCACATATATTAAATCATATATCCATTAGAAATAAATAAAAGTATCTGCACTTAAATATTAGGTTCCTTTACACACTAATGGTGACTATATCTGATATTATCATTACATCAGTGATACTACTGTTGGGAATTATTCAGTAACAATGGCAAGTTATATAGATAGAATAAGTACCAGACTATTATTTGAGATTCACCTAGTGATATGATTGATATGAGCAGTGACGTGAAGTCGTGAACCGAGGTTTCTAAAGAAAAAGTTATAAATCAGCTGTATAGCATGATTTCAATGGGACAAGTTATAAGTCTAAGTACCACACTGCACGAATACAATCATAACAAGGGACAGATAGAAAATTTTAACAAAACAACCTTCCCGACCCTACAATAGGTTTGCGCACTAAGCATATTGTGTCAGAGCAAATTGGCTGGAGAGGCAGTTCTTTAGTATCCAAACCCCATGTAAAAGTATTCAAGCTCCCATCAAAATAAGACAACTAAACTTGAACTGCAAATTCAAGTGTATTCTAACAGAAATGGGAGAAAATTTATACACGTGAACGAGCAAGTGTTCACGCAATTAGTGCCCTAAGGCTACATCATGTAATAGTTTAATATATTTTCATTATTTTGTACGTGCAGAAAAGAACCCAAGGAACGTGAAATTGAAGAAAAGAGTTGGGTGAACATGGAATAATTGAAAGAATAGCAGCATACCAGACTGCTGTAATAACTGGCAGATAATGGTGCACATTGCACACAATCACAGGGAACCCAAAACAGATCACTTCCAGCATCCAACGCCACTAGGAAAGAAACTTTTGGCGTGCCTACATCAATCCACATATAATGTAGCCTGTTTACAATGGGTCAATTACAAAATGAGACAGAAAAATTGTACCTGACCAAAACAAGATTTAAAATAATAAAATAAATTAGATACAATGTGATTTCTTATTCAATGACTTCTAAAAAGCTGTTTATGGCCTCAATTTATATTCATGCACCATCCAAAGTTACACAACAATAAACCTTATTTTCACTAGTCATGACAAAAGCTCATCGTATGAATGTAGTATTCAAATATTTACCAGAAGAAAACCTACTGTTTAACCCCATGTCTTTTTCATGAACTAGTTGTGGTCAGTGTAACCTCAAATCACAAGATAAATTAATCAAAGTCGGAATAACAGAACATCAATTTTTGTTACGCTCCCATTATGCAATCCCAAGCCAAAGAGTAAAATGAATGATAAGCATTCCCAACCGTATTATCTAAAAACATCGATTTGGTTTTTGCTATATCGAACTTCAATAAGAATCAATGTGTTAAAAGTTTTCACAGCAAGATCAATGAAAAAGAAATCACACAGCATTATACCATTTTGTCAAGAAAATTCAGCATTACAAATTACATGCCACCACACACAACATTTTCAAAAAAACTTTAGCTCTGTAAGCTTCTCCTAGATCAGATTCAGACACGCAAGACCACACTAAATGTTGCCAGAAAATTGCCTTCAAAACCCCCAATTCAATCTTCAATTACCTTTAACTACACATTAACCATTCAAACCTATTTATCCAGAATCCACCATTATTGATGACCGAATCAAATAAATGCGTTCAAATTCAAACACGATCCATAAAAGAGGTACAATTAAAAACCAAATAAAGACGCTTTTATACTGTGTCTAGAGAGAGAGGGTGGATAACGACCAGCCGAAGTCATTTCCGAGGGCTAGCGAAGCGCTTCCTTCAGAAGGATAAAGAATTTGGAACTGAGGCTTCAATTTCAACGTCTGCCGCTGCAAGTCGCTGCTCAAGAGCCGCCGGTAGTACTCCGAGCTCCGCCGCCTCGGCCAAACTGGAGCTTCAGACACTCTCCCGTTCTCCAAAGCTTGAACACCCCGATGCGCCTTCACTTCATCCGAGAACCTGTGCACTAGCCTCCCGGAATACACAACCCTCGTCGCTAATCCGCTGTAAACCCAGGAAATCAAGAATAACCCCAGCAGCAAGATTAACCGAATCTCCATGGACAGAGAGAAAGGAGATCGGAGAAATGCAGATTCTTTATATCAGCACCATACGCGCAGTCGATAACAGACAGTTGATTGAAATGGAGCGAGGAGAGAAGCGTAGGAGAGGCGGAATATGGTAGATTGATTGCGCAGGTTTGGTAAGCAGGGTTTGTCACTCACACAAACACACAGACACAAGTGGGGGTTGTGAAGAAGAAGATGCTGGGCAGAAAAGTGACGGGGCGAGTCGGGAATGATGAGAGCGCATTGCAGCGTGGCGCATTGTAAGACGCTCCTCATGTGGAAAAAGATGAAATCATAACCGTTTGTTCATTACATTACGGTTTGACATTTATTAATTTTGATTTTGTAAGTTTTGTTTTAGGGTCCATTATTTCCCATTCCTATTTTGCCCTTTCTTATTCTGCGGGGAAGGGAATTGGGAGCGCCACTAGAATTTGAGCTTGATTTGATTGGATACCGATATTCATTAATATAAATATATATTAATAAAAATTATATAATTATATATTTTAATTGTATATTAAAATTTTTAATTTATATTTATTTTAATTTAAAATTATTTTATTATACAATAATTATTTTTATTAATATATTTTTAATTATTTATTAATTATACATTTTTTAAATATTTTTATGTGTACAATAAACAACAACATGAGAGAGTAATATTTAATGTAATTTTTTTTAAAAAAATTTAAATAATACCGGAGTACAAAATTTGCCCATTATGATAATTATGAGTGGTATAATTGGAAATTCACAGCACAGGTAATAATGCCATTGATTTTTAACCCTAAAAATCTCGACGACGAATAGACTAGGGCTGCCGTGCAATATTTATTACCTTCGCAAAGCTGGTTACATACTTGGATTGGATCCCGCACTTTCTATCGGCGGCGGAACCCTAGCTCCACTCCGATCATAATGGTGGCGGCCAAGAAGACCGTAAGATTCTTCCTTCGAGTTTCTTTTTCCGTTTATACACTTGCTTGTTTCTCAAATCTTGTTAATCATTGGGTATGGTTATACGCATTACAGAAGAAAACTCATGAGAGCATCAACAACAGGTTGGCTCTGGTAATGAAGAGTGGAAAATATACCCTTGGATACAAGACAGTTTTGAAATCACTTCGCAGCTCGAAAGGTATATTTGCTTCCATCATCTTTTGCCAATGAATCGATTTGTATACAACTAATTTGATGTTTGTGTGCTTTTGATTCTTTTCTTTTTACGAATTTGATTGATAATTGTAGGGAAGTTGATACTTATCTCCAACAACTGCCCTCCGCTTAGAAAATCTGAGATTGAGTATTATGCCATGCTTGCAAAAATTGGAGTTCATCACTACAACGGAAGTACGTTGTTCATTTCTACCCAATTTACCCGTACCAGCTGTTATCTTTCTTGCTTACTATCATTTTCCGGTCTATTTTCTCAATCATATGTTATATTTTGTTGTTTTTGGACTGCTTTTCCACTTTTTTTTATACATCTATGCATGCTTTCAGTTCTGGTAAAGGTTAGAGGGTTTAGGGATTGAAGCTAAATTGCATTGTAGTATTAAACTAATATGTTCATGGTTATATTTCTCCTGTTCCATATATATCTATTTATGTTGATGTTGGAAATATTTTGCTTTCATTCATAGGGCATTTTTTTTCGAGGAAGCTGGTTTGTCTTGGAAAGCTTTTGCTCGCCAAATTTGCCCATATAATTAGTAATTATCATCAGAACAATGTTGCTCCTTTTCTCTGAACCATGTGTGGTTGCTTTGTTGCTATATTAATTTTGGTAATGTGCATTTTATCCCTCTGTCGATTTGTTTTTTGTTGGCTAATTAAGTTATCCCTCTGATTTTTTTTGTTTCAATGTTAAATTTTGCATTAAGGCTGGAAATTAATAAAAGAACAAGACTTTGTTTTGAGTTGTGTCTATGCCATGTGCATTTTATCCCTATGTCCGATTGATTTTTTAGTTGGATACATCAGTCTTGGCTACACTCAAATTGCAAAGTTGTGTTTCAAATGTTCAATTTTGTGTGAAAGCTGGAAATCAATTAGAGACAAACCTTGTTGGCAACAAGACTTATATATCTTGAGGAAGCTTTTAACTTTTACAGTTGGAAAGGCTATTCTTCACAAAGGATGGTAGCATTGATATGATTTAACACATTACTATATGGTCTGTAATACTCGGTAGGAAGTCTCAACTGTAAAAAATCCTATTAAACAATCTAGAAACTTTTTGTCTTCCTTACCTGGAGACATGGTTATTATAAGTACAAGACTTGGATCTGACGAAATTGTAATTGAATTACCAGATAATGTTGATTTAGGAACTGCCTGTGGAAAATACTTTCGAGTGTCATGCCTCAGCATCGTTGATCCAGGTTTGCATTAGTTTATTGTTATTTGTTATATGTGACTAGAATTGTATTATCAATTGCTTCTCCTCAATGTAGGTGATTCGGACATCATCAAGTCACTGCCCGGTGATCACTGAGAAACGATGGACAGTCTTTGCACCTACCTTTCATGTGTCGAACAGTGTAGGTATTGGTAGAAGTTTTCTATCTTTGCTTTTGCATTATTGATGCAATTTTTTTAGATATGATGTATTTACGGGATCTTCAAATAGATGTTGATCCTTTTCCGTGGGAGTTCTTGAATTTAGAAGCACGGGTAGTTGATATGCTGATTGATTAGGCAGCGGGTCACCATATGGGTCACCATATTCTTAGCCTGATGGATGGACCCCAGAAATTCTTGGATTTCTTTTGACAAGTTTTGCAGTACATTTCTAGTTATTCATTGCAAAGATGCAACAATGCATTACAACCATGGTTTAATATGTTTGTAGTCACATATTCATTAATATTTTTAGTTAAAAGTGAATGTTCTGCTCAATTTTTTATTATTCAAGTGTTAATTTATGACAATTTTGATGTGAAATCAGTGTGATGACTGTTTCGTTCCTCAGCAGCAAATTTTCATATTTTTTAGACAATGATTCATTTAGTTGGTTGAGATTAATAATTTTTTCCAATATAACCATCGCCTATTCTGTCACTAAAACAATTGACCGATGACGTATCATTTATGCATACTTCCATTGAAGATTTTGACCTTAATTTTCATTAACGCCTAATAAAATTATTGAAGGATATGATTTTTAATATTAAATTTTTTTAATAGTATTTTGATTGCTGTAAAAAATAAATATTATACTTTTATTAAAAGTAGAAATGAATAATTGTGATTTTGATTTTATAATATATATAACACACACCCTTAACTAACTTCTCATGATTTCTTATTATGAAAAAAAAAAAATTATAAAAAAAAATTAAAAAATGTGAGTTTGGATGATAAATTATTAAAACAAATAGGAGTATGTCATAAGAATTTTTTTATTTTTTTCACTCAACGCAATTAAAATTTTACATTAAATATTATTTCTTCGGTCAATAATAATTATGACATTTTTTCTGTTTTTAATTGTCTTGTTAGATTTATATATAATCTCTCATTTGTGTTACTTTTTACATTTAAATACTACTCCCTCCGGTCATTTGACTATACTCACTTTTTTTTTGAGTTGTCACCGAAAAATATTTTATTTTTTTAAATAAAAAATTATTTAATTTTTGTACTATTTTTTTATTATAAAAAAAAATAATTATTATTACTCACTTTTATTAAAATCTGTGCCCAGTAAAATATCCGTTATTGTGGTATAATTAATCCTAATGAAATAAGTATTATTTTTTATTTCTTTCTAGAATGCATTTCTTCCTAATAAACATACAAATTGAATTATAAAAGAGAAATACATCAGTAAAGTTGTTCTTTTATAGTATATTTTATATGTTTTTGTTTCAATAATTTAAGTGGGCATTGAATTTTATACCTAGAATTTTATACCAACATTATTTAGTTGGATTGTGTTGTGATATATTTATAAATTTACAAATGGTGTGTTTGTTTGGAGATTGGATTAAATTTATACTATTTATTCAATTTTTTCCCCCCAAAAACATCAAATCAAACACCTATTTTTTATTTTTATATTATACTAAAAATCAATTTTACATATCACATCGTACAACTATTCAAATTTAAAACTTTTAATATTCAAATCTCAACTCAAAATCCAACACACCCTTCAAAATACAAAATATATTTAAATATATATATAACAAGAAATCTCAATTTCTATAAACCCACCACCTACCACTTTCCTTTTAACAGCACAACCTACCAAAACATGATAAAGAACCAAGGACCAGAACACCAGACGGATCCTTGTTGTTCGTTTAACTTTGACGAACTCCATCAACGGTGTAATTCAATCTACTACTTAGCCCCTGGATCTTCTACGAACTGACCCCACCAACTCTTCATCAACCTCGGTCGTTTGCCCCCTTCGGGCTCTCACCAAACCCCATTCCAAGCCCAATTTTTTGTATTTCTGCTGTCACCAATCCGACTTCGGTTTCAAATTTTTGCAGTTGCCATTGCCAAAGAGTACTTAACTCTGTCGAACAAATTTTATTGAGAGAAATACCATAACGAGCAAATGGCGGCAGCAGCTTCATATTCAATTCAAGCGTCGTCAAGCGTTGGCGCAGCTCATATTCAATTTAAACCTCAATCAGATCCACCGAATTCAGTGTCGATCCGATTCTCTTCTCAATTGCAGCCCGTCTCTATCGCGTAATTCTTCTTTCTAATGGGTGTTGTATCTATTTCTACTTTGCAGATTTACTGCCTTCTTTTGCTTGGTTTAATTTACTGCTATTTGTTACTGATCAATTAATGGGTGTACTATGTGTCGAAAATTGTAATTTTTTGTTAATTTTCAAAATTGTTTGTGAAATATATTCCTTAATTGTGATTCTTGCGATATGGCGATGATGAAGACAGTCCTTAGATATGATTTAATTGGATTGATATTATCTTAAAAAATTACAAGTGTTGTATTCTTGAATGGAAAATGATCTTGGAGTAAATGTGCCCTTAAAGATTGTGGATTTATTACAATGAAGGATTGGAATCGGAAACCTTTGGCTTTATTTCATATTTCCGATTGTTTGTTGTTCACAAAATGTCATTCCATCTGTATTTTGTTTAGATCATCACATACAACAAGAGGACTTATGTTTCAAAAAGTTGGTTGTGTAGTGAGAGCAATGGTCAATTCTGATGTCGACATCTCACTGAGCCCTAGAGTGAATTCGGTGAAGCCTTCAAAGACAGTGGCAATTACCGACCAGGCAGCTGCGCTTGCGCAGGCCGGTGTGCCTGTTATCCGTTTGGCAGCTGGAGAGCCTGATTTCGATACTCCTGCAGCAATTGCTGAGGTAATCGGAAAATGCTCTGAATCTGTTTATTTTGCTCTAGATTTGAACAGGTTTTGTTTTAACATTTGCTTCTTAATGAACCCTTCAACTCAGGCCGGAATTAATGCTATTCGCGAAGGGTACACAAGGTATACACCGAATGCTGGAACATTTGAACTCCGAGCAGCTATTTGTCATAAGCTAAAAGGTACTTATAAACAACTAGTAAATTTTCGGTATGTTTTAAAGCACACAATCATAATTTCTTTGATATCAGAGGAGAATGGATTAGTGTACTCCCCGGACCAGATTTTGGTGAGTAATGGAGCAAAGCAGAGTATTCTTCAGGCAGTTCTTGCTGTTTGTTCTCCTGGAGATGAGGTAACTGCATTTTTTACAAACTGGTTGGCCAATTTTGTTGTCTATCTGTGGTAAATAGATTAACCACGAAGTTTATGCTGTTTCTCTTGCATGATGTACCTGCTAAGATCATTTCGCTTCATATTGCTTCGAATGAATCATCTTTTGTATAGGTCTGATATTCTCTGTAGCCTAAGAACTATGGTGCACTTGTTGGTTTATTGAATTTATATAGGAGCGCTATTGTTTTTTCTTTTATTTTATTACTCATTAGTTAAATGTATCTTCACCCGATCGATCGAGTGATTACATATTTGTAAGACTAACAATTTAATGATCAATTGCTGTAGGACACTCCAATCTTGGTTTACCACTAACAATTTGTTTCCCTAATTCTATGGTTTCGTTCTCCCAATTTGTTTACTGGATTTTGAGTTACACAAAAAGTCATATGGTTGTGTTTACACTTTTCTCTATTGCCTCATCTCAGCTGATCACCGCTTTTGCTGCAGGTGATCATTCCTGCCCCGTATTGGGTGAGCTACCCAGAAATGGCAAGGCTGGCAGATGCAAACCCCGTCATTCTTCCCACAAACATATCTGAAAATTTTCTGTTAGATCCAAAGCTTTTGGAATCTAAGCTAACTGAAAAGTCAAGGCTGTTGATTCTTTGCTCTCCTTCCAACCCAACTGGATCGGTTTACCCGCGTCAATTGCTTGAACAGATTGCTGAGATAGTTGCCAAGCATCCCAGGCTTTTGGTACACCCTAGTCACTGATTAACACCTTTTTGATGAGCCATTTATATATCTTAAGTTTTTAAACTGAACTTTGTGTTTTATTATGCCAGGTGCTATCTGATGAAATTTATGAGCACATCATTTATGCCCCGGCAACTCATATAAGTTTTGCTTCATTGCCAGGCATGTGGGATAGGACTCTGACTGTAAATGGCTTTTCAAAGGCAAGTGTGGTATGGTTTGTTTATCTTAAGATTGGGAGCTCCTGCTGATAGTTTAACTTCAATTTTTTAGGCCTTTGCAATGACTGGTTGGAGGCTCGGATATCTTGCTGGTCCAAAACATTTTGTGGCTGCTTGTGGGAAGATCCAAAGCCAGGTGTGCATACACATTTGTTTCAACCTGCATTTCAGCATTTAAAACTCTTATGTGCTTATATATTACTATTATTGAATTTCACGTTGTTTTATTCTTTTTTAAGAATGATACAACATTAAATAGTGATCTTCATAAAATCACAAATGCTGATTCTAGCAACTTAATTTTAACCTTTTCATGAAGCCTTGAATCAATATAATGAGGGAACTATAGTTGAAACTCTTTGCATACCTTCTTCACTTGCTTGTTTATAATATATTTCTAAGTCAGTTTTCCTATGTTGACACAGTCGACTTCTGGTGCAAGCAGTATATCACAAAAAGCTGCCGTGGCTGCCTTGGGATTGGGCTATGCAGGTGGAGAAGCAGTTGCCACTATGGTTAAAGCCTTTCGCGAGAGGAGAGATTACCTTGTCAAGAGCTTCGGGGAAATCAAGGGAGTCAAAATTTCCGAGCCCTGGGTATTTAAATATATACATATATATCTATATATATTATCTTAACCATTTTGCAAAGTTTAGGTGCAAATTAAATCTTTTAATGAATGCTTTGTGTATGCAAAATATGGTATATCTCCTCGAAACAAAATAGTAACAAATAGGGAATTGCTACAAATATAAATCTTATTTGATTGCAAATCATCAAATTCGAATCATTGTACATTATAACCAGTTAGTTAATGGTGGTTGCAGGGAGCCTTCTATCTGTTCATGGATTTCAGTTCTTTCTATGGCTCAAAATTCGATGGCTTTGGTGTGATCGACGGCTCAGAATCCCTGTGTAGATATTTGCTCGACAAAGCTCAAGTAAGATTTCTGCATTGTCTGTTGATTCTGTAGTTGAAAAAGTGAGATGGCAATGATGGCCATGGTTGCTTGTAGGTTGCTTTGGTGCCAGGAGATGCTTTCGGAGACAACACCTGCATTCGCATATCGTACGCAGAATCCCTCGGAATCTTGCAGGAAGCTGCAAGTAGAATCAAGGCAGCCCTTAGCTCCCTGAAGCCTGCCATTCATGGTTAATGGTCAGGGAAGCTCACCTCACCTCACATTTGTTGTAACAGTAAGTTCTATTTTACTAATTTTTTGATAAATTGAATGATTTGGTCAGTATCCGGACAAGAAAATGTGTTTCCTCCATTGAAATAGCTTCAAGTATTGTATTTTATGGTAAAATTTTCTGTATGTTTGCATAGGGTGAAATGTGAATGAATGATGATGCTGTGTAGGTGATGTTGAATGTTTGCTTTTATGTCAATTTTGGGGATGGAATTGGATTTGGGCCATATGGGCCTGACTACAAATGACTAAGATCAACATAATTGGGCCGTTGTGCCCATCAAAATCCTCTCTAAATATGCATTTAATAAATCTATATAAATGTTTCGATTTTAACACTACTACTTTTATATGTGTATATAGCTAACTTTGAATTAATTTTAATAATACTTGGATGGAATTTGTCATGATCCACCCCACCCCACCCCACCCCACCAAGAATAGTTGGGATGCTTTTTACCCTATGATTTTTCTCAAATTCTTCAGTATACAATCTTTATTATTTCTCTTTCTCCATTTGCTTGCTACTTACTTTATTGCAAAAAATAGTATAGATGAAAGTACAATTCATTTGTTGATTAAAAAGGATTCCTAGAAGCAACTGAAACAGCCATCCAAAAGAAAAATTAAAATAAAATTAGGAGGGATGAGTCGAGTGTAAGTAATATATATATATGGACAAAACAATATCACATGCAATAATAATAATAATAATAATAATAAACAACTATCACCCCACCTCTCTCTACCTACTACTAAGTGCTACTGGTTTCTTGAAAATTCCAGACATGATTTCATCCTTGTGATGCAATCAATGTTATTAACTGAAAATGATTGCCTTTTTACGTGTAATTGAAATGATGGCAAATTCAGAAAGATATAAAGGTGGTAAAGCAGTTAGTTGAAAAAAAAAAACCAAGTACGTACATGCATGCATTGCATTGATGGTGCCTACCTGCCTTCTTCTCTCTTTTTCTTTCTTTCTTCACTACCAATATATCTACCAATAGGGCTTAGCCATGAGTTTTTTTTTATGCTTAAATAGTTAATTAACTTAATCTCAAACCACAAAATAATAATGTATACTAAATATGTAATTAAATTGAATAAAATAATATTATTACAAAAAAAAAAAAAAAGTAACTTCATCTAGCTTTTTAACTGTTCAATCCGATTTTGGTCTCAGCATCATATCTATTTTCTAATATATTCTTTGAATTGACTAAAGACATACATATATATATATATATACTCTTGTAATGCTTTAAGAAATTGTCGGAAAAAATAATAATAATAAAATGTGAAAGAGCAAAACTCTGGCTTTGTCTAGACAATCGTTTTTTCGTTGGTTTGGCACAGTAGAGGGGTCCACTTACAATATATTTAGGGTTGTTGGTTTTTTTTTTTTTTTTTCCGACTTGTTAATATATATTTTATATTTTTTAAAAAAATTAATATTAAATATAAAATATTATTTTTTATATTATCAATACAATTTTTATGTCTCACGATTAAAAATATATTCAAATCAAAATACTAAACAAATAAATCCTTAATAATATATAGTATTATATAGAAATATATTATAATCAATATATATTATATACCCTACAATTTATATTAATAATAATTTTATTATTTTTTTGTATTACGTATATATTGATTATAACTATATCTATAAGATTTAATTTAATTTGTTTGTTTATCTAATATTAATTAAATTAATTTTTAAATGCTATACCATTGTTATTTATAAAATAGAGAATAATCGAGTGGGGGATGAGCAAAATAAAACTTGATGAATAGAGAATAATCATAGTTATAGCTGTCTTGCAAGTCTGTGTTTGTTTGTGATTTTTATATTATAATAAAAATATTATATTAACATCTACTTACTTGTATAATATCACATAATTCTTTAAATTTAAAATTTTACTACTTCAAATTGAAATTCAAAATCTCAAACAAACACTTACCAATAAAGTAAACAATTCACGCTTTTTATATTTTGCATTATTGTTGATTGTAATATGTGACAATAAATAAATATATATATATATATATTAATTAATTTATATTATTTGTGTGTGGATGGGTACCCAACCTGCAGATGGGATGGGATGGACATTGATGAGTGTGCAGATGGCCACACACTATTTTAGTGGTACTTGAATTTTCTTTTTTATTTCAAATTTATTTTTCTTTTCCTTTTGCCCCCCAAAGTTTTGGACTTAAAAATTGTCTTTATTTATTTATTAATTTATTATTGTCTTTATTTATTTATTAATTTATTATTGTCTTTATTTATTTATTAATTTATTATTGGTTCATTTGTGTGATGGTCATGGACAACTGCAACTCTCTTCTATTTCTCACTCAATTTCTATCATCATCGCTACATGCATAATTATTTATTTAATATTATTTATTAATTTCCCTATCTATCTGTATATGTATACGTCAATTTCTCTCCCAATTCTTCCATAATTAGTAATCCTCACTCACTTTTTTATATATTTATGAATCCCACCCTTTTAAAGAAATTCTTTCTTTCTTTCTTTAGCTTCATACTTAATTTATAATATCTCTCTCATAATATATATATATGTCATAAAAATAAAAATAAAAATAAAAACTAAGTATTTTATTTCTTAGAAAAAAATATATATATATTTTTTTTTTCTATTTTTTTACTTGTCTTATTATAAAAAATAGTACATCATCACTTTAAAACTCGTGGTACAAACAAAATGAACTTATTTTTAATATATAGTTTATAAAATAAATAAAAATAAAAAGACCCCATTATCTTTCTAGTACTCTAGAAGTAAATGATCCATTTTTTCAACGATTTAAAAATATTGGATAATCAAATTATATCGAAGGATTAATCTTTATTAAGATTTAAGGATTAGGTCGTCGATCATGATTGAATCTCATTGATAGATTAGCATCTTGTCAAAATTTAACCATAATTTATTATTATTATTATTATTATTATTATTATTATTATTATTATTTAAAATGATGTGAGTTTCCATTACTTATTATAAAAAATATATATTTATATATTTAACCATAAAATTAAATAATAATAATAATAATAATACATCCTGAATCACCAATAACATCAATTAGAAAGTGACTTTAGTGCATGTATGTTGGGGTCTAACTCAACCTATTTTTTTAAAAGTGACAGAAGGATAGGAAGTTATCTCTCTACTTCAATTTAAATTTTACAACACAACATAAATAATTAATGTTTAATATATCAATCAAAATTATCTTTATACTACTATATGACTAAATTTACATGAATTTATTAAAATAAAGTCTTCTTTTTTTTTTTTTTTTTTTCTTGTCTAACATGGATTTGTTTTTATTCAAATAAAAAACACTGAAACCAGGGTTTTTTTATTTTGATTAGAATTTGAGTGTTTTTTTTTTTTTTTTTTTTTTTTAGTTTAGTTTAGATTTAAGTAGTATTTTAATATGATATTCTGTAAAAATTATAATACAATATTGTGTGAGAATAAATAGTGTTTATTGTGAAATGTGTTGGTTAAATAATGATAAATTGATTTGAAATCATTACGAAAAACACCTCAAATTTCTAGTAATTAAACTAATTAAGCCATATCATTTTATTATAATTTTTTAACTAAGCCATATAATTTGTCTTCTTTTTTTTTCTTTTTTTGTTGTTTTTACTAAGTCATATAATCTACAAATGAAGGGCTTATTATTGTAATCGATTATATATATATATATATATATATAATTTAACTGCTTTTGGCTGGTACAAAAATTAAGAAAAACAATATTTTTGTTGAAAATGATAAAAGTACAAAAATAGTTGGTGGTATTTTTATAAATTTAAAGAAAATAAAGATAGATAATGAGAATGATGTGTAATAATTGTAGTGAAAATTATAGTTAATAAATATTGATGAGGAATAACGTTAAATGTTAAATTTTTTTATCTTTGTCAAAAATAGTTACCAAATAAATTTAACGAAAAACAAAAACAATTAAAATAAATTTGTGAAGGAATAAAGTAGCACTTACAACATACAAATCTCTCTCATATCAAACAAGCCCTAAATAAAGAATGCATTAGAAAGAATGATAATCCTAAGAAAGATTGATCATGAAATATGTAAATTTTATTAAAGTGTAATTGATTCAAAGAATTTGGCTAAGTTTTACTATTTACTAAAAAAAAATAAAACTAAAAATATGAAATCAAACACTTATTTTTTTTATTTTTTGTATTATATTAAAAAAAATAATTTTATTTTCAAAATATTATCTCTAACATCTATTCATATATCACATCATACAAAACTCAAATTTAATTTTTTACTATTCAAAATCTAAACCCTTGCCTGTATTTGCTTTGTGTTCTATAAAGTTTTGTTTTTGTTGTTTTTAGGTGAATGAAAAAAAAAAAAAAAAAAAAACCCACGTTTTAATTGTAAACGACGAAGCTATATATAATAAATAGGAATTTAAATTGGAAAATAAATAGTAAAAAATATATATATATATATATATAACAATCAAATTATATTTGTCTGTTAATAGAACTCGAAGTATTCATAAGCATTTTATTTTGATAAATGGGTTGGTTTTGCAGTTTTATATAAATTATGGGTACAAAATGATAATAATGAATGTACAAGGGTATCGAAGAAAATAATAAAGCACCCTAACTGATAAGGGATTTATATATGGTATAGAATAAAGGTAGCGAAGGCCAAAATCAGCCTCAAATTGCAAACAAGGACCATTTTTTGGCCAGAGATGCTGAGGAGTACCAATTTAATTTTGATTCGTCCGCCATCACCCGATTGGATTATTATATTGCTCATCACAATAATGAAAGTGATGCACAAAAAAAAGCAAATTAAATTAATTTAATTTATATTATCACATTAATTATATTATTACATTACATGGTTGAAATACAACACCTATTCAATTAATGTGCATTTTTAGGGTAAACACATAATTGTACTATTATTCTGTGGGTGTCATTGATTTTAATTTCTTGTTACAAATTTAATAATTATAAAGTTGCGAAAAGGATAGGCCAAATTCAATGAAAATTATTTGGATTCTTGAAAAATAGGCATGTTACATTTCGATGTAATTTATTTTTACATTTTTATTTTAAAAAGGTTATGAAGGCGCCCAATTTTTTATTTTTTATTTTTTCGAAAATATTAATGATTTTGAAAAGACCATTTAAATGTCCTTTTTGGACAGCATCTTTCAAATGGCATTCCAATGTACACAAATGGAAATATAGGGTTAATTTGTTTACTCACTTTTTATTTTTATACAATTTTTTAAATTAAAATATAAACCAATATTGAATATAATGTTTTATGAATACAAATTTTTAAAAAATACAAGCTAACAAACAAACACTTATTATTATGAACCAAATCGACATATTTTCCTATCTATTATTATGTTAATATTTTGAACTGTTTTAGGTTTTTCTTTATTTTTTTATATTTATTTTTAAAATATAGGATAATTTCATTTTATATTTTTGGATATATTTTTTTATTGTTTTTGTTAGGAAAATAATTATTAAATATAATATTTTTTGTATAAAAAATTATGCATGATTTTACTGAGATTGGTCATATTATATGATAACAAAATTAATTAACTAAAAGTAAATAAAATTATTAACATTCAACAAATTTTTTTTAATATAAAAATACTATATATATATATTATGCAAAGATAAACCATTTTATTGGGAAATGTGGAGAGCTACATCCCAATTGAGTTTTGGTTATTGTGAATTGACTACTTGTGTGTTTTTTTCAATTTGATTTTTTTTTAAAAAAAAAATTGTAATTTAAATATAATTCTCCTTCCCTCACGGCTAATAATTATTATAAATAAAAATAATATATATATATATATCATGTAAAGATAAATCATTTGGTATTTGTGTATTCAAATGAGTATAGATATAAGAATTTAGAATAATTAGAATTAATAAATAATTAACAATATATTAGTAAAAATAATTATTTATAATATATATAATTATAAATTAATATTAAAATTATTAATAATTATATTTTATCTAAATGTATAAAAATTTTATTTAAATTTAATTATACTCTCTCTATGTCCCAATAAAAAATACTTATTATTTTATTTTAGTATATTTCACTCCTAAGCATTTTTTTATTATAATAAAAAATAATTACATAAATTACAAATATACCGTTACATATATAATTAATTTATACATAAAAGTAAAAAATAGTCCAAACACAAATTTAAACGACTTGGGATGATTCCGGACACTTCAATCATTACAAATAACAAATTCTGAAACAACGTGGAATAACTTACTAGATGCAATAAACAAACCAAAGTAGCAAATAAGAAATTTTTTTATATCTCGCGACATTCTAGTAAAGACAGTGAAGGAAGATAAAAGACACTAATTGGATTGATAATAAAAGGAAACAAATTCAAAAAATTTAAATAATATATATAGGAAAAACAAATAATAAGAAGCCATTTTTTTATTTTTGACCGGACGGTCAAAGTTGAGGAACGTTGGTTCCTATTTACATTTCAATATATAATTTATTACATCGCGTACCTTTGGCGGTTCACGTGGGCGCCATGTGTCACAACTCGCTGCCACGTGGACATCAATATTGCCTATATAAACAACGCTCTGGGCGCCCATCGGATGAACACACACTCACCAAATACACATTTCTCTCATAAATTACATCTTTGTTTGGGCTCTCGATCTGCGGGCAGGAGAAGAAAACTTGTGTTCTTTCTTCTAGATCCGAAAATCGAGGCAAAATGTTCATTGAGAGCTTCAGAGTCGAAAGCCCCAACGTTAAATATACGGAGGGTGAGATTCACTCGGTGTACGATTACGAGACGACGGAGCTTGTTCACGAGAACAGAAATGGCACCTATCAGTGGATCGTGAAGCCTAAAACTGTTAAATATGAATTCAAAACTGATACCAGAGTCCCCAAATTAGGGTACGATTTTTTACGAATTAGATCGGAATGGGAAAACAAATAATTGGTTACAGATTGGATTTTTTGCAATTTGATTGATTGTTTGTTTGTATTGATTTCTGTGGTTGCTTCGATTCCTTTTTGTAGGGTGATGCTCGTTGGATGGGGTGGGAATAATGGTTCGACTCTTACTGCTGGCGTCATTGCGAATCGAGAGTGAGTTCCTGTTCTTGTTCCTGTTCCTGTCCGTTCTTCCTTTTCATTATTTTGATGCGTTAGATTGTGCAATTTTTTAAAGCTGTAAAATTAGGGTATTGGTTTCTGTACCGTGTTTGTTTTAATATGTTGTAATTGATTTGACTATTGAGATATGGTGTTGATGGCAACTTGGCAGAGGGATTTCATGGGCAACAAAAGACACGGTTCAGCAGGCAAATTATTTTGGGTCCCTAACCCAGGCATCCTCGATTAGAGTGGGATCTTTCAATGGCGAAGAGATCTATGCTCCCTTCAAGAGCTTGCTTCCCATGGTATCATCAACACACACGTGCTTTATATTAGTTTATGTTGCTTCTATTATTTTATGCTTTCTATACATAGACAGATAATATAATGTTTTTTTTTTTTTTTCGGTTTTGGTGTGGAGCTAAGCTTTTTATTTTTTATGTTTAATTAATGGTGGGAATATGATATTAGGTAAATCCAGATGGCATAGTGTTTGGGGGATGGGACATCAGCGACATGAATTTGGCCGACGCCATGGGCAGGGCCAAGGTTTTCGATATTGATCTCCAAAAGCAGCTGAGGCCATACATGGAACACATTGTCCCACTACCTGGGATCTACGATCCTGATTTCATTGCTGCCAACCAGGGCTCACGAGCCAACAACCTGATTAAAGGAACCAAGAAGGAACAGGTCCAACAAATCATCAAGGACATGAGGTATATTTGCCCTAAATACCAATATAAGAAATATACGATTATGATATGCTTGATTCTAATTTAAGACGAGTTTGCTGATTTGTTTGTGATTTGGGGAGAAATGAATTGGCTTGGTTGATTTGTTTGGTGTAGGGAGTTTAAGGAGAAAAATAAAGTGGACAGAATAGTCGTCTTGTGGACAGCCAACACAGAGAGGTATAGCAATGTTGTTGTTGGTCTAAATGACACCATGGAAAACCTCATGGCGTCACTGGAGAAGAACGAGGCTGAGATCTCTCCTTCCACCCTCTATGCTATAGCTTGCGTGCTCGAGAATATCCCTTTCATCAATGGCAGCCCACAGAACACTTTCGTTCCAGGTACTATATATCTAGAATTGTGCCATTAATCAATCTTGGTGATATTTTGAAGTAGGAAATTTAAGGCTAAATTGGCTTCAAATTATCAGGGCTTATTGAATTGGCCATCCAGAGGAACAGTTTGATTGGTGGTGATGATTTCAAGAGTGGCCAAACGAAGATGAAATCTGTTCTTGTCGATTTCCTTGTTGGAGCCGGTATTAAGGTATAACAAAAACCTCTTCTTTTGTTCTATTGAATTCTGTAGCTAAATATGACTCACTTTGTCTGATTTTCTTATTGTGGGTTATTTTTGACTTGTTTTTGCTACAGCCAACATCAATCGTGAGCTATAACCATTTAGGAAACAATGATGGAATGAATCTTTCTGCCCCGCAAACTTTCCGGTCGAAGGAGATCTCGAAAAGCAATGTGGTGGACGACATGGTTGCCAGCAATGGCATCCTGTATGAACCAGGGGAACACCCTGATCATGTTGTTGTCATAAAGGTTGATAAATTAACACACTTCAGAGATGACCACAAATTGTTACATTCGATTGAACAATTAGTAATTAGGATTTGAGGATTTGGGGTTGGTTGTCTGTTGTGCAGTATGTACCATATGTGGGAGACAGCAAGCGGGCTATGGATGAGTACACTTCAGAGATATTCATGGGAGGGAAGAACACCATAGTGCTTCACAACACTTGCGAAGATTCTCTTTTGGCAGCTCCAATCATCCTGGATCTGGTCCTCCTTGCTGAACTCAGCACAAGAATTCAGCTCAAGGGTGAAGAAGAGGTGGGTCAATTTTGGAAGCCCTTCACATCTCTTTTTGTCTGTATTTTGCAATGGGTCGGTAATATTAAAGGTTGATGAACATGTTTTGTGTGTTTGCAGGGAAAATTCCACTCCTTCCATCCAGTGGCTACTATACTGAGCTACCTCACCAAAGCCCCTCTTGTAAGTACTTGGGCAAGAACTTACTAAATATGCATTCTTGTTTTGGAAGAAGAATGCTTTTTTATCATGTATGTATAGTGATTGAGGTGATGGTATTGTTGTAAAAACAGGTGCCTCCAGGGACGCCAGTGGTGAATGCACTGTCGAAGCAGAGAGCTATGCTGGAGAACATCATGAGGGCGTGTGTTGGTTTGGCCCCAGAGAACAACATGATTTTGGAATACAAGTGAGTGAGTAGTGAAGAATGAGAGAGACAATTAACTATTAGGTCTCGTCCTGTTATTGTGTGAGAATGAATTATGAATGAACATATATAATAAAAGTAGATTCAAATAGAAGTAAGAAAGAATGGGTTGCCATTTGCCATGGGCTGCTTCAGTTAAATCTTGTGATGCTTTTGCTGTTTTCTCTGAATTCAATTTAATGAGAGTAGCACATATTATTATTATTATTATGATTATGATTCATCCCTGTGTGTCATACACACTTGTGCGTTTTGTTAGGTAGTGTATGTTTTATGTAAAAAAGTAGTGCTAGGGTGAAGGGCTTTTCTTCACCATGAATAAAATGAGCAAATCTCATCTGATGGGAATTATGGTAGGGAAGGGCCCCCGACCCGGATGCTCTGACCCTACCCACACCCACACCCACACCCACACCCTGGCTGGCTGGCAGGGATAGGGTAGGGCTGGGGCTGGCACAGCATTCCATTCTGCTGGAAAATACTACAATACACACATTCTCTATCTATTGACTATTGCATTTCATGTGTATAGAATATATATATTTTTAGAAGTAAGCAAAGCAGCTTCAGCAAATAATATACACAAGTTATTTGAGATGAGATGGATAGATTCTTGAGGCAGACGCTCCTTCCTTGCCAATCACATTTTAAAAGAAAATGTGGATGGATAATGGATTGACTTTTTAAGACAAATATTTTCGTTTGTAATAATAATACTAGTGCTATAAACAAAATGTACATAGGCTCCTCCTCCTACCTATCCTATGCCTGAAAAAAACACACTAGCTAAACAGTCTAGAAGCTACAGTAGTGTGTGTGTGTATATATATATATTTATAGCAATGGTGAAGGGTGAGATTGAGGAGGAAAAAGTGGGCAATTGACAACATCGTTCAAAGCAAGCAGCACTTAACCTCATCTGTTGGATTATGAAAGAGAAGCAGAGCAGAAGAAGAATAGGACCCACCAGAATTGAATTGGCATTGAATTGAAAGGTGAGCACAGAGAGAGAGAGAGAGAGAGAGAGAGAGCTGCCTGTCTGTTCTGCCAGTCGATGAGTTTCTTGCACCAAGGGGTTTACTTTTGCATCCTGACCTGACCTGACCTGACCTGCCTGCAAATACTGTTCCCCTACCCTCCACACAGGAAATTAAATTAGAAAACCCCAATCCAATTCATTCTTGTAAATTGACCTTGACCTAATGATCTGACACTCTGACTTGACCCTATACTATGCAACAACAACAACGCCACCACCATCATCACTCTTGAAAAGACTCTGTTGGACTTTTTCAAGGAGACTATCGAGGCATTCTTTTCTTTCCCTGTCTTGTCTCTTTCCCCTGTCTTCTGGTTTGCTCGTGTCCTGTTTCCTTTAACTGTTACTCAGTCAGTCAGCAGTCACGTTGTAGTAGTAAATAAAAAGGTTGGATGATCGGAGGAGAGGGACATTTGACATTTGACATTTTGAAAGCAGACAAGCAAGGGTCTTGAAGGTGAAATGGAGAGAGGCTGCAGAGATCACCACCATCATCATCATCATCATCAACTTCATCATCAGGCCACTCCAGAGAGGCAGCAGGGGAAGCTGAAGCCGATGAGCAGCAGGGCTCCCTCGCCGGCGCCGGCGACGGCGTTCAAGAAAGTTGAGGTGGTGTATTATTTGTCCCGGAACGGCCATTTGGAGCACCCACATTACCTGGAAGTCACCCACCTCGCCCACCAACACCTTCGCCTCAAAGGTCCTTCCTTGTCTAAATTAATTAATCTTACTGCAAACTTAACAATGTTTCTCATTTGCTTTCTTTTGGTATTGCTGTTGATTTGGTGGTTGTATTCTTGATTACATTTGGTATTTGATATTTGGTTTGTAGATGTAATGGATCGTCTTAGAAACCTCAGGGGCAAGGCCATGCCCTCACTCTACTCCTGGTCTTGTAAAAGGTACTAATATATACATACATTATACATATATATATATATACACACACTTAGACTTACTTGACAAGGCAACACAACACAACACTGTCGTACGTAGGAGCTACAAGAATGGATATGTGTGGAATGATCTTGGTGAGAATGATCCTATTTATCCATCTCAAGGTCAAGGGGGTGCTGCTACTGCTGAGTATGTCCTCAAAGGCTCTGAGATCATTAGCGATGCTCCTATTCAAACTGGTAATTAATTACATTATAATTAGTACTCAATCAATCAATCAATACCCTTTTTACTTGTGTAATTTCTTAATTAACTGTATTGTACTGTATTCAGACAAACTACACAACCTTCGACTAGGGGGGTACAATAATGTCCAGCTGCAAGACTCCAATTTTCTGCCCAAAAAGCGGATGGACGAGGTGGTCAGCAGCAGCAGCCCCTATGAAGACGATGATGAAGAGATGATGCAAGGAGAGCAGGAAGAAGAAGAAGAAGAAGAAGTAGAAGTAGAGTATGAAATGAAAACAGGCAGCCATGGAAATGGAAATGAGAATGTTTCTCGCTCTAGATGCTCAAGAGGTGTATCCACCGACGTCGAAATCAAGAAATTGCAAAAGACCCCTAATTCTGAATTATCCCTTCAGAGCTCTTCATTCTCATTTTCCTCACCTCCGACGTCGACCACCTCGTCTGAGACGATCAACAACAATAACAAGAAATCGGACGAGACATCGGCGGCATTGGTGAGCAGGAACTCGGTGCTGCTGAGCCTGATTGCCTGCGGCGGCTCTGCGTCGTTCAGGAAGACAGCAGCGCCACCGCAGGTGGAAGCAGAAGCAGCAGGTAAGCCGTCGCCTGCTAGGAAGAGCAATGGCGTTGGCGGCGGAAACCATAACAATAAAGTGAAAATTGGGATGAAGGAGGAGGTGATGTTGATGATCGGATGCATGTCGGAGAATCCGAGGTTCGGGAACTTGCAGGGTGAGGAGAAGGAGTATTTCAGTGGGAGCATTGTGGAGTCTCAGATCAATCAGAATCACCAACTTGCTACTGCTGGAATGTTGAAGAAATCTTCTTCCCACAATGAAGAAAGGTTAGCTAGATACTCATCAAATTATATAATTAATAGTAATTAATTAATACTGAATGATTGATTGATGATTAGGAGCAATGGTGTTGGACTGGGAGAAGAAGAATCATGGAAGGAAGACAATGACAGTGAAGAAGGGGGTCTGAAAGGGAAATGCATTCCGGGAAGCAGCAGCAGCAGGAGCAGGAAGAAGAAGGCCTCTAAACAATCAAGGAACTAGAAATGCAAATGAAATTCATCTCGATTATATTCTTTTGAGAGAGAGATTGGAGAGACTTTTGAGGTATAGATGAATGATTATATATGTCTGACTCAATAGTAAGTCCAAATGGAAAATTGTTTATGGATTTGCGTTACAAAGAGTCAATGCATGTGCAGGGCACGTGGTTTTCAGATTTACTTAAATAATAGTAATACATTGCCGCAGAGAATCCACCGACCAATTATGGAATAATCAGAAAACACGACTCTTAGCCGGGAGAAGCGCTTTTAGTGCTTTTTACTCATCTACGATAACGATGCACGTAACAGTATATAGGAGTAACATCAATAAATAATAATAATAATAATAATAAACCAATCAATCAATAAATAATAATAACGGCATCCCATGTGAGTGCCGGCTGGCTGCCGTGCTCAATCTACCCCACTCATACCGTATACGTATACACATATACATACACATACAAATACACACACTACAATACATACAGGGCACCGCCACTCCCCACTCCACTCCATATCGCTCACCGCTGTTCGCTCCTTAATCGCCTTTGCAATCTCTTCCCACGGAAAAATGGCGAAATATTTTATTCTGTTGGTCGCTGTGTGCTTTCTGCCCGCCATTGTTAGCGCTCGCTTTGCCCCCCAGGCTTATCGGGTGACAGGCGTTGTATACTGCGACACTTGCCGCTGCGGCTATGAGAATGAGGCCACTGAGTATATGGCAGGTGAATACACTCTTATTTCTTTGTTTTGTTTCCGTCGTCGGGCACTGTATCAATTTGTTTGCATTTTAGTTGAATTTTTGTTTTTGGTAACTGAGAAATGTAGTGTAGATCTGTGTGTATGTGTTGGATCTAGTCTGAAACAGCGTCTATTAAGTTCACTGTTGTCGAAATCGTTGTGATAAGTCTCTTCTTTACACGAAATTTAGAGAATTAAAAACAAATACGGTGTAATCTCTGAAACGTACGAATGTTGTTGATTTTTCGAAAATTTGGGTAACTTCGACTAGATCGGGCGTTTCTCGAGTGAAAGCGTTGGTTCCGGTCCCAGCTACACTGGATCTTAGATTTCAGAGGAAAGTTAGGACTGAAAATCAGTTTGAATGAGTTCAAAATTATCTTCTCTGTTTTAGCTGCTGAGCTTGAGTTGATTGGACTTGTAGTTATCCAATGGATGAATACTGAAATGTTCTTCATCATTAAGTAATTTTGATTTGCCGCAATACATGAAAAATCTAAATTAGTCTCAGTTCAATCAAAGCTAGAATAAAATCCTCAAGCCGTCAAGCAAAACAAACAACACCCCCTGCAAATTGAAATATAATGTATTCAAATTCAAAGTTAACTTGAGCAAGAAGAAGTCTCAATTTCCAGGTTTAGGCTGAGATGCTTAAGAGTTGCTACTAACTTGGAGATCAAAATCTGTGATTGCTTAACCATCTTCGAGCCTGGGAAACAATTGGGCTCAATCTTTCTAATTGTATTACTCTAAATCTGAATACGAATCTCAAATCCTCCCATTTTATGTCTGCACATTGCATTAAAACGACGGTTCTTCCTCTTTTACAGATGCTACTGTGAAAATTGAATGCAAAAACAAGGACACAGGGAAGGTTACCTTCAGCAAAGAAGGGAGGACTAATTCAGAAGGGCGATTTACGATCATGGTGAATGAGGATCGTGGCGACGACTACTGCGATGCTGCCCTGGTTAAGAGCTCAAATCCTGAATGCCGTAATCCCAATCCAGGGCGTGACAAGGCGCGAGTTATTCTAACCAGCAACAATGGGATGACCTCGAACACAAGATACGTCAATGCCATGGGGTTCGAGCGGAACGTGGCCCTCGAGAGCTGCCCCCAGATTCTCCAGAAGTATGAGGTAACTGAGGATGAAATGAACTAACTAACTAACTAAATAAATTCACTTGGAAATTTGATTATCATTTATATGATGTAGTAGTAATATATTATTGTTTGTGGCAGTTAATCTTGTTGTTACTTGTGCTGAATGGATATTATATATGATGTTGTCCGTTTAGGCCTTAGTTTTTATTGTTAAACGGATTTTAAGGTCATATATTATGTATGTTGGATTGATGTTGCAATAGATCCTCTCTATTGTTATTATTTTTAATTGGTTAATTTTGTATAAGTGGATGTATGGGTGTTTGCAAGCCCTAAGACATGAAGAACACGTTCTAACAAAAACAGGTTCATTACATAAATATAAGTATATATATATTTGTTAAAGTGAAAATATGACATGTGAGTAGGGGGTCCAAATTTCAAACTACTAGTAGTAGAGGACATGTGAATGATTTTGAGGTTATAAAAACTTTTCGAAAAAAAAAAGTTGGATATTTGATTTTAACTGTTATTAAAAAAAATAATATGATATATATATGTTTAAAATTATTAATAAATAATAATGTCCAAACTTTTAAAATTATATATATGGCATAAACCATAGCATTCTCCATTCAAGGAATGGCATAATCACGGCACCATAGAGATTAGAAATGCGTATGTGGAAAGATGGGAATATTCTTATTCTCTACAAAGTGGCTGGCACAAGACTGACTGAATCTTCTGAAAAAGAAAAACAAAGACATGTTTAATTAATATTCGATAATACTGATCAGAAAAAGACTATACACAATAATAGTACTTATATTAGAAATACTTGCTAATTTGCTACCTGTACTGTACGCTATAAAAAATCAATAACCCACAACATGCAAAAAAATTAAAAGAATTTGTAGTATTTTGTTGTTAATGTATAATTAATTAATAAAAATACAAGACAAAAGGCGCCGACTAAAAAGTAGCCGTTAGTGACTCAAGGAAGACACCGCAAACCTAGGGGTATTTTTGTCATTCCCGCATTTAGTTAAAATTAAAAAATGAATCAACTAGAGATTATGTATTAAATGTAGTTTGTAGCATTGATTGAATTTTAATTGTGGCAATACATGGTTAATCGTAGAATCAATTATTATTTTACTATTTTTACAAATAAAAGATGTGCTCATTTGAAATTCAATTTAGTTTTTCTTTGGTTTGGTATATTATTTATTATTATTATTATTATTATTATTATTATTATTATTATTATTATTATTTTCCCTCCTAAATAAGTAAATAATAGTAATAAAATAAATAAATAAGAAAAGAATCCTGGTATATGGTAGAGTATGTAATTGCAGAGGGCAAGTGTGTCTGTGAATCTCACGCACACATTCCGATGCTTTCCGCTGTGTCTGCACAGCGCTGCTCTCTCCCATTTCCATTTCCATTACTGCCTCTGCCTGGGCCTGCTTTTCCACTCCCGATTTCGGCATTTCCCTTTGTTTCTTAGTCCTTCGCCTAAAAAAGCCTTTCTTTCAAGTTTCAACACTCGATTCTGCTGCGTGCCTGCCTTAATTCTTTGATTTTGCCAAGGTATGCCATGCCGCTTTGTGTTTCGTAGCTTTCACCGGGATCGCTTGTTGCTGTTTGTCTGCGAGCATTTATTTATTGTGCTTTAGTTGAATGTTTTTTGTTGTCGTTGTTCTTTCTTTTTTGGCGGAGAAGCTTTTTAGCCTAGGAAGGCGGTGGATGATGTTTTTCATTGTGCTACTGATAAGTTTGCGGTCGCATTTTTTGTTTGTGAACGTTTCCTGATAGGTTCGAGGGTTTTGATTCTTTTTCACTTGCTTTCAGGTGGAAAGTGGGAAGGAAAGGAGGAAGTAGGGAACTGGTTGCTTACAATCTTCGGGATTTGACATCTAGGGTTTCTTAATTGGGGGGTTTTTAGTTATGATTCTTATTTTTAATAGGATCTATGAACTTGTCTTGTTGGAAGGGAGTTGATTTCTTGAATATTGGTTTATTGTGAGACGCCATTGTTGTGCAGGTTATATATATATATATAAATTATACAGAGTATTTGATTTTACGTATGAACAAGGGATGGGAATAAGTAATTCAAAAGCTGAGAGGAGCACTGCTCTGAAACTGTGCAAGGAAAGGAAACGATTTATTAAGCAGGCCATAGATTCAAGATATGCTTTAGCGGCTGCACATGTTTCATATGTCCAGTCTCTTAGAAACATAGGCATCGGCCTTAGGAGATATGCAGAGGCTGAAGTTTTGGTGGAGGCCTCTCAATCGGCTTCGGCTACTGAACTCGACAAAACTCCATCCCACTCTTCATATCCATCTCCCTCGCCATCTCACCTCGGCGCTGTTTCCGATTCACCAATGTTAAATGGGAGCCCTCTTTCCCCATCCACTGCTAGAGTTAGTTATATGAAATCAGGTAGGACTAGTGCTTTGACAGTGAGAATGAGTCCTATGCCGAGGAATTTGTATGTGGAAGAAGGTGAATTTTCGATGCCTCCGCCTCCTCCTCCACCACCCGAGCCGGGATCTTCTTGGGATTACTTTGATCCTGCTGATGAGAGCTTTAGGTTTGTTGGCCAAAATACATCAGATCAGAATGTTGATGATGCAAAAATGTATGGGAATTTTGGTAAGGCTGAGATTGGTTTAAGCAAAACCAGTGGTCCTAGTGAAGGGTTTGTCACTCCCAAATCAGAGTCTCCTTCATATGGACGTGATAAATTAGTTGGGAACAATGTCAATTCTTCTGAGAAAGAAAAGCTTGAAAATGAGGCTCAAGAAAGAGTTGAGGAAGAAGTGACTGATATTACATCTAAGAAGGGGGTGAATGGATCGACAGAGAATAAGACAGGGAAGGCTTTGGCAGGACTAAGGAAAAATGTATCTTCTGCCGAGAATGGTATACATGCTGAAAGGGAGGATCCGTCTGAGTTCATTACACACAGGGCAAAAGATTTTCTTTCTAGCATGAAAGACATTGATAATCGCTTCTTTAGAGCATCAGAGTCAGGGAAGGAAGTTTCAAGAATGCTTGAGTCTTGCAAAATCCATGTAGGGTATGCTGAGGCTAGAGGTAATGATTTAATGATAGTAAAATGACGAAATTCCATGGCTTACTTTGAAGTGGGAAATTAGGCTTTTTATCTTTTGTTCCTTCTAGAATTTAAATTTGAGTTACTTGATATTTGTTTACTCTCGGTATGGATTCTGATACAGATTTGTGATTTGTAGGCGGGTCGCCAGCCTCGCTGTATTTGTCCTCTTTCAGAGCATCTTGTTGCCAACGTGCAAAGGCAAATGTATCTGATGGTATACCCCTATATGTAGACTAGAAATTTGAATTTAGCAATCATTATCTGCTTCTTGGTATTGTTAGAAATTCAAGTTTGTATTTACGCTATGTACCATAGTATGCTTAGTAGCTGCAAATACAAAAATTTTATGAGGTAATTGGAACATGATTTTTTAGTTTGATAATGAAACTTTACATTGTAAAGATGCCCCACATTTTGTTTCCTCATACTCAATCTCTGTACAAATATCAGATCATCTTGTTACAAAGGTTATCACTTGGAAAAGGACATCATCATCAAGATCTTCTTCATCTAGAAACCCTCTCAATGCAAGAGAGGATAATGATGACAGTGGAAGTGACTTTATTGATGAGTTCTGTATGATATCTGGAAGCCATTCTTCTACGCTGGAGAGATTGTACGCGTGGGAGAGGAAGTTGTACGATGAAGTGAAGGTACCTTGATTTTTAAATGTCTTTCATTATTTGTTCCTACCATCCAATCTATTGTCTAAATCATCTTTGACATAATAATAATCTTTCATGAATAAGTTGGGTTTCACGGGTTCAAATTATATTATATTGCTATTTTCATGTGATCCGTCGATAGGTAAAGGTGTGGCAATATGATTTATTGGTATGCAAATTACATTTTCATCTTATTGCCATGATATTTATTTTGATGCCTAAGTTCACATCATGATATTTTTTGACTGCAAATTGAATAATTTTTACTGATTGCTGTCGTGTCTTTCCAGGCCAGTGAGTCTATACAGAAGGAATATGATCGTAAATGCAACCAGCTTCGTCATCAATTTGCCAAGGACCTTAGCCCTCAAGTAATTGACAAAACTCGGGCTTCTGTTAAAGATCTACATTCTCGAATCCGAGTAGCTCTCCATGCTGTTGATTCCATATCCAAGCGAATTGAGAAAATGAGGGATGAAGAACTCCTGCCTCAAATCCTAGAACTCATTCAGGGGTAAGTAAGACTAATCTAATTCCGTAAACTAAATATGGCCTTGATATGTATTGTTGTATTTCAATCGTGGTTTTTATTCCTGATTTACATACACGCCTTCAGACTGACTCGGATGTGGAAAGCGATGCTCGAATGCCACCACTCCCAGTACATCACCATCTCATTGGCGTACCATTCAAAGAGTAACACTATCTTACCGCCCGGAGAAACACAGCGCCAGATCATCAACCATCTCCAGGATGAGGTGGAGTATTTCGGGCTGAGTTTCACCGACTGGATCAACAGCTACACCTCTTACGTCGAAGCTCTAAATAGCTGGCTCCAGAACTGCATCTTGCAGCCGCGGGAGCGACACAAGAACAAACGGGCATTCTCTCCACGGCGCTACGTTGCGCCCCCAATATTTGTCCTCTGCCGGGAATGGTCATCCGGGATAAAGTCACTGCCGTCTCAAGAAGTTAGCGACGCAATCAAAGCTTTTCTGTCGGACTTGCGTCATTCTGTGAGGAACCACCAAGCGGAAGAAACAATCCGCAAGACGGAAACAATGACAGCAACAAAGATTGATTCGGAGGAAAATGACGAAAATGTTGAAGAGGAGGGGAAGAATGAGGAGGTGGAATCGAATGTGAGCTGCATTCAGGGAAGCTTGACTAGGGTTCTTGACAGGCTGACAAAATTCTCAGAGGCTTCTGTGAAAATGTGTGAAGAGATGAGGCAGAAATGTGATTTGGCCAGAAATGCTTATGAGAATTACAGTGCCCCGGCACCAAGAGCCTTCAGCATTTGAAGTTGAAGTTTTATTGACTATCGAAATCTTGAAATGAAAATAAATTGAACTTTGGATGAATTTAGATAGGTTTCTCTTATATCATTATTATATACAACCAACCCATGTTTATTATTATTTTTAAAATAGTTTTAAATACTCTGAAATCTATTTTTAAAAATTATCTAATAATCTTAACTTCTTTTTTTTTTTTTTTTAATTTAAAATATTTAGCCAGCCCAATAAAATTTTAATTGTGAATAAAAGATAGGAATTCCGTTCGCCCTCAGCACAACCACAGTACCCAATTTCCCGCTTCTTCTTCTTTTTCCGCCTCGCTTTCACTCTTCCCAGCGCTGAATCCGAGGAGTAATTGCTAGTTTTGCTGCCCAAATTCGAATCGGCAGGATACCCCGCCACAGCTCCTACAAGCACCTTCCCTCTGGTTTTTTTTCTTTGGCCGAATCTTTTGGTGCGTGGATTTTATTGTTTTCTTGCTTCGTCAAATTGGAAGCCCGCCCTTTTCAGAACGAAAGAGGTAATGATATATTTTAGTGTGTAGATGAGTTTTGGATCTCCTTTGACGTGTGCGTTTTGTGAATCGGATGTTTCGAAACTTTTGATGCACGGATGGTCCGTAAGACTGTTTTGAATTGCAATTTTCAGATTTGGTTTGGGTGCTTAATCATAATGACTGAAAGGGAGCCCTCTGGTGGGAACAGTAAATCTAGGTCTGTCCTGGGTGATCTCACGGATAGGACTGGCACAAGGAGAATTCCCAGGAATGAAAAACGTGTCGATCGTAATGATAAGGATGGAGTCAAGCGCATCCGACTTTCGCCTGGAATTCGTACTGAGATGGAATCTTTTAAAGGAGACGTTGTTCCTGCTACTTCAGATGAAAATAGGAACCCTAATTTGCAATGTTTGGTCAATAGCAATGCTGCTTCTAGGCGTTCAGTGCATTTGGATCTGAATTCCGATGGTAGCAATGACTTGAACGGGGAGAATGTTGTTACAAGGAGGAGCTCAAAAGTTCATGGTGATAATGATGGACCTATGACTTCAGGTATCGATGGAGGGCCGTCAAAGATTATTGTTTTAGACAGATCCAGCACCTACAGAGAGAGACTCCAAAGAAGGAAGTACCAAAGCAACAACGAAAGAAAGAGTAATCAACCATATGCAACACTCATGTCCCAGGAATCCGGGGGTACAAGCACTGGAGGAAAAGCCGGCAATGTTGCAATCATCGGTCGTGATGAAAGGAGTGAGTCCCAAACTGTTGGTTTAAGTGCGGTTCGTGATTGTGGCAAGACTGATCTTTTGAAGAATGTTTTTTCATCAATGAAAGATAAAACTGATAGTAAGGATGCCACTGTAGCTGAGGGTTGCAGTGAACTACATTCGTCTAAGGGGAATATGCTCCAGGGAACTTCTGAACTAGTATTGGGGAATAATAGGCCCAAGATGGGATTTAATGTTCGAGAAACCAATGGAGGAAACAATCTGAATTTTGTAGATCTTGGGAGGGGCAATCCTCCTCAGTGTATGGATGTCAGAGCTAATGCTGAGCAGCATGACAGATTTGCTGCTGGTAGCTCAACGAGTGCCAAAAATCGTATCACTGGCAAAGAGATCAGAAGTCTGGAAGCCAGACAAAGTGAAGTAAATTTTGATCTAAATGCAGATAATTTGATCATGAGTCAGTCCAGCTCGTGTGACCCTGAAACCATTGGGGCAGTTGGACTGGATAGATCCTCTGAGAAGGGGGACTGTGTTCATATCAGTGGGGGTACTGAATCGATCAGAGGATGTTCTTGTTCTTTTTGTGCTAAAGGTGCATCTGATGACCTGATTTAACATTTGTAGCATATTAACAGTAGCTTGGTTTGCTGAGATATTATGGTTTGAATTGCTGTAGTAAGGCCATGTCTTTTGTTTTGACAATCAGCTGCACATATATGGTTGGACCTCCATCAAGAAGACATCGAGGGCCGAGTATCAGGTAAGTGATGTTTATATGGCACCAGTATATTATATTTTCCTTGGCTATGATTTCAAATGGTGAGAAAGAACATCAAGAAACTGACATGACACATGGGAAGGAAAATGATGGTTTACATACTGTTTAGTGTTTTGATCACACCTTAGTTTAGTTTAAACCCATTTGGATGCTATGGATTTTGTAGTTGTAAGAAAGAGCCAGAGGGATGCGGCGCTGCTGGCTGAAAAAAGCTGTGGGAGTAGTAGTAATGCTAGTGATGAAAGAATGACTGGAGGAATTGAGAAGATGCAATCTCATTTGATGAATCAATGGAGATGCCTGTTTCAAGGCATGGCCGGCATTTGGAAGGAAGAAGGCAATCACCTTGTAAGTTCAGTTCAGTTTAGTTCCCTTGATGGATTCGGTAAATTGGATATTGAATGCAATATTTGAGGTTTGGATGTTGCAGGAAGCTAGTTTGCAACCGCTGGTGGAGCTGAGGGAGAAATGCAGAACAAATATGAAGTCTTCGAAGCTCTCATCCAAAGAAGTTGAGCATCAAGCAAGCAAGAAAGACATAAGTAAGTAAGTAAGTTTAGATGAAATGGATCATGATTTGGTAGCAATTCACTCTACCTTCTTGTGTCATTTTTTGTCCAAAATTCGCTATCTTCTTGTTTGTTGTCTCGACCCTCCTACAGTTCCATCATTATATCCTCATTGTTAATACTACTATTAAGCTTTGGAGATTAATTTTGATTTTTTGGAAAGCCAACGTGTTGTAGCAGTAGCAAACCAATAAAAAAGAAACCATCAAACCAAGCTACTAAAAGTTGTTACTATATATATGACTTAATGAGTGTTGGGATCTTAATTACTAAGTGTTATGCATATGGAAGTTTTTAAAATACTTAGGATTCTGTATACTTACATGTAGTATTATTTATTGCTTCGATTACGGTGTTGATTGGAGATTTATCATATGAAAAATACTATATATAACATAAAAATTCGATAGACAATACATGTATAAAATATCGGTGTGTTGTCAGTTTTCTGTCATCTATATATAATGTATTGTCTTATATATTAATATAATCAGCACTGTAATTGTGGTCAGTCATTATTTATTAGGATTGTTTTGGTGTGTGTTTTTATTTTTGTGCAGAAATTAGCCAAGCAAAGGTAGAAAGAATGTTTGTTTGAATTGTAAGATTGATTATCTATATTGATATCATTGGTAGCTTCGCTTAAAGGTTCAATTAATTTTAATTTTCTTAGAAGGGAGTTTTGTGAATGAAATTAGGATAAGATGATGAATTGGTTTTTTTTTTTTATAGAATGGATTAAAAATAAATAAATGATCATGCGTATGTTCTTGTTGAATGATTGTATAATTTTATCAAGTAATATGGTTGTTTAATTCTATAAAACATGTTAGAAAAATAAAAAGTCATAGTGATGTATGTCACCATCTGTGCATGTTTAAAATCAAACTGATCAGATTGGTGTAAGTAAAGGTTGACTTTGATGCTAGCCTCCACAATGTAATTAATAATTAATAATTGGTGTCAAGGTTGACTTTGAAGCTAGCCTCCACAATGCCATTATTTGCGCTTTATTCCCTTGTTTTTTTTCCTTTTTTTAGCCCTCATATTCAATATTATATTTATTAGATAATAATATATTTAAAACATCTTAAATACAAACAAATTTTCTAAGTAAAAGTTTAGAGTATATATACATAATATATACATACACTTTTAAGTAATATAAACGTGAGAAGTAGCGAGGTGGCAACATGACAAAGACTTGTAATAATTGTTTAGGAAATTAATGGTGTTAAATTACATAAAAGTCAAGTAAGTTAATTAAATTGCATATTTGCATTGGCAACACTAACACTAAGTAAGGAGCTGGTAGATAATAAACACTAACACAATATTATTTATTATATTAATTTAGTAAAGTTCAATTGTCAACGAAACGATGATTAGTGTGCCTTGTATTATTATATTATATTTGGAGATGCACAAAAAATTTCATAAATGATTCTTCCTCAACTATATATATATATATATATATATTTAAAACTTTATCTACGCACTAAATTAACACCACCTCACAATATATAATTCAAATTTAAGAAAGTCTTGGTTAAAGATATAATTGTCAAATTAATGCCAATTTTAAATTAGATTATTGTTAAAGCCGCAACATATAAATTTGCATTTGGAATTTGGTTCATTCATTTTTATTTTTTTATATATATTTATATTTATATTTTTTTGATTTAATTTTAGTGCAACATAGAACAACACGAATCAACCTGGCGATTGGTTTTATTTATTTATTATTACTACTGTTATTATCGAGGTGGGTGGGGGTGTTTTCAAGTGCATTATTGCATTTATTTATTAGAGCATATGAAGTCAAACCATAGAAAGCAATAAACTTGATTAGTTTTTTGTGACCCAATTTTGAGATCTACACTATTATTAATCAATAAATTCCTTTCGATAAAAAAAAAAAAAAAAAAAAAAAAAATCAATATAATCTACTCGATCTATTTCTGTGTTGAAAATTAAATACATAAAAGTTTAATACTTTCTTTAAATTTTTTATATTAGTATTATTTTAACCTACAGGATTATACTCCCTTCGTCCTATATCTACGTATCAATTTGCTTTTTCACGGAATTTTAAAAATATTAATATTATATTAAGATAAAATATAAATAAAGATAAAAAAAATTAAATTAACTCTATTAATATGGTATGATATAAAAGTAATGATATTTGTATAATATATTGTAAATTATAAGGGTATTTGTAATGTTAGGTAGATGGTACAATTACTTAAAAAAAAAAAAAAATGAAATAGATATTTTGTTATGGGGTGAATTAAAATAAAAAAATAAATAAATAAATTGTTAAGAGACTTATGAATATCAAGTGTCGTTCAGGACAAGATGGAATCTAAAGAACTTGCAAATTAAAGTTAAAAGTAATTAACACAAGATCGAGCCAAACCTCAAACCTCGTACTTGCTGATAACACGTGATATTTCTCAATTAGATACCTCAAAACGAGTACGAATAATCACAATAATAATGATAATAATAATAATAATTCAACGTACATGGAAAACAGAAAAAATACCAAAATGCATGTGAATGAATGGAACAAAACCACGTGCGAGTCACATGCATAAATCAGATGCTTGCTCTACGACAAAATTAAAATTAATACTAGCAGTTTTATTGTTTTATCTTATTTATTTTTACAATAATTTATAATTTATTTAATTTTTCTGTTTTTAGCTAGACGAAGGAACTTTCTTGTATGACAATTTATAGTAAATAAAATGTGGGTGCACAGTAGATGTAGGGGTCTGAAGATGGAAATAATAAAATTTAAATTATAACAGTTGTTAATACAATATAAATAAATATTGAATATGATATTTAAAAAAACATAATATTTTCCATTATAATATATTAAATAAAAAATAAATATTTAATGTAAAATATTTAGAAAAAAATTATCTATGAATAGAAAAATGTAGCTAGAGTTGTTAATTCATCCAAAGAGAACCAGTAATCAATCCTCTTGCCTCTTGGCATGGAATATGATGTAGAATCACCACCACAAAATAAGACAAAATGGCTGCGATCATGATTCAAATCGACGGCCTAGATCATTTATCTGCCAACAGATAAAGCCAAAACTCCTGAGCATTTATTACACGATACATAACAAAACCAAAAAAAAAAAGGAAACTACTAGCACAATAATAGGTCAACCCAGACTAATAGCACTCTTATTCCTATAATAATAATAGTAATAAAAAATTAAAATATAATATAATATACTTTTTTTATAAAAAAAGATTAAATAATATTTTTTTTGTTATTTTTTTTAGATTGGTAAAAAATTATTATATTTTTATATTTTTTACTATAAAATAAAAAAAGAAAATAATTATTATATATTTTTATTAAAATTAATTAGAATTTTTGAGCGACCAAGAAGGCTTTATAAACCCTAGCGTAGGCTTGGTGGAACCACAATAATAGCAATCCGCAATCTGCAGTGCAGAGCAGTACTTGTCTTTCTTCTCCAATCCCTTGTTCCTTCTGTTTTTTTCTTCTTTCTTTCTGCTTAATTTTCTGTCTCTCTGTCTCTGTCTTTCCAAGATCCATAGATTAGATTTTAGTAGTGTAAAGATTTTGGATTTCTTAATTGAATGTTTGCTAGCCCATCTAATCTAGCTAGAGGGTGTGTGTTTTTTTCTCTCCCCCTCTAATTAGATTTGATTAGAAAGTGCTAATCAATCGATCCAGCTGGTAATTTGCAGATTTTGTTCTTCTTCTGCGATCCATTCCATCCCATCTTTCCCATGGCGGCAACTTTGAACACACAGAGCTTAAACAGTAGTCATGTTTGTGTTTTCCCACCCTCTGCTGATCTCTTCTTCTTTTTCAGAGAGGATCAGCAGCAGCAGCAGCAGATGCTTCTGGAACTGGAAGCACTCTCACCTTTGATGAACAGTGCTACTGTTTCTTCTTCCCAGCTTCACTTTCTTCCCCAAATTTCTTCTTCTTCTTCTTCTTCTTCATCATTATCATCATCATCAGCGCAATTCCAATTTCAACGACAGCAGCAGCAGCATCTCGATTTCAAATTAATAAATCATGAGGAGCAGAGGACTTGGGGGTGTGTTGGGCCAAAACCTGTCCCAATGAAGCTGCAGGGTGGGTGCAAGGGGGGAACAGTGACGACAACAAATAAGAAGAAGAAGCTGTACAGGGGGGTGAGGCAGCGGCACTGGGGGAAATGGGTGGCCGAAATCAGACTGCCTAAGAACAGAACCAGGCTTTGGCTTGGGACCTTCGAAACTGCGGAGGAAGCCGCCATGGCTTACGACAAGGCGGCCTTCAAGCTCAGAGGGGACGCCGCCAGGCTCAATTTCCCGGACCTGAAACAATATTATCTGAGCCTACAGCAGCAACAGATCAACGATGATCATCAGTTTAACAAGCAGTCCTCCTCCACCTCTGTGGATGCCAAGCTTCAGGCCATCTGTGAAACCTTGAGCTTGGCAGGTGATGATCATCTGCAGAAACAGGATTATACCGGAGAAGGTGGAGTAGATACTTGTTTTTCTAATTCCAAGGAGGATAACCAGCAGCAGCAGGAGGGATTGAAGAACAAAATTGTGAAGCATGATGAGTCGTCTTCGTCTTCGTCTTCTTCTGTGTCATCATCCTCTTCGACATCTCCTCCATTGGATGAGGTATCATTATCAGTATCAGAGTCGTCATTGGAATCATTATTATTCTCATCAAGGTCGTCTTGTTCCAGCAGCTTGTTCGAGGAATGGAATGATTTCTCATTGCCTAAGTACCCGTCCATTGAGATAGATTGGGCAGCTCTATAATCATAATCATAAAATCATAAGTATTGTATTGTATTTGTATGTGTGTGATTGAGTGGTGGTGGGTGGGTGGGGGTGGGGTTGGGGTCTGGCCTGCTGTGCTGTGCAATGGATTTTTTGGACATTGGCAGATAGCAGGTAGCTGCTACCCATCAGCATCAGCATCAGCATCAGCATCACCTCTACCTGTGGTGTGTATGTTGTCTTTCCTTTCCTATAGTGGCTCACTCACTCTGTTGTTAATACATGCAGTTTTTATGAATGATTTAATTTGTAATTAAATTTGTGAGGATTATCAATTCAGATATACTATATGAATATGATCGAGCTAAGTGTTACATTAATCACGCATTCGTCGTCGTCTGTGCGTGCACATTACTATTAATTAATTCATTTATTACTCACTCATTAGTTACTCATCTGTGGAGATCCAATGTTGATGGTTGACGGGACTCACACTAAGTCCAATGCTGCTATTCTTCTATTTTTTAATATGACGTGAAAAGTTTAAATTTATGTCCTTTCATAATTCATTGCTACACCATAAGATAAGATCATTTATACATTTGGATTGTTTGTATGATAATAATAATAACAAATGACAAATGATTTATTCTTAGAGTGCATAATAAAGAAACTCCAGCTCAATTGAGAAAGTAAGTGTTTGAATCCATGACCCACAGTCAAATTAATTTGCTGTACCAATTTAAACACCCTTTAAGGGTCGTCTCCCACTTTGATAAAAGGATCAGATAAAGAGGAGGACTTTTATTTATTCATGGATTAATTATATATAATATTTTAATTAATAATGTTCATAATATGACAATCTCTTCAAATACATATATATATATATATATATATAATATGACATCTGATCAGAGGGCACAAAAATGGTGGCTGATCAATTACTGAGGAGTCATCAGCCGGCCACCATTAATAGTTCTTGCTCCAATTAATGTCGTATACCTACTTTTAGTAATTATGAATATATACATATATATATATATATAATAATAACAAATTAAGGAATCCATCCCTAAATAAATCAATCAATTGCACAAAAGACAACAAAATCTAGGAATTATGCATATACTTTTTGGCAACTTGTTCACAAGTTTCATCACTTAATTATGAGCATATATATATATATAATACTATATAATATGAGGTGGAGTAGGTTGTATTCTTTTCATCATTTACGAATTAATATACATACATATATATATATATAATACATTAATTAAGCATGAAAGAAGGAAAGAATTGAAGCTAAGGGTCATACTCATTCGTGCCTTAAAAGGCCAAAATAGAAATTCTTTTAATTTTTTTTAATATTAATTAGTTATTTTAACCTATAAATATATTATATAAAAAATAAAATATTTTATCCTAAATATTACTATTTTTGTAACTTGTACTATTTTTTTTCCTGACTACTTCATTTTTTTTCTCTTTCACCGTTCCATTTTAGTGTCAACGAGAATTGAAAAAATTAAGATGACATTAACCGGATAAAAATGAATTGACAAGAAACTTCTTATATTGTTTGATGTACACACAAAAAGTCGAATGATTGATTCAAATAAAAAAAAAAGATAGCTTATTTTATGACTCGAAATACGTTAAAACTAAAAATAAATGATAAAAAGGAAAAAATTAATAAAAGTAATTTTGGCCCTGAACCTCAAAGCTGGTTTCGTCTAACAGGAAAAATATATCCTGGATGAAGTGAGTATATATCACCAGAAATTAATAATCAATAAATAAATGACAAGTTGAAAAGAAGCATCTATGTATGTTATCCCTTTCTTTTCTTTCTCCATCATCAATATGCAAATATCTGCACACACTGCCAAAATTTATGCAGAAGGAAAAATTATTGTGATTGTACAGAAAAAAATAAAAATAAATAGTAAACAAAAACAATCTCTCTTTTATATGATAGATCGTAGATGGGCCCTTCAAGAATCCATGCATCCTTCTATTAAAGATAAGTATACATATATATTCCACCACTTTTATATATCTACGTACACTTGCTCTTACAGGATTCTCAATAATTAATAATTATTATTATTATTATTATAAAAAAAAAAAAAAAAAAAGGTTTTAAGAGAGATTCTTTTCTTTTGTAGAGCAAGAGAGCTGAGGTCTGATGAGGTACGTTGGTCCATACAATTACACTTTATTTGTTGCTTTTTGGCCAGCCGTTAGTTAGAGAAGTTTAATTAGTTACAAAATTATTAAAGAGGTTTAGTAAAAATTAATTCAGGCTGTCTTTATGAAAAAAACATTAATTATTAGCTTCATTAAAGGAATTAATCAAAAGCTAGCTAGCTAGCTAGCTGCTAGCCTGTTCATATTATCATATATACATTAATTAATTGCATTAATTACTATTATTATTATTATTATTATTATTATTATTATTATTAAATTTAGCAAGAATCTTATATATATATATATATATATATATAATATTCATTACTTATAAATTATCCCAATCGCTATCAGAAATTAAAGAAAGAATATTTTAGCTAGCTTTTTTTTGTTTTTTTTTTTAGTATCTCGTCTTCATGATATATTATATAGCGCCACCACTACACTTGCCAAATTAAATTCCACACCACCCTAACCGGATTACTTTACTTAATTTTTGTTGGACTATATTTGTTTAGTGTTTTAGTTTGAAGTGTTTTAAAAAAATATGAAGTATGAGCAATTGTGTAGTATAAATAATATGTTTTATTTTGAATTATTAACTTTTTTGAGAGACTAGAATATATATTATTTATATCAAATAGATGCATGTGTATTTATACATAATTATAAAGTAATTATGAAAACAAAAACAAAAACAAAACCAATGGTTTCTGATTTATATTTATTGTGGTGTTGCATGCGATCGATCATTATTATTATTATTGAAAATGATGTGCACATGCAATGCAATATACTCCATATGAACCACTAGTAGGGTTACGATATTATTATTATTATTATTATTATAGGATGAATTAATGGTGCACATATATTAATAAGTGTAGCCATTTTGGTTGGTTCGGATGCTTTCCATATTCTCATGATATATATATATATACACACAAAATTCAAATTTGAATTAATATAGATATCCAATTCAATATGGATCAAACATCAAGGAAAAGAATAAATAAATAAATAAATTACTACTATTCCAACGAATAATAATAATAATGGTTAAGAGTGTTGTGTGGAAATGATTATTAGTCGCAGGTAGAGAGTACTTATTAGTGAAATGATGTGATTAAACATTAATTAATTTTTATTAATTGAGTCCTGCAAGTCCAAGTGAGAATTGATCAGATGGGCTTTTGTTGGATCTTCTTTGTCTATTGGGCTTTAATCTATTCATTCCTTTCTTTCTGTTGGGCTTTTGATGTTAATTGGGTTCAAAATTGGAAATTTTTAAATTTTGGTATACAGTGCTGGATGAATATATCATCCCTCTCTTTTCATTTAATTTCTTCCAATATATAAATATATATATATATCTTATTTGTCCCAAATTACATGGAATAATAATAGTAATAATAATAATAATAAATCACTTTTTGTCAATTCAGTACTGCTTTGCTTTCCATTCATCAATTATCATCATATAAAAGAAGTAAAAAAGGATAACTTCAATAAAGCACCCATCCCCACCTTAAATAAAAGGAACGTGCCATCATATCATATCATTAAATAAATAAATATATATATATATATATATATATATATATATTCAGTAAAACCTTTACCGACATCGATCCTTGCTTCCTCTCTCTCTCTCTCTCGAAATTATTGAGCTTGTTTGGTTTTGTTTCTTGAATAGGCTATATATATATATTGATCTGCAGTTAATAAACTTTCCAGCTTAACACAAGAATAAGATATTAGAAAATATAATTGAATATGGTAATAATATGTATAGTGATAGTGATGGATGATGATTGGGGCGTGGAAGGGCACTAAACCTATGTGGATCATTGTAGGAAAAACCCATTTTCTTCACACCACCAATTCTTTCGCTTTCAAACTCTTCTCTCTCTAAATCTATTGCACACTCACTAAAAAAAAATTAAAAATAAAAAAGACAGATAGCAAAAACTAAAAAGGCTCCATATCTATCTATCTATCTATCTATCCATCACTTCTCTTTTTATCTTAATATCTCTTCTTCAATCTTTAATTTTATCCTCTCCCATCATCCCCATGCATGCATTATGCATCCAACTTTTATATAGATATATGATCCCACATTGAGTATATATATTCCCACAATGTATTTAATTAGTTTTACAATCCATTCTTAATATGTTCTTCTTTTATTTTTTTGCTATATATAAATAAATTAAGAAGTTGGTATACACTTGACAATTCTACATTGTTCCATCAAGGGGCTCTCTAATTAATACTAATACTAGTGTTTCGTTAATTTAACATATATAAAGTTTATATATATATATATATAATAAATATTAGAGGAGAGATTTCATCCACGTGTATTAAATTAAAATTGAACTCTAGAACAAATACTTCTTTGTGTTCATATCTTGTATTCAAACAAGTAGCAACGTAATGTAAAGCATGCTAACACTTAAGCTAATGACTCTATTCTGAGTTTTGTTTTAATTATGTTATTTCAACTTACGATATATCACATTCAAACTATTTTCAATTAATAAATCAAAATAAAATACAAAACCAAATAATAATAATAATAATAATAAATCACCCAATAATTTTGTAATGGGGGACAACTGCCTGACTGTCACACACCTCTTAGTTATCAGAAATAAAATGTGCTGGTCATACCACATATATATTTTGTCACTGAAACTTTAAATATATATATAAAGGAAATTAATTATGGCAGTGGAAGTGGAGATGGAGATATGAGGATGAAGATGGAGGAAGGGGCTAATGAAGATGTGACTCCAGACTTTATAGACTAGCTGGTAGCCCTAAAAATCAGAAAGAGACAAATATATATATGTATAACTGTATATTTATTGAATGATAGATTTATTTTTAAACTAAATTAAAGCCTTAAAGGTTTGATGATATATATGCATGGAGTGGTCGTGGTCGTGGTGGATATAACCGAAAATGCATGTTTTAAGATAAGCTAGGGGATAGATAATCCATATGTTAGTTAATTAGGATAATATAATATAAATGGTCTTATGCATGCTTGGGACATGTGTTCTTCTGCATGCTAATTAATTATATATATATATATATATATATAAAGCCACACGATCTCGTAATTATCCACCCTTTATATCGTCAGTAATTCCTTTTCTGCAGATGTGTGTGTCTGTGTTTTATCCACAAAACGACAATCTGGTAAGATAAGTTGAATTAAATTAGTGAAGTATAAATATATAAATGACAATAGTTTATATCTAATGATATAGACACCAAAAAAAATAAAAACTGTTGGAGATAAAATCAATGTGGAGGAAGTTAAGGGTGATGGATGGATGGATGGATGGATGGATGGATGGATATATACTCAACTTATTATTATTATATATGTTGGGTGGGTGGTGGGGTTTGTTGTGTAATTTCACCATCACATTGTTTCTTGTATCATCCTTTCAAGTGGTAGTTATTTTAGTTACTTGTCTATCGTGTTTAACTTCAACTGTACATGTAATAATGTGTTACAAACAGTCTGTTACCGCAACTGTATAGCAAGTTTGTATTTATCCTTTGTCTTTTCTTTCAAGTCTATACATAAGACAAAAAGAATATTTTTGGGATGGTCAAAACGTATCAAATTTCTAGAGATACTCACTCATCATTTCAGTGCAAAAAAAAAAAATTAATGAAAATTGTAAAACCATTTTTCAGAAGTTGTCTATACAATCGGGATAATATGAAAAGTTGGTTATGAATAGAGTTTAGGAGTATATTGTAGAGAGAGAATAGATACTTCTTCCTAATTTTCATATTTTGAATACGTGTTTAACACAAAAATCCGCCAAAGTTGTCGGAGATTAGAGTAATCGAAGTTCCAACTAAAAGAGATGACCAAGCTCTGAGCTACTTTACTTTGTTTTCCCTGTACTTATTTTCGTTGTTTTCCCCTCATTTTGTTAATTCGATTCAACCTTTGCAAAATCAAATCCCAAGGCATTGTTGAGTCCTTCAAAGAATTCATCATGTACATGTTTTAGCCTTTTCGCTTGGTCCAAATTACACAGATCATCCAACAATCAAATTCGTCCAATGACTATATTTCGTATTTACATTTTTTTTTTTTCTTGATATTTCTTAAAAGTTTAGTTGAGAAAAGGGTGTCAAGTCTCGTTCGATATATATTCAAATTTAAATTTGTTGAAATTGTCAAGAATAGAGAATCTATTGTGACATGAGATCTGTTTCCCTGTTGAAGCTCCAATGAATGCAATTGCAGAGAATTAGGCATGGGTTATGGTAACTAATTAATAATATTGATACAAAGCATCTCATACCTTTATGATGACAAGAATATATGTTATTTATGTATATAAATTAATATCAGAATATATATATATATGTCATGCATGGAATATTTAGTGCTACATAATAATTTATGCATATATAATAATTAATTATTTAATTCAAAAGGTTATGTGGATGGTCTAAATACTCCTACTTGCAACTACCCATCTTTCTTTCATGTTTGATTCGACATATATATTTATCTTTTTTAAGGATTCTAAGCATTGCACTATGTTTGGTTCCCTTTGGTGGATATCAATCATACTTTGTAAATAACAAATATGGAACAACATTAATTCATGATAATTAAATATATACAATTTACTAATAAATTTATCTTAGTTTTCTGTAATAATTACTTACAACAACGACTAGTAGTGTAATACAATTGTAAGAACGAACACGATATCAGTAGATTAATAAATTAAAGTTGTATATATGGAGCATAAAATTGTTTTAATTTTATGAGCGTGACATTTTGTTTAGAGTGATTTGAATAATGTGTGGTAACGCACAATTAAGGGTTTGTGCAATTTCATTTTCTTTATAATGTATTTTTTATTTTAGGTACCGAGAATTTATCGATAATATAAAAAAATAATATTTTGTATTAAATTATTATTATGTTTAGTAAATAAATAGATCGTGTATATATATAATATATATATATTATGTATTGTTATTTTTATAATATTTATGATAATATATACCCACGTGGCTGGCTGGCGGCGGCGAATGTGTTGTCGTCGACGAGGACGAAAACGAAGGATACAAATAAAAATCAACCACCAGAGACAGGACAGGAAATAGAGGTGTGGGCCCTACCAGACCCAGATCCGACCCATACCCGGATACCCCTGATACCCTCCGTCTTCTCTGCTCAGTCTCAACTATAAAAACCAACCAAACACGCCCCAAATTTCCCACTCTCACTGATCTCCTACCTACTTGATCCATCCATCTAATTACCTTTTGCATCTTTTTATTTTTAATCTTCAATTCAATTTCAAAATTGGGTTTGATTTCGAGCCTTTCCTCTCCTCTCCACCTCATTTGTTGATTGATCCATCCCGGATTTTATCTATCTGTTTCTGGAACATATATATATATATATATATATATAAAATAAGATGAGGAGGAAGCAGCAAAGCATGGCGTTTACGAGATCGAGCGATGGCGGGATGAAGAAATCTGATCAGTGCGAGAATAGTAGTGATCATCTGGATGATGAGTTGAAGAGTAAGGCGTGGGCGGATTCCATGAGAGCATCTTCTCCGACAAGGAATCTTAGTTGTAATAACATGGAAATGGAAATGGAAATGATGAAGCTGTGGAGGGTGGAGCACCCGTCGGCGCTGGAGATGGTGGAGCAGATCACGGGGGCCTCCAAGGGCAAGCAGATTGTGATGTTCCTCGACTACGATGGCACCCTCTCCCCCATTGTCGACGACCCTGATCGCGCCTTCATGTCCAAAACTGTACGTATCCATATATATATATATGTGTGTGTATATATAATGAATAATTAATTTGAGTGTTGACACGGCAGATGCGAGCAACAGTGAGGACACTTGCGCGGTATTTCCCCACTGCCATAGTCAGCGGCAGGTGTCGGGACAAGGTAATATTTTTTCATCCTTAATTAATGCGTATAGTACATGTGGATATATATACATAAACGCAATTCAATAATGCAGCAATGCAATTGAATAATTGATTAATGCAGGTGTACAGTTTTGTTCGTTTGGCGGAACTGTATTATGCTGGGAGCCATGGAATGGACATCAAAGGCCCTGCAAAAGCTTCCAACTACGTTACTAAAGTCAGTTACTAAATAATTGGCTTCCTTTCATTCAATTCAATTCTATATGGAATATATATTGTAATGGTATTTAATTTGTCGTTTCTATATAATATAATTGAGACAGCTGCAGAAGAAGGGTAGCAGTGCAACTAGTCATGCTGCGGCGGCAGCGGCGGCGGCTGCTGTTCTTTTCCAGCCAGCCAGGGAATTTCTCCCCGTGATCGATGAGGTTCCTTACAAATTAAATTCATCCCATACATATGTACAGCCTAATTAAAAACTCTAATTCGAAATTCAATGATATATGTATGTATAGGTGTACAAAGCCCTTTTGGAGGTGACAAAGTCCATAGCAGGTGCTAGAGTGGAGAACAACAAGTTTTGTGTTTCTGTTCATTTCCGTTGTGTTGATGAGAGGGTACGTACACAATACACAATACACAGACATGCTTATTCTGTTTGACAGAACAAGGTATTATATTAAATGTAAAAAACTAATTAATAGTATATGTGCAGAAATGGGGTGAACTGGCGAAGCAAGTTGGGTCTGTGTTGGAAGGGTATCCAACTCTTCGATTGAGCCAAGGAAGAAAGGTTGGTAGATATATATGCTTTTAATAATTCTCTCTCTCTCTCTCTCTCTCTCTCTCTCTCTCTCTCTCTCTCTCTGTCTGTCTGTAGGTATGTGTGTGTGTGTGTGTGCATGTATATGTGGTTTAGTTGGCAGGTTGCACAAAATATATAAATATGTAATCATCAAGACATGGGTGGATTTGATTATATACCCTATAATAAAGAAGCTAATAATATATAAGCCAATTAATTATATATGAAAGTGATATGTGATTATAATTGATATAACATAATATAATATTATTGGGTGTTTAGGTGTTCGAAATCAGACCAACCATTAAATGGGACAAAGGGAAGGCACTGGAGTTCCTTTTGGAGTCACTTGGTGAGTAATTTTATCTACATACAGTATCTTTTTTCATTTTAAATATTGCTTTACTATAAATTACTACTAATTTATTGCATGCCCCATGATTTGACACATTAATTAATGTAATTGGCAGGATACGCGAATTGCGCTGATGTGTTTCCTATATATATTGGCGATGATCGAACCGATGAGGATGCTTTTAAGGTAATTCTATCTATATATATATATATATATATATATATACATATGGCATGGATCGATCAATCGTTTGAATGAATATGAACATGAAAATGATGTATTAATTGGTAGGTGCTGAGAGAGAGGGGGCAAGGGTTTGGTATTGTGGTGACGAAGACAGCAAAAGAGACATACGGGTCCTACTCACTCCAAGATCCTGCAGAGGTTATGGCTTTTCTAAGGCGCCTTGTCGCATGGAAGAGGATGTCTCTACGGCGGATCAGGTCCAGAATCCACCAGATCAACAACTACCTAGTTTCCTTACCCACCTCTTAATTAATTTCAAGGGTTGCAATGCATTGCCCTAAACCCTATTTTAATGAATTAAACTAACTAACTATTAATTAGCTAGGGCTAATCGAAATCAGTTCATCAAAGCCCCTAACCCTTGTGTAAGAATGTGTCTGTGTCGTCTATGCATGTATGTTCTTAATTATGCCGATTGATCATCGATGTCCTGTAATGGAAATGGAAACAGTTGCAACAACCAGCACAGGCCAATTGTAAATCTTGAATTCAATATTAATTAACTCAAAACTTAACCAATAACAAATGCCTAATCAACGTAATGACAAATATTAATTATGATTATCTGTTTACACCGTAACTCTCAAAAACCCTCACATAATACTTTCCATATGAAGATAATTTTGTGATTTCCATTAAAAAAAAAATATACAAAAACAACAACAACAACAAATTACAGAGAAAAGAGATACAAAATATAATTCATATGATGAGGATCTAATATATATTTTAAAATTTTATATTTTCAACCTTTCATTAACTTTGGGAATCTTTTTCGCAATAATAAGATGACATATAACACGCAAAGGTTTTGCTCGTGGCGTAAAATTTATATTTTGGAATACTGTCTCGTATTGAAAAATTATGGAAACTCCCTTTTGGATATAATGATGAAAAACTACTTCATTTAGTATCAAAATGATTTTAAATTGAAACCCCAAATCTCTTTTTAATATATATATATCAAGAATCCTAACCCACATTATATTTCCATATATAGATCATATGTATGTATTAAAGCTACATGTACTAATCAAGATTACAATCAAGTTGGCAACTTGTATACAAGTTAAGAAGCAAAAGAATAAAATCAGTGAAGTAATTAATAGAAGTTGATAAATGGAAATCATAATTATATTGCACTATTTGGTGTTATATGATTCGTTGCTAATGGTGGTTATTAGTTTATGAAAGATCCAATTAGTGATATGGTAATTATATAATAGTGTTCATTAGATTTGGTTGTGTTTTTTAATGCTAATAATGTTAAGGGAATAATAACATTGGTGATAGTGTCCTTAATTAATCAATTAGTTTAGTAGTAGCATTATATTGTGTGGGTATTCTCAATCATAGTTGGAATATTCAGAGCAAAAGGCTTTTCTCTAATATAATATTTATAATTAATAATTTTAATATTTGTTAATTATAATTTTATTATTCTTGCATACGTATTGCTAATTAATTTAATTAGTTTATTAGGGCAATTATTGTTTCTAGGAAACAATATCTAATATCTAAGGCATCAAATCTTATGATGCATGTAATGTAATCATTATTTAATTACTTGAAAGAGCTTCTAGAATATATTTGAATGGAACACATACGCATTTGAAATTTTGTACAAGACTTTATTCTGTCTTTGAAAGTAACTTATTTAGGTTGTGTTCAGATATTTAGTTACGAAAAGTTATGATAATCATAAAAATTGAATGAAAGATAACTTTTTTCATGTTATGAAATTTATGTATTATTTTGTGTTGTATTAAAAAAAAAAAAAAAAAAAAAAAGATAGTGTAATTTTTTACTTAAAGAATAAAAATATCTTTTGATAACAATTGAAAAAGAAAAATAAACACAAATTTAAATGATATTGGAAAATAATGTATTGCATGTACTATATTAAATTATATAATAAGTTGTCTGAATATTTTCTGTGTATTGTATTATCATATATGGACAAACATATGCTATCTATTTTTATTAAATATGTTGTACTTGATGCAAATAGATGTTAAATATAAAATTTTATATTAAAATAATTTTAAAATAAAAAAAACTTCATTAGTTCACTTAATAAATTTATTTTTATCTTTTGTTTTCTTGTATTTAATATTAAAAATATTTTTATATAAAGTGTATATTATATATATTGTCTGAATATATGTATATTATATTAGAGGCAGGTGGGCTTTACAAATGTTAATTGGACACCTACCCAAAGCCCATTTTGACAAAGAGCCCAGAACATATATTATATAAGGTATATATGACTTAACATTTTATGGTTACATGCAAGTACACAACTCTATTCCTTTGCCCTAAAAACTATGGGTTATTTTATTGTAATTGTTTAATATTAAAATATTAAAATTTATTAGCTCTATTATATAAAAATATTAAATTTATTTTTATTATTAAGGTACAACTAATTATAATGACTTCTCATGATTATTTACAATTTTGAAAAACTTTTTTTTATGTGAACACCCATCCTTTAATCGATTTATTTTTATTATTGCATGCCGAAAATATTATTCGTTTGTTGTCGAAAAAATTATAGTAAAATTGGAATTATGGAAGGGTGGCGAAAGTTACCAAATTGATTTATGTTTGTCAAATTTTGTTTGATTTTGTTGTTGTAGTGTAGTACTTTTATAAATTTTGTAGAATAATATTCTTGATTTTATAGTTTCTTGTATCGTCATCATCTAGTTGAACTTTTGATGAAATTAATTATTGTATTTTGTGTAATTAAATGTTGTTGAATGGAAATCAAGTTGTTTTAAATATGTACGAAAGAAACTATTTTTGTGGGGATAGATAGAAACACAATTAAATATATAGCCGGATATGCACATAGCGGCGAAAATGAAAGAACATATATATAGATATTTGGAACAATTCTTTTGTGTGTCTATATCACATAACACGTAATCGTTACCCGAAAATGCGTATTAAATTAAACCCTCGATTGAACCTAATAGTCTGCAAATTAAGCCCGATAGACAAGTTACACTAAACTAACTAGATGGGGGTGGAATTTGAACCTATGATGTTGTCTAAGGCTATACTTGAACATTTACAGGGCCGGGCCGGGCTGATAAACAATGGTTAGACTTAATTAGGGTTAGATCTGCATCAGCCGCACGCACGTGTCTACGTTTTCAGAGAAGGGTAGCTGGCTGCCTGCTCAAATTGAAGCCTTGTTTTATTACATATAGTATTATTTAATTATGCAGTACTTTATTATTATTATTATTATTTAAATTTATTTTCGAATTTTTTAAAATAAAAAATATTATTGTTTTCAATTTTTTGTTTTTCTTTAAAAAAACTTTTTTATTTTTATTTATTTATTTTTGAACGCGTATCCGATCAAATTGACATATATTTTGATGAGAGAGGTACTAGGACAATTGATGTGATCTTCTTCATCACTTCTATGTAATAAATAATTATTTAATTAATACTCCATTATCACTATTTATTTATTACTGACGAATTCACCTTGCTCTGCATGTCTGACTGACTCCATCGTCTCCATTATTGCACTATATTTAATTTCACGAGAGTGTTGTTTGGTTAGGAGTTGAATGTTACATATAATACAAACAACTTTTCGAATTCCAAACAAAAGGATCAATGAAGAATGGCTTTTGTTCACGTCGGCCATTGGATTTGACTCCACGTAAATGATATTCATCATAAACTGTTTTTTTTTTTTTTATAAGGACAAAAATTATTAATATTTTTTTTAAAAGAAAAAAGAAAGGAGTAGTTAAAATCAGATTAGGAAGGCAGGCACGTGTAATACCCAAACTTTCCACTTGATTGCGGAGGAATAGAAGGTCCCGGACTCCTCCATCGCGGGTCCGCACCATTGATTGAGAGAGCGAAATACATACACAGACGTCAGACACGCGGTGCGATACAAGCTCCACGTAACACCAGTCCGGGACTCCCATGGCCATGCATATCAATACTACCTCATTTTAAGACACGGACATTTTAGTCAGTGAATTTAATAGCTTAATTACAATCATTATAATATTATTTTATTTTTTTATATATGTGATATTAGTATTTTTAAAATAAATATTAAGATATAGTTTTTTTTTTTTTTAAATATTCTATCTCAATAATATATATATATATATAATATGAATATAATTTTATAGATACAAATATTTGTATACTGGAAAGAAATAAAAATAAAAGAATTTTGAATGAATTTGATGTGTATGAGGTTTAAAATTTTATTAAAATTAATTTATATTCATCAAGTATGCTTAAAATTATTAAATTTATCAAAAAAAAATTATTTTATATTAAATTATTAAAAAAAATGGATAAGGCTTTTTTATATATATACTTTTTATCCATCAAATTTATTTATATATTATTTTTCAATTTATCTGTTGAATTTATTTTATTTTTATTATTATCAATATAATTAATTACATTATAAAATAATATTATAATTTATTATTAATAATTAGTTAAATATTAATTTTTAAAATGCCTATCACTAATTAAAAAAAATTCAATTGAATTGCAATGAAAAAAGTATAAACTAATGTACGAATTACGATACAAAAAAGAGTTATTTTGCTTTTTGAATCAGTATTTTCATTGTTAAAAATACCATTTTATTTGGATTGTAAAATATTAATGAAAATATATTTGTCAATTTTTTTTGATTTGTAAACATAATATAATAATCAATATTTAAATATTAATATGTTATACTATAGCATTACTAATTGTACAATTAATTTATTAATTATTGCTTATTAATTGTGATAATTATAATTGTATTAATTACGATATATTAATGGTGAGTATTTAATATAAATTGAATTTTTAAACAAATTTAGAAGAAAGATAAAATGGAGTGGGTCCAGCGATGTGTTTTATATGGAGTATATAAAGACAATTGAGGCAGGCAGGCAGGCCTGCCAGACAGTACTCAAATCAGAAATCGATCGCCATGGCAGCCAATCACTCGCTTCTCAATCTCAATCTGAGTCTCACTCTCCTCCTCATCCTCTCCATTAATGTCAACGTTGCCATCTCCACCAGATCTATACGTCCTCTCGTAAGTTCTTCTCATTTCCTACCTATCTATACCTTAAAATTAATTCACCTTAATTTTCCATTTTAAATCCGATCCACTTTCCTCTCATCGTCGATTTCATCATATATATATATATATAAGGTTAGATCTGTAGTGTATGTGCTTCAATTGGATCGTCGGAGGACTCGATGTTTAATAATTAATTAATTGGCGTCAGGGCGAGGGCGAGGGCGAGGGCGAGACCGGCGTGGGTGATTCGGAAATGGAATGTGTGTTCACAGTTTACGTACGGACCGGGTCGGTGATCAAGGGCGGGACGGACTCGAAGATGACCCTGACCCTGTACGACGCGGCCGGGTACGGAGTCCGGATCAACAATCTGGAGGCCTGGGGGGGACTCATGGGCCCGGACTACGACTACTTCGAGCGGGGGAACCTCGACATCTTCAGCGCCAGGGTGCCCTGCCTCACCGGCCCCGTCTGCGCCATGAACCTCACCTCCGACGGTTCCGGCTCCGGCCATGGCTGGTACTGTAATTACGTCGAGGTCACCTCCACCGGGCCCCACCTCAACTGCGCCCAGCAGACCTTCACTGTCGAGCAGTGGCTCGCCACCGACAGGTCGCCCTACGAGCTCACCGCCATTAGGAACTCCTGCTCCGGCGACGCCGACTCGCATCCGTCGTCGTTGATGCCTGTGGTTTAAGGAGGAGGGACCCGACCCGACCCTGTCCGGTTTGTGTGTGTGTGTTTTTTTTTTGTCCACGTGGGGTGGGTGAGCGATTTTCGGGTCAATGGTATTTGTATGATGGGTACTTTAGTTTTGCGCGTTCTGTGGGTAGATCGGATCGGATCGGATCGGATCGACGACTTATTACACTCCCTTCCCTTCCCTTCCCTAATTAATTCCTGTTGTTATTGTTGGAGGGGCATTATAGTCATGGTACATTAATAACCAAATTTAATTCAATTGAATAATGGAGTGAGTCAGTCGGAGTGCTTGCTTTTGTTTTGAATTGAATTGAATTTCGATCGTTATAATGAAATGGAATCGCTTATCCTATCCCTATCCCTATCCCAACCCAATCCATTATATCATGTCATTGTCAGGGTGGATCACGAACTAGAAAAGAAAATGGTGGCTTAAAAATAAATAATGCATGCATGATTACTTACAAGTCTTGGGCTGGTCCATTCAAAGAGCTCTATGATGGGCTCCTTAAAAGGTGAGCCCAGCCCATCTGCACTGATGATCCAAACGACCTCAACTTGTACATCTTGGTAGAAATCATTTTGTTGTTAGAATATTCAAAAGTTCACTACACACTGTCACACTCTCTCTTTGTCTAGTTAAGAATATGTAATTGATCTCTTACATTTAGCCAGCCTACTTGCTGCAGGTGATGATACTCAGATCCAATGTCCTCCTATGAAAATGTTATAACTGTCACTGCGAGGTTGAATATCTATCAATCCATATTCAATGCCGTCGTCAGTTACTTTTTGCCCCCTCACAAACACAAACTCATACTCATTTCAGTTCAGCTCTGATCTAACCTTATCTAATCTAATCTGATAGTCATAACAACTACTATGAAATTACAGCCATGGCAGCAGCAGCAGCAGCAGCAGTCCATGTCCATCCCCTCCATATAGTCCTTCTCCTCCTCATCTCCTTCTGTTCTGCCCCATCTCCTCCACATACCCATGTATGTAATTAAGTATATATATATATAGCCCGCAAGATCGTCTTAAATTATCCATTATTTATTTGAACCCTAATTTAGAAACTAATTAATTAATCAATTGATCAAGTGCAGAGGAAGAATGAGGTCGGGGAGTACTGTGTATACACGGCGTACGTTCAAACGGGATCCATCATAAACGGCGGCACAGATTCCACCGTCATTTTAACCCTTTATGATGCCTACGGCTACGGGATTCGGATCAACAATCTGGCTGCGTGGGGCGGCCTCAATGTCAATTATTACAACTACTTCGAACCTGGGAATTTGGACATTTTCAGCGGGCAAGGTCCCTGCCTGCCCGCCACCATCTGCGCCATGAACCTGACCACCTCCGACGGCTCCGACGCCTGGTACTGCTCCTACGTCCAGGTCACCGCCACCGGCGTCAACCGCCCCTGCACTCAGAGGCTCTTCACCGTCGACCAGTGGCTCGCCGCCGATCATCATACCCTCGCCGCCATAAGGAACTTGTGTTCCTAATTATTTAATTAATGGCTTCAGGCTAATCAAAGTATACTTGAAAACTAAAATACACAAATTAAATCTTATCCATTTTCTCTATTTGATGTCTGTCCAATTAATTGTACTAGTATTTATTTAAAGATGTTGAAAATAGTCTCGATGAATAAAATTCTTTTATATAATAAATTAGTTGCCCTTATCATGTCCATAATATATCTTCACAATTATGGAAAGAAACAAGTAACAGTGTGAAGATATTTCATACTCAATTCATTATCTACCTTACAAATAAAAACACGTGCGTGCAGCTGCAGCTGCAGCAGCAGGAAAACGTACTCGTGGCATTTTCTGCCCTGTCCGGAGCCTCCCCTTCCCCACAAATAATTGCCATAATCTTCCACCTTTTATTTTATTGCAAATCGGACAAAATCTAGTAAATACTATAAGACATATATATGTATGATGGTCCCTCTGCTATCTGTACCTTGTGTGACGCCCACCCCTTTAGATATTTTTCCTCACATGCATTTAATTTCAAAAATTTATACTAGTACAATCTTACCACCATGCATTCACTACCACACATGCCCGTGGGTTGAATTTATATATATATATATATATTGTGTTTTGCTTCAAATAAATCATAAATTTATGATTTTATGGTCACAAATTCATTCTTTGTGATGGGTAATTGCCTTGCCTGCCTGTATATAAGGAAGCTAAGGGTGTGCACAAGCAATGACTCAAAAGTTCAAAAATTAATAACCAGATATATCGAACCAGTTAATTAGCAGAGCAGAATTGAACTACCATGGAAGGTGCAGCCACCTCGAAACACATAAACATTACCTCCCCTATCCTCATCCTCCTCCTCTTCTCCATTCTCGTCATCACCACAACCGCAATAGGCACTGCAACCACTCTAACTGTAAGTTTCCCTAATCATGCATCTTTCATTTAATTTATATACTACTACCTATCAATTCTGAATTCTGATTGATAATGTATTCTTCGGCCGGATATGCAGCAGCAGCCAAAGACGTCGTCGTCGTCGTCTCCGGCGGAGTGCACCTACGGCATCTACGTCCAGACCGGGTCGGTTCAGCGGGCGGGGACCCACTCGGTGATCGGGCTGAGCCTCTGGGACGAGTCTGGGTCGCAGATAGCCATCCCCAACCTGGAAACCTGGGGACTGATGGGGCCAGGGTTCAACTACTTCGAGACCGGCGAGCTCAACATCTTCGGGGTGAGAGGGCCCTGCCTGGCCGGCGGGGTCTGCGGAATCAACCTGACCTCCGATGGCTCGGGGCCCTACCATGGCTGGTACTGCGACTACGTCCAGATCACCTCCTTCGGCCTGGGGATCGACTGCTCTCAGCAGATGTTTCATGTCGAACAGTGGCTCGCCCGGGACGAGCCTCCCTACCAGCTCACCGCCACCCGGGATCTCTGCAAAACTGCCACTACTGCTCTCCCTTCATATTCAAAATCCATCTAATTAACTAATTAATCCATCCCTACGTTCATCACCTCGCAGAATAAGTGTGGTTTTCTTTAATTCGGTTTTTACCACCATGAACGAATCTAGCTAGGTGATAATAATCATTTTAATCATCTATCTATGTTTGTAATGTTTCTTTGTAATCCATGAGATCGATCGATCGATCGATGTTTCTGAACACATACACACACAGACTCAATCAAAATCAATGTGAGTAGATTATGGACTACATATAAATCCTTGACGCATGCCACAATTTGCAGTGCTTTAGAGGTATATAGAGTATAGTTGTGAACTCCATAGCATGTTTACCCCGTTGGAAAAATTTTTGTTTGAGTTCAATATGAAAATAATATTTGATGAGATATTTTATAAAAAAAAAAAATCGAAAAACTCAAAGTCCAAATAGTAAAATATGAGAATTTTGGTAAATAAACAGAGCCATAGTAATCAATATTTGCCAAGTTGCTCACATATTGCCTCTAATTTGTGCAATTGATTTTTTGCTTTCAAAACTCCAAGATATTGCATATGTGCTAACACAAAATATACATAATTGGATCAGCCCAATCACTATAACTAATCAATTTGCTTTGTGATATATTCCTTAAAATACAGAAATCCCACTTCCACATTACCTTGTAAATATCATAATTTCTTTTCTAGTACACAAGATGAATTTCATTAGAATCAAAGTAGACTTATGATTAATCTTTTTGTTTAGTTAAAAAAAATTTAGAACTCTTATCCAGACATTCTTTTGAGAAACGTTGTATAGACACAATTGCTAATAATCACGTCAGCGTGGTAGGCTAGCTAGGATGAATAAGGCCTAAATAACATATTTAAATGTTAATAAGTTACAAAAGTTATAATACATTGTATCTGCTTGGGATTGTGATTTTTTATTTTTTTTTCAAATTAAATCCGAATAGACAATTCACATTAAGCGAACAATCTATGACATACAAGATCTAAAACCGTCCTAGGGATGAACTTATGACTTTTCTGTCACAAATTTTGCCATAAACCATAATATATTTACTTATTATCTATGGTGAAAAAATTATCTGATATGAGGCATTTTAAATGACAATACATACAAAGGGATGACAAAGATGATAGAGGAGGAAGCATAGCACGTTTTGATAATTGATATGTATGTATCTATCCATCGCCGCTATGCTCTGGTCTTCCATAACATTCATCCTTCATTACATCACACTTTGTTGCCCTTTTCTTCAATATAGACTACTATATGTAGCCATTGTTGTCACTTTATTGACTCGCTCTCATCCTTCACTCACCAACCACCCCCACCCCCACCCCCACCCCCTACCCTTACCTTAAATAAATTAAACAAATGATCCTCGACACACATACACACCCCAATCTCATCTCTTGATTTTTCAAGAAATGAACTAATTACTCTTCTTCTCAATCCATCCATCCATCCATCTCTCCAACAAAATAAAGCTTAGGCCTTTTAGTAGCTTGCTTCTTCATGAATCATGATCCTTTCAAAGGCCAAGGTACTACTATTACTACTTTCTGTACTTTTGCTTTTTATTTCTGTATCTTCTCATTCCCAACCCCAACCCCAAAATACAACTCATCCCGGTAACAAGAAACCCAATTCCACCATTGCTACTCCCTCCAAACACCATTCCAAATCCATCAACAACCTTACTACTACTACTTCTTCAACCTTCTCCAAGAACCATACCCTCTTTAATGATTCATCCATCTCTACCAATAACCATAATAATAACCTCACTCAATCTTCTTCCATTTTGCCCAAGACCCACCCTTCCTCAATTTCATCCAAGAACCAAACCAAACTTACCACAATTTCTTCTCCCCCTCTTTTATCCAAGAACCAAACCAAACCCGCCACAATTCCTTCTTCTCCTTCTTCCATTCCATCCAAGAATCAAACCAAAGTTACCACAATTCCTTCTCCTCCTCTTTCACCCAAGAACCAAACCAAACTCACCACAATTCCTCATTCCATTGCATCCAAGAATCAAACTAAAGCTACCACAACTCTTTCTCCTCCTCTTTCATCCAAGAACCAAACCAAACACACCACAATTTCTCCCTCTCCTCCTTCCATTTCATCCAAAAACCAAACCAAGACTGGCCGTGCATTCAAAAACCAAACCGAGCTCATTAGATCAACACCCTTTGATCTCACCCACAACAAATCCAAACCCACTTCAATTCCCAAACATGAAAAACCCCATATCAAAAAGCTTAACTCGACTTCCAATTCAACAATCAAAATCAATTCTGTCCCAAGTCCACCCAAGCTTACCTCTCCAAAGAACAAAACAGCCAAAGAATCCAAACCCCAGTTAGAAAGCAGTGCAACAAAGCCCGAACCTAATAGCCCGGTTAAGACCCAAGCACCGCCTCTGAAGCCCCAAGCTCAAATTGATCAGGAAGACGAAGATTATGATCTAATTTCCGGATTCAGAGACCTCCCATACAAATTACACGAAACAATTGTACCTGATTTGGAAAATTTTTCAAAAACATCTAGGATTTATCTCAGGAACTACAACCAGGGAATCACCGAGGGATTCAAACCCTACGTAGGGAGCAAACACGCGCCAACTGTTGCATCAATCGCCTCTGTTGCCTTCATAATCATCCCCCTGATTCTCGTCTCCTTCATTTTCAATCGAATCACAACTTATATACCCCTGCAGAAGATCTTGATCTACATCCAGTTCTACCTCGCAATGTACTTCGCAATCCTCGGCCTAACATCATGGATCACAGGCGTTGAGCCGCTCAAGTTTTGCTACTCCGCATGGCGATCCATGTATGTGGGCGTACAGGTTCTGCAAACCGTGGCATACGTGCTGTACCTTGTGCTAGTGTTGGTGTACGCAGTTACAGCTTTCTTGGGCAAGAGGGGATTCCATGCGAAGATATTGGGGCTGTCCCAAATGTTCGTGGGCTTTTGTATCGGTCTGCATTATTATGTTGCTGTGTTTCATAGGGCTCTGCGCCATCAACCGCCCAAGAGTAGCTGGAAGGTTCATGCTCTGTATGCCGCATGTTTTCTTGTGATTTCTCTGTTAGGCATGGCTGGTTGGAGGAAGAAGACATATTTGGAAGACAGTGGTCAAGAGGGGAAAAAAAGTTAGAAAACCTTACACTAGGTAATATTATGTATTTTAAAATCATATCACACACAAATGTTTTTAGAATTTTTTAAATATATAATTTTATATTTTTATCTATTTCCTCGATATATAAATATCTATAGATATCTTCAAGATTATATATATATATATATTATAGAATGGATTTATACTAATTATATGCATATTTATTTATAACTGTTTAAATATTTTAATACATTTACATCATATCTTTTAGTGCTTATTCAAACATTACGTCATTGTTTCTTTCGAAAACTAAAGTTGATTTGGTTTGTAATTCAGACTAATGTTTTTAATATGCAATCAATATATTTTTCAATAAAATATAATATAATATAATTTTTAATAAAATGTTATTTAAATAAAAAAGGAATTGAAACCTAAATACAAATTAATTAATCCGGTCCAAACACCATTTGAGATGCCAAACAAACACTGATGCCAGCAAAACCTCCAATTGCTTATGTTCATGTTAGGTTAGATGGGATCTTGAATATCCTTACCTTTCATAATCTCCTACTATGCATTGCAATTCAAACTACAAATCATGGAATTTTGGATAAATTGAATGCAAAGATATTCATCATATATATATATATATAAAAGTAGAATATTGAATAATATAAATAAAAGACTGTGTAAAAATTATTTATTATAAATAAAAAAAATTACTTTTTGTGAATAAAAAATAAAATATATAGAACTGATAGATGGTGAGAATAATAATTTTTAAATGCATGAATCGAATTCACAATCTAACATTTAAACGACAAAAATTTAACTGTTATCAACTATTTGATTTCATTTGATCGAACAATAATTTTTGTTTAGCTTGAGTTCATAAAAAAATATATTATTTTTACGAGCATCTATATAAGTTTGAATGATAATAATTTTTGCTAAAACACAAAACAAAGTAAACATATGATCATTTATTTCGAAACATGTTTGATGATGGAAAATATTAAATAAAATTTAATTTATGAGAAAATTTGAAAATATTGTAAACAAATTTGGGTGTGTTTTTAAGTGAGTTTGATGTGCTATCTTTATATATAAAACATTATTGAATTTAATATATATTTTTTAAATTGGAATAGTAAATATTTTTTTTCATTTGAAGTAATTATACTATTTTCTTCGGTAACAATTTAAAAATTTATTAATAAAAATAATTATAAATTAAAATAATTAAATAATTTAGTTAAAATAAAAAATTATGTATTATGATTTTAAAATATAAATAATATGTATAATTATATTTTGATGAACTTTATAATATCTATTCAAATTTTTATTTATTTAATTTATATATTAAAGTATTATTATTTGTGCTACGTGGCCGGGCGTGGCATAATGTTTATTTGATCTGTTATAAAACGTGGAGTGGAGATAGCAAGTATGGTGTGGCTGCAGCGCTTCTCCCATTTTAGTCCTCCGTTGCTTTCCGTTCTTGAATTTCTCCCACCGATCGTTACTGCTTCGAGCCTCTATAATCGTTCCGCGAGTTTTCTTTCTCCTCCCTATTTCAAACCCCTAATTTTCGATCTTCTGGCTGGTTAGCTCCAATTCGATTCTGAAGGATTTCATCTTGCTCTAATAACCCCGATTAAATTGCGAAGCGCAGGCTCAGAAGCGCATGGAGGTGGTTTAATTTCAGAGAACCGCGGGGAGACGGGGGGTGATTAGGATTGGATGAAGTGAGGGAAGAATGGGAGCGGCGGGTTCGAAGCTCGAGAAAGCATTGGGAGACCAATTTCCTGAAGGCGAGCGGTATTTTGGACTCGAGAATTTTGGCAACACTTGCTATTGCAACAGCGTGCTTCAGGTATTCTTTTGATGTTAATATAGCTGTTTGAGCTGTGGATTGGTGTGGTTTTTGATATTGAATTGAAATGTTGGCATTGGTGGGGTTTCTTGATGCGATGTGGCATTTCGTACGAATTCGGGGATTTTTTTTTTGGCTTTGTGTGGAGATTTTTGCTGTTGGTGATTGTAAAATGTGAAATGCTTTTCAATATCTGTGGTAAATTACGATAGGTTTAATTTGGCATTTTATATGTAGAAGAATTGTGGGTGTGCAGATTGAGTTGAAATGAAATAAGTTGAAATCTTGTGAATATTTTGTATGATGAATCAAAAATGTTTCTTCAAATAGCGAAGCATGAAGAATGAAGGATTTGGATATGGCAAACCAACTTCTTAATATGTTTTGCAAACCTAGAAGTGATTTATGGTAAACTGGTTCTTCTTGCCTCCACTATTGAAATCTTATCTTCCCCCCTCCCCCCCCCCCCCCCCAAAAAAAAAGAAACGAAAGAGAGAGAATAACTCATTAATCATACATGTTAGTCCTGGCTGTAGTTTGATCAGTTGAAATAAGTTATTTTACAAATACAGGCTAAATTCCACTTAGAGCAACATAATTTTTGCATTAACAAATGATTTATTTCCTTTTGATGCAGGCTCTTTATTTTTGTGTTCCATTTCGCGAGCAGCTGCTTGAGTACTACTCAAATAACAAAAATTTTTCTGACCCAGAAGAAAATCTCTTGACATGCCTAGCAGACTTATTTCTGCAGGTAAATAATCTTTTTTTATTTTTTGGTCCTGAAGAATATCAAATTGAATATGTGAGATCGTGAATACTTTTTCATCTTTAGATTGTATATATGTGGACTCTTCCATTTATGTTTTGATTCTATTTGTTGGTGACTTGGTGTTTCCTCTCGCTAATTTATTGGCTACAATGTTTATTGGATCATCAAAGTTCTGTTCTTCCATTTATGTTTGCATTATATAGCTTCTTCTTATGTCCAAAAAAATTTGATATGGTAGCCGCATGATGCCATATACTGATGGTCTATTACATATATGCAAATGGGCATTTGTAGAGATTTCTTTATAATTTTCTCATGACAAAGTGAACCTTAGTTATGATTGCTAGCTGCATTTCTTGTCCCCTCCATTATTGGTGAGCTTTTGAGAAATATGCTACCATCAAAATGGCTTCAGGTTTGTTTGGTTTATGAGTAAATGAATAAGGAATCTTTGGATACCTGTTGGTACATGAATGTGGATATCCAAAGTTGAAAATGGTTACTATATGTTATGATAAATCACCGAAAGACATGCACTCCAGAGGTTTTTGAATGGTTAGATTAGTCCAATTCAGAATCAAATATAATTGAATTTGCTTTCCATTCTCATGTGCAAACCAATGCCTACTTAATGTAAATAGTAACACATTGGGATCAATGAAAGTTCTTGAGAAAATATGAAGAAAGTTATGCTATTCGCAAAATGTTTTTATGATGTCAATGCCCACAATAGATATATGTTTTTAACCTTGATTGTGTTGGCATTAGAAATCTAATTGAAAAAAATTTCCTTCATTATTTTGTTTGCCAAATAGTATATTATAATTCGAAGCCTAATAATGTGAAAGAATATAAAGAGCATGAATAAATTGAACAGTAAATAATTAAAAACTAAAAGCAGAGGTCATATTTTGAAACAAGTAAAACAAACCCGGAACGAACAGATGCAAGAATTTCTATCAATCCTCTAGTGATATTCTCCTTGCCTCAAATCAAAAGGCTGATTATAAACATAGAAAAAAAAACTTAGACACCTAGTTATGGTCCACCTAGGCTAATTGAAAATAATCGTAGTTATATATTGCACACAGTGTGGCATTGCGCATGATATTTGCCATATATATTAATAGATAATTCGCAAATTGTTATATATCTGCATTGCAATATCCTTCCATTAATTGTGTAAATATTGTGACTCTTTTAGAAGTCTTTTTACAACACTGTTGTAGTTTAATCTCTGAGTTTATTTATGTATTTACGCAATCTTTTATTTTCCTTCAAAAGCATTGCATCCAACAAACAATTGTACCCCAGAAACAATGGCTCTAACTTTAATGGTCTTGACTCCCTATTCTCTCTAACAATTTTGTATTATCTATCTCTCTCTCTGTCTTAGTTCTTGGAAGGTTGCTTGTCTCTGTTCTTGTACATGTTCATGCATCAGTAAATGCATTTTTAGGATATGCAGTAATGACTCTTAATCCTTGCTGAAGCATGTTATTTTGTTGACTAATCAGTTTTTATGTTAAATTATAATCTTTAGACTACTTCATAAGTCAAAGTAAACTTGTCCATGCTTGATAATTGCTTCAGATTTTCTTCTGATGGGATGTGCTTGACTTTCCATGTAGATAAGCTCTCAAAAGAAAAAAACAGGTGTTATAGCGCCAAAACGCTTTGTGCAGAGACTAAAGAAGCAGAATGAAATTTTTCGCAGCTACATGCACCAGGTACTTTAATGATCACATTTCCACCATTTTTGTGCATTATTAATGCTTATTTGTACTATTATTCAGTTTCTCTACATCATAAGTCTAGACTTTAGTAATGCTTTGGTTTGAAATACTTACATGAATCACATCTTTTTATTCACTTTGATTTTTTCAATGCTGTAATATGTTTCCCGTGTAGGATGCCCATGAATTCTTAAATTACTTACTAAATGAACTGGTTGACATACTGGAGAAAGAGGCGCGAGCTTCCAAGAACAACCAAGAAATTTCCCAGAAAATTGCAAATGGACAAACAAATATGCCTTGCAATGGTCTTGAGAAGGATCCATTGATCACCTGGGTGCATCAAAATTTTCAGGTAAAACCTATTTTCCATCATTCCGTTCATTATTCTGATGTGTTTTATTGCGCTAACCATGTAATTATCTTATTACATATTTCATGTCTATTGCCACTGAGCATGTATTCCCTGACAGAGTGATGATTTAAATGCCTGAGATCCCTATTTCTCTATTTGTTCTTTTTCTTGCTTAGACATTAGATTATGATATTATTGACTGCTATTAGGTCTCCTTTAGTTGATGTCTATGGTTATTACTTTTCAGGGTATATTGACTAATGAAACGAGGTGCTTGTGCTGTGAGACGGTGACAGCAAGAGACGAAACATTTCTTGACTTGAGCCTTGATATAGAGCAGAATAGTTCAATTACAAGCTGTCTCAAAAACTTCAGCTCCACAGAAACGTTAAATGCCGAGGATAAATTCTTCTGTGACAAATGTTGCAGGTTTGTGACTTTATTCCATTTTCTGGGGTCATATTCTTTTCTTTTGGATGCTGATCTTTCATTTACACCCTAGTGCATAGCTCTCAGTGTCTAGATAAATCTCTCTTGAAAGAAAACATTTGAACTTGAATTACCACTTGAAAAGTTTTAACCAGCAAGCCATGTCCATAAAGTGTTGATGACATTTTGTAAGCAGAGGAAATAAATTGTACTGTTGGGACTTTGTTTGCTATGTATATTATTTTGGTTAATCATGGGTGAGCCTTGTCTTGGGTATGCAGCCTGCAAGAAGCGCAAAAGAGAATGAAGATTAAAAAGCCGCCTCATATCTTAGTCATCCATTTGAAGCGATTCAAGTACATCGAACAGCTTGGCCGGTACAAGAAGTTGTCATACCGTGTTGTTTTCCCACTTGAGCTAAAGCTCAGCAACACTGTCGAAGATGCAGATGCTGAGTACTCCTTGTTCGCTGTAGTTGTCCATGTCGGTAGTGGGCCCAACCATGGACACTATGTGAGCCTCGTCAAAAGCCACAACCACTGGCTTTTCTTTGACGATGAGAATGTGGAAATGATCGATGAGTCAGCTGTTCAGACATTTTTCGGATCAACTCAGGAGTTCTCCAGCAATACGGATCATGGATACATCTTATTCTACGAAAGACTTGTCTCCAGCAGCACTGTTTGTACTTGAGGTGGTAGAGGAGGTTTCCAATTTTGAGCGTCTTCTTTTTTGTTCGATCTTTATACTTGTCTTGCTGCCGTCTGATGCGAAATTTTATTGCTATGAGGTCAAAAAGGAGACGTGGCGAGTGTGTTGGCCTTTGGTGTTTGCCTTTCGCAGCGGAGGATGAGGTTATGCCTTTTTGTTTCGTTTCTTTTACTTAACCAAACAATAAATTTAAGGAGGAAATATCAAGTGTGAATGCCACTAGTGTACTATACAGATATTGACTGTATGTGGAAATTGCTTGTGCTGGCTGAATGAAATCAGCATTATGTTTTTTTGCAGTTTGAAATCTTTATAGCATCATGATGCATTTGACATTAACATATTTAGGTTTGCAATGGTAAAAAGCTCTTTTACACGCAGAGAGAGAACTGACTGATGAATTAATCATATGGAAATGGCATAGGTGAACAGGGAGTGATGTGCTTGAGTATCAATGGCAATGGCAATGGCAATGGCAATGGCAATGTCAACTGCTGGTGTATAGTGATTGAAGTTCATGGGTATTTTTAATTTGAAAATGTTTAAATAAGTTATGACTATAATGTTGTGAATAAATTGAAAATAATATTTTATTTGTCTTAGTCACATATAATTATTTTGTTTATAAGTTTAAAGGTAAAATTGTCCTATTATATTTTTACTGTATTATTACCAATTAAATATTAATATACTAAAATATATACATGATAAAAACCAAAGGGATATATATGATTAAGAGGGAGTATAAAATAAGTTGAAATATTGTCCTTATTTTTCTTAAAATTATGCCCGGTCAGACCAATTCTTTTCGAGCAATAAATTCACCAATTTTTTCGAAATTCTCCACTAAAGTTGTTCGGTTCGGTCCGATCGTTCTACTCAAGCTGTACAGACGGTTCGCGGCGGCTCTATATTCCGGTCGAACCGGTCGGACGCTTACTATATAAAAGCCCTCTCCTCTTCCGCCCTTGGTCCCTCGGCTAACTAATTAGCTCTCGCCTTTTGCCCATGAAAATCGTAAGGATTTAATTCCTTAGAATTCTCTGCCCAAACCGTCTGCAATAAACATCCTTTGGAGGCACAAATAATGGCGGCGGCGATGAATAATCAGCTTAATGTGGGGGAGTGGCCGTCGTGGGGTTCCCGAAGCGTAGAATGCTTTGAGAAACTCGAGCAGATTGGCGAAGGAACTTACGGGTGAGAGACCGTTTACTAATCTAATCTATTGAGAGCATCTATTCTTACATGATGAACACGATTGTGCTATGTTATTTTAGGTCTCCATCTTCATTATGAATATAATGCAAATTTTCATTAGTTGTGTTTGGTGTCTGTAATTTTTTCAAGACTTTTTGAAGACGCTTTTCCCCCAAACGTTGGTAGCTGTCTCTTTGTAAACTGAAGTTGTTCCACTTGAGTTTAACTGGATGTTAGATAGTGGTTATGATTTGAGTCTATCATAGGTCTCCATCTTCGTTATGTATACAATGCAATTTTTGAATCGTCTACAAATTTCTTCTCACTGATTAGTTGGTGTTTGTTGTCTGTAATTTTTTCAAGACCCTTTTTCCCCAAACCGTTGCTTTTCCTGTGTTGGTACATTTTAATAGTGTTTAGGAATCAGTGAAGTCTTATCAGTTCGAGTAATAGTTTAACGGGATAGTTTCTTTCGTGTAGCTTTGAGGGCGGTCTCGTTGCATTCTTTTTTTAACCCATTCCCTGATATGCTTTTACCTTACCCCCTTTCTTGCATTGAATACTGGTTAACCACGGAGTTGTATTTGTTGTGCCATGTTTTATTGGTTATCTTAATCTTTTACATGTTGTTTAGAGCACCACTACAGCTACTTTAAGGTGTTTCTAATTTTCGTAATATTAGTTTTGGTCAGGGCTTAGTTTGGATTACATCATTATGTTTGCTTGTTCGATATTATTATTATTATATTATTATATGTTGTTAATGTTGATCGAGTAGTTTGAGTATTTAGATGACCTTTGTTGGCAGTCCTGGTTTGCATTGAAGGCAACCGTTTAACTGCTAGTTTATTCTCAAATGATTCACTCTGGACAAGATGCATACATGATACTGTTGACAATTGGTTTATATAAATTATTACATATAATAGGCAACTCAACTGAGATTTGTGAGCTATGATGATATCAAGTGGATGTTGGCCTTAAAAATTTATTTGGTATAAAGATGTCATAAAATTGAATTTTGTCACGAGTGGGAGGCCTCGCAAGCACTTTACTATTCCATGGGCCATTTATGAATTAGCAAATCTGGAGTGCATTAGTGCATACATAGTACTTTGATTAATATATCAAATTGAAGAAGGTATGTAAAATCCTTTAAAAGATACTGCAATAGCACCTTCAAGTTCAGATGCAACAGAATACTGTGCCTGTTAGGTGTAAGAATCTTGTGACTGCTATAGCTTGGTGGATAATGTAAAATTTCTTTTCCAAGGGTAAAAGAAAAGAGAACCACTAATTGGATTTGTGAGTCAGTAGGTAAGTTACTGTGTCGAATTGTAATATATATATATATATATATATATGTATTTCCTATTTAAACCATAAATAAAGTATCTGAATAAGTTGGCTTATGTAAAGTTCACATTTTTAATATGTAAAGGACTTGCCTTTTTCATGTTCATCTTTGATACTTATAGTCTTTTGTGAAATTGTTAACAAGCATATTGGTTAAGTTGTTTTTTGTTCCAATCATTGTAAAATTACATTATTTAATTTTTTTATACTAGGTTGATTTAAATGTTCTCTTCTTATTTCATGCTCATTATTTTCATTTGTCCCTTTTCCCAGTCAAGTATACATGGCCAGGGACAAGAAAACTGGAGAAATTGTGGCTTTGAAGAAGATACGCATGGATAATGAAAAAGAAGGGGTATTTTCTTTTCTGCCCTTATTTCCTACATCTATTCATGCATGTATTCCGGGTATTTTAATAGTTGCTTTTGGCATGATTTTATATTTCCCCCATCAAATACTTGATGCCATTTACTCCTTTTTGCAGTTTCCTATTACTGCCATCCGAGAAATTAAAATTTTAAAGAAACTGCAACATGAAAATGTCATTAAATTGAAAGAGATAGTGACTTCTCCTGGTAAGTCTACTCTCTAATTATGTTAATTCTTGTGCCATCTCAGATACACCATTTCCTTTGTAATGTTTTCTACATATGGTGCTTAGGTCCTGAAGGAGATGATGTGGGGAAACCTGGTAATGGCATAATGCCTTTCTCTTTTCGATTAGATCACCTTGTATTCATGCACTTAGAGAACTGCAGCATGATTGTGATGTTCTTGTTACAGATGATAATAAGTACAAGGGAAGCATTTACATGGTCTTTGAGTACATGGACCATGATTTGACTGGCCTTGCAGATCGCCCTGGATTGAGATTTACTGTACCTCAAATTAAAGTACTGTGAACCTTCTCTGACAACTTATTATATTCTGTATCAGTATGAAGCTTAGTTGAAATATTTTATTGTGCAGTGTTACATGAAGCAACTGCTGACAGGCCTTCATTACTGCCATGTAAATCAAGTGCTTCATAGGGACATTAAAGGTTTACAAGCACTTAAGGCTGTTTTTAAGATCTTAAGTTTGGTCGGTGTACTAAACTAACATGATAAATACCTTGCAGGCTCTAACCTTCTCATTGACAATGAGGGAAATCTGAAGCTTGCAGATTTTGGGCTTGCACGTTCCTTTTCCAATGACGTAAATGCTAATCTTACAAATCGAGTCATTACTTTGTGGTACAGGTAATTCCTTATTTCTTCATTGTGCATTTACTTTAGTACCTAACTTGCTAGTTATGTATCACTGAGGTTTTATACCTGATTGTAAAGACCTCCAGAGTTGCTTCTTGGAGCGACAAAATATGGACCAGCAGTTGATATGTGGTCTGTGGGTTGTATCTTTGCTGAGCTATTATATGGGAAGCCAATCTTACCTGGAAAAAATGAGGTAATGTTTATATATTGAATATGTGAGTTAATGATATCTTGAATCCCCTAATAGTTTCTTGATGAACAACCTAGGCTTAACCCAGAGTGTCTAATGTTGAGCAGAACTGCATTGTAGAATATTGTTGTTTCCCCAAGTGACAGTTTTAACAAGTGACCTCATTATAAACCCTCAGAAGGCTTGTTTCTCTTGCCAGTTATTTCCATCACAATTTGTTTTTTTTTTAGCATAAAATATGAGATTTAACACTGATTAATGATATCTTTGAAATGCTCTCAATGTATTCATAACAGTGGAAAAAAAATGCAATGAATAGTGTGAGATTATGTTGAAACTATATCCAAATACACCAAGGGTGTGTTTGTTTGAAGGATTTTGGAGGATTTCCACTATTCATCCAATTTTTTCCCCCCCAAAACATCAAATCAAACACCTATTTTTCATTTTTTATATTATACTAAAAATCAATTTTACATTCAAAACATCACATCAAACCCTATTTATATCACATCATACAACTATTCAAATTCAAAATTTTTACTATTCAAATCCCAATCCAAAATCCAAACCCCCAAACAAACACACCCCAAATAGTTCTATAATGTATAAATATTTAATGGGTTCTTTGCAAATTATACATGCATTATATCCCTTCAATGGTGGTTGGCACTTGGCAGAACCCAAGTGTATTTGTGTTGATTATATAGTTTACATTTTTTTGGGGAGAAAATAGGTATTTTTATCAAAAATAGGGATATAAGATAGAATAGAGTTCAAGAGACTCACCAAGCTTAGCAAAATGATCTGCAATATCATTAGCACTACAAGGGATATGTTGGAAAATGGTGAGAGGTAACCTTTCAATTGAGAGAAATAGCCTGTTTTATGTTGAAATTCAGCTTCCAAGGGGGCGAAGTAGGAAAAATAGAAAAAAAAAAGTACATACGTAATTAAAAAAAAAAAAAAAATCCTAATTATACACATAACTCTATATTTAGCCTGTACAAAATATCTATCAATAGTGTCTTGTTCGTTCACCACCATAACTCTATACACGCCTCTAATTTTTGTTTGCTGATTTGCATATTGATTTGTTAGTGAATCATGGTTATATTAATGTTGTGTCAAGTTAATACATTTCAAGTGTTAATTTAAGTGAATGTTTTGATTTTGTTCATGTTAGTATTTATGGTGATTGAGTTTAAGTTCTTAAACTGAACTTTACATTTTGTACTGTTATTGCAGCCTGAACAGTTGAGTAAAATATTTGAGCTCTGTGGAACCCCTGATGAGATGGCATGGCCTGGTGTTTCCAAAATTCCATGGTACAACAAATTTAAGCCCTCAAGGCCAATGAAAAAGCGAATTTGGGAGTTTTTCAGACAGTAAGTATATGAAGCTAAAACTCTACAACTATGCTTTAGTAATGTGACAAGTGATTTGCGCATGGTTTACAGTGTGTAAATGCCTTCTTCTTTGCAGTTTTGACCGACATGCTTTGGATCTGTTGGATAAAATGCTGGTTCTTGACCCAGCTCAGGTATCTCTTGTCCGAAAACTGGTTTCTTATGCTGGATTGAACGGCACTGATCAGTTGGGGATTCATTATTTTGTTCGTTTATCTGTATTTTTGGGTTTTTGTGCTCTCCTTATTTTAGCATTGGAAGCCATTATCTGCCGCAACCAACTGATAGTTGAGTGAAAATTTAAATCCAAAAAATTCACATAGGACATTTTCATATATTATGGAAACAACTGTTAAATAAGGTGATAAGAAACTAGTAGAAAGCAACATTTTTGAAAGATATTAGCAAAATATTTTGTATGAGATATCTCTGCTAGAGGAAAGGTTGAGTGATGATAACATCTTTAACTGGAAGGCACCTCTTGATAGCTTCCATAAGAAGGTATTAACATGATGTGGGGCATTTTTAGCCTAGATAATTGGATTGGGAGACCATGCTTGGGGGTGCAAGAATCTGAGAGCCAAAAGGACTGGCAGCTGAACAATCCATTAGGATTAGGCTTCCAGATCAATTTGTCCTAAATATTCTTTACAGAGTTGATCGCATTTAAAAAGTTCTCCTGTAATTAACATTCTCAATAAAGAAGGGCTGTAGAAGCTTGATTTCACAATTCCATATGCCGTTGTCCTAGGAGCCAAAGTCTTGGATATATCCTTATTTAGAGCATGCCAAGTAAAAATTGTGGGCGGAGATTGTCTTTAGAGGTTGTGAGAACAATAAAACTCTGCAGTCAGTGAACAGATCATCTTGGATAGTTTCCTCTAAGTCTTGGTAGATTCAGTACACAGTTGTTAAGAATACTACACAACTCAGCAATCCTTGGGTTTTGAAGTTTGAGTATAGAGGACAAGAAACAAATATGTTCCCCCAGTTTCTCATTGTTATTTCTGTTACAAGTTCCATGGTAATGACTTGTCACTGCATAGTGCATACATTTTAGGGAAGTAATGGATTATGCTGCCCTTGATTTTATATATTTATTTATTTTAATTTAAACATGCTTGTAATTTTACTAATGCTTTACCGATTTTGCCTTCTTATCCTCAAAAGAGAATTTCAGCGAAGGATGCTCTAGATGCTGAATATTTCTGGACTGATCCCTTACCTTGTGACCCCAAAAGGTATGTTATCCTCTGGAAGTCATGATTTTGTTGTCAGTATATATTTACCCTTATTGACATTTAAACATAGATCTGTTACTGCTAATGACATTTAAAAAGAAATTTTGTAGGAATAACAATGGTGTATAATATATATATATTTAGAAGGGAATTGGAAGCTGAATGAATTAAGAGATTGGTTTACCTTGATATTGATTTTCATAAAAATAGTAGCTTTAGTGAAGGAACAAGAAAGTTACAGGATCTGGCAACACGAATGGGTTTAGGGTGTACAATAGAAACTATTGATGTTCCTTTTAAATTTTTCATTCTATATAGTATAAGAAACAACTCCAGACTGTTGACTAATTAAAATAATTCCGTGATCAGAGATGTTCTGTTGTCCAAGTGATTGGTTGGGGAAATTAACATGATTTCACGGCAGTGTTTTATCAAAGGGATGAGTGAGATATCAACGCGAACAAAGCATTGACTGCCATAGCTAGTGGATTCCTGATGTTATATTCTAAATCAATAAATAAGAGGAAATCCCTAGTCGATAGTGTATTTATATTCTTGCATGCAAAATCTTGTGGTAAAAACAGTTTTGTCCTTTTATTTTGCAGTTTGCCAAAATATGAATCATCCCATGAGTTCCAGACGAAGAAAAAAAGGCAGCAACAGCGACAAAACGAAGAAATTGCAAAAAGACAGAAAATGCAGCATCCACAACAACATGCTCGCTTACCTCCAATTCAACAGGCTGGGCAGCCTCATCCTCAGCAATGGAATGGCTCGAGTCATCAAGTGGGCAGTTCTCAGCCAACCCTGCCGAGCGGGACCAGTCATCATCAGTATGGGAAGCCTCGTGGTCCACCTGGAGGACCTAGCAGATACCCTCAAGGCGGGGCTGGCAGTGGCTACTATCAAGATCGTGGAGGTCAGAGCGGAGGAGGTTACAACAATGGGCCATATCAACAACAGGCACGAGGGCCACCCCCTTATCCTGGAAATAGCGCCCCTTCAAATATTCCCCGAGGAACTACTGGCGCTTATGTGGCTCCGCCTAACTATTCCCAAAGTGGTCAGTATGGAGTTTCCGGCAGCAGAGGTCCAAATCCACAAGGTGGAAGCAGAAACCAGCAATATGGTTGGCAGCAATAGCATAGACTAATTAATGGTGTGAGAATTGCGGAAGTTGTTGATACAGACACTAGGGATCGGTAAGAATCAAAAGTTGCAATGATCACATTGCTGCATGATGCAATTGTGGCAAAGGAATTACTATGACTTTTTGTATAGCTTGCTGATGAATTAGTCTCATACTCATTGTTTATCACTCACTTCAGGAATTTGTTTAGGTGACTGCCTGAAGCAGACAGTAGCGTCGCATAGTTTACGATATACAAAAAACAGGAAAAACTGAAATGTGTTGCAGAGACTAGAGACTTGACATCAGAATTGTGTTTGGGTTCCTACCCAAATTAGGTATTGGAGTGCTAGTTTCCTTGTATCCATTGAATTTAAATTTCTTCAAAATCTCTTTGCCATATTTATTTGGATAGGTGAATATTTCATATATTCTGCTTACTTCTTCCATCCCCAAGAAAAATGTCATTAATTTAAGTCGATCATTTCAAAAACCTCTATATCATCTTTTAGTTAAAATTATCAACTAACTGTTCATTCAGTAAAAAAATCATCCGCATAAAAGGTAGATTCAAAATATCATTTCCCCTTCCATTTAACATCAAGTTGGAATGGCTTTACATTCATTTGAGCAACTACTGCAAGTATAAAGGGTGTCTAATGTGAAAATGACAATGGGATTAAATATATATATATAGAAAGTTACAGTTTTTCATTTGTATTATCTCAATACCAATTTCGGGTAACCTAAGGCAATCAAGTGACATGCATTCATGCTGGAAAGAACATTCTCCGACGCGCGGTGGTCCATCGCAAGTCGCAACACCATATCAGGTCATGTCATATCATATCATATATATATATAATTCCTATTGTCTCCGAGCATAAAAATGGGGTAGAGAAACATGAGAGGGACGCCATAAACCCACTCAACAACCTCTTTAATGGCAACTCTTCATTCAGCCACAGACTTTCTTCTCCAACATTAATTGATTCAGCCACTGCCCTGCCCTCCCTCCCTCCTAAATCAAGAATTACCTTGCAATGGGGATTGTAATCACATCGCATTTTTGGTATGCAGCAGCAGGAGACACACAGTACTGCCATGTTCTCCATCCATCAGGACCACCCCCAGACCTCTGCAACCAACAAACCTGGCAATGGCATCCTCCTCCCTGCTGCTGACCACCCCACCACCGTTGTTCCCGCCAAGTTCATTGCCACTGCAGATGCCTTTGAGAAGAAAGAGCATTCATGGTAAGAGCAAGACAGAGATCTTCTTCTTCATATTCATGCCTTTGTCTTTCTCTCTATCTTCATTTCATTTTTAACTTCATCTGCTCTTCTTATACAACAGGTTCGCCTTGTCCCAAATCCCCACAGATCTGTCAATCCAAGTTGAAGATATCACATTCCATGTTCACAAGGTAGAACATACTTATCACTCCCATGCCTGTTAGATTACAGATATGTTTAATCAAAATCCAATCATAAGACTTGTTTGATCTAGTTATCATGTTGTTAATCTCGACAATTTCCAGTACCCCCTCATTTCCAAGTGCAGCTACTTCGGAAGGACAGAACCACAGCCTCGAAAATCAAATCACTCTTACGACCTCAAGCTTGATAACTTTCCAGGCGGTTCAGAAACATTCGAGATCATATTAAAATTCTGCTATGGTCTCCCAATCAGCTTGACTGTGAACAATGTAGCAGCATTAAGATGTGCATCAGAGTTCCTAGAAATGACAGAGGCGCTCGAAGACGGGAACTTAATCTCGAAAGCAGAGGCCTTCTTTACATTCGTAGTCCTCTCTTCATGGAGAGACTCCATTACCGTTGTCAAATCCTGTGAAAAAGCTCTATCCCCATGGGCTGACAATCTTCAAATTGTTAGAAGATGCTGTGATTCTATTGCCTGGAAGATCTCCCAAGAAATTTCAACAGCAGGCGAGACTGTAAATAACGAAGACAGGTGGTGGTTCGACGACCTGACCACTCTCCGGATTGATTATTTTACGAGGATTATAACAGCATTGAGAACCAAGGGAATGAAGCCTGAAATTATGGGTGCATGTATAACACAGTATGGGGAGAAATGGTTGCCAAGCACAGATTTGGGAAGGGAAGGAATCGGGAACAACTATGGAAGGAGCGAGCTGCAATGGAATATTATGAGTGGCCGGAAACAGGAAGGAAATATCGAACCGACTAAGGAACAAAGACTCATAGTAGAGAGCCTGGTGAGCATACTTCCACCTCAGAAGGAAGCAGTTTCTTGTAAGTTCATCCTAAAGATGCTGAAAATGGCGATTCTTTACTCGGCATCTCCAGCTCTGGTATCGGAGCTCGAAAAAAGAGCTGGATTCGTGCTGGAGAATGCAGATGTCAATGATCTTCTTATTCCTAGCTATGCAGCTGGTGATCAAGGGAAGCTTTTAAAGTAAGTCCCTAGCTAATCTTCTTCCTAAAAACTTTAATCGACATCGATCCATTGCATTATTTTTATAGATATGATTGGTCCAGTTCGGGTGAGGAAGACACTATGCACAACACAGACGTGGTGCAGAGGATTCTCGGGTATTTCTTGTTGTATGAACAGCAGCAGCAGCAGCAGCAACAGCCTGGACCATTGGCCATTACTAAACTTCTTGACAGCTACTTAGCAGAAATTGCTAGAGATCCTAAGCTTTCAGTGAATAAGTTTCTAGTCTTGGCTCAGTCATTGCCTGAAAATGCGCGGATATGCGATGATGGACTCTACAGAGCCATCGACACCTTCCTCAAGGTTATCTGATAACAATCTTTTCTTGCTTTTTTTTCCTAGTCCAGTGAAATGAAATCACTTGTATCGACAACTTGGTTTTATGTGTTACAGACACATCCGTCATTGTCAGAACACGACCGGAGGAGGCTGTGCAAGTTCATGAATTCTGGGAAGCTTTCACTAGATGCATGTGAGCATGCTGCACAAAATGACAGGCTTCCATTAAGAACCACCATTCAGGTAATTCCAAATCCTAATTCATGTGGCCAGGAAATATGTGGACAGACATATATAAAGAAATGATTTGCACTCACAGGTGTTGTTCTCAGAGCAAATGAAAATGAGAGCTGCAATACAAGGAAGAGGTGAAACACAAACGATCGACAGCTTGGATCAGGAGAGTACTAACAAAGAGGTCAAAGCTCTCAAAATAGAGCTTGACAGAGTAAAGATGCAAATGGCTGAGCTGCAGAGAGATTATTCTGAACTGCAACAAGAATATCACAAGCAAAACATTAAGCAAAGTAATCTATCAGGTTGGGCATTTGGATGGAGGAAAATACGAAAGTCGGCTCTTTTTAATGTAAAAGTAGACGGGGAAGAAGACACCGATGGAAGCCATAGCAGGCCAACCCAGAGAAATAGAGGCAGCTTCCGTCGAAGGCAATCAATATCATGATAAATCATTAAATCCTAAACACTTCACTTCATCCACGAACAACTACCAGAGACAAAAAAAGAAAAAGAAAAGACCATTTAGTTTTAGCAACGAGCTACCCCATAGCCAAAAATGGTTCCCTAGTTTTATGTTTATACAATATGTGTGATTTTCTTGAGTGATGATAAGTTTGTGAGATTGCTCGGAGACATAGACACTGCTTAATTCGATAATCTTGCCACTATATTATTTCATTTTGAATAGTTGGCCGAATAATGTCTGCTAAATAGCGAGAAATCTGTTGGGCCGAATGACAATGTTTTAATCATTTTCTGTACTCTGCACATGCATTTACATTGAAATGCACAAGATTGATAACATTTCCAATGCAAAACAAAACATACCCGTGAGGAACAACTAGCTACACTAGAAGAAAAAAAGTTCACAGGAGTGCACTTTTCCATCTAACTAATTAATGAAATCACGCAGTTCAGCTAAGTTATTACGCGCGACGACGCCAATATATAAGCACCCATTTGGGTGTCTGAAACTCGATCATTCCCACTCCAAATTTCTTAGGTATAACTTGCTAAAAAAATAAGTATGTCTATTGAAGCTTTGGCCATGGCTGGTCTTGACTGCAAGGAATGTGGTCCATTTCTTGAAGTGCTGGAGCAACACTACTTCACAGTTGCAATTGAAGAAGAAAATAGTGTTGTACTTGCAGCTACAGCTAAAACTGAAGTGGAGGAGCTCATGAAACAAAAGATTATACAATGGGCAAAAGTGGTCTGCCTGCACTTATCCTCATCCTCAATTCAAATTCAAGCATGTATCTGATGTATGAGGTTGCTGCTATGCGATGACTTATATGTATGAAGTAATAGTATATTTATAATTTAAATAAAAATTAAAAATATTTTGGTATTAGAGTACGATTATTTTTATTAAAATAAAAAATAAAAATTTTGAGTGAGACAAACTACGATTAAAAAAATATATATATATACTTTGAATTGGAACAAATGAAATACTATATATATATATATATATGTAACGGTATAATAAAATCACTTGCAATATTTGACATTGTTTAAAACTCAGACACACTACTATATCCTGCTACAACTCCACTAACAATTGGTATTACAGTTTCAGTTCTTACCAGGCAAAGATGTTTTCTTTTCTGTATTATCTGTAAGGAGGAAAACAAGAAAATGAAACGTACCAACCAACTCAATTATCCATACAGTTACAGAAAGACATACATACTGGAATATACATATGTATGCATAAACATGTGTGCAATAGTTATCCTTAACACAATCATGTATCTTTGAAATTATTGGTCTAAGCCAGACAAGCTACAAGCAAATAGATGCATTTGGGAATGATAAGAATGCTCCAAACGTAGTGATCAGGAAAACGATAATAGCACTTTGCTTGTAACCTCAATAATAGTACAGTACAGGACAAGGTATTATGATAAGATATGGAATTCTAAGCAATTCTATAATACATGGTTACAAAAAGACAACATTAAGGTGGACACCAAGGCTGGACACTTTAAAATTGTCCATCTCAAATTTGTCGTGAAATCTACTGTACATCATGACACAAACCAATGAACTCACATGTGGTGAAGGCAAAGAGAAAAACAAAAAAAAAAAAGAAGGCACACAAAAACAAGAGCACAGGCACATTATAATATGGAAACACAATTTTAAGGTTATGAATTTAGCCAGCTACCTTATCGACCTCCAGACAAGATCATTGCATCCTGGTTGTAAATTGAGTCATCTCCAAAGTCGAATCTTCTGTGTAGCCTTTCATGTTCTTGCCTCCTTGTCACTTCCACATGCTGCCACTCCTCCCACCTCTCAGCAAGCCCTTCACCTTCCAGCATGCGAACAACCTCTGACATTGCTGGACGGTCTTCAGGCGATGCTTGAGTGCAGAGTAAAGCAACCTGAATCATCATCTCCACTTCTTGAATGTCGTAGTCTTGATTCAGGTTTCGGTCAACAATGGCATCAAGTCTTTTCTCCCTCTGTAATTTCTTGACCTTTCAACATGGAAACAATCAGATCAATATAAATCAATATAAGTACGCCAAAAACTAAGCAGAGGCGTAATTTTGCTTTTGCTTGTAGGCACAAGCACATACTAGAAATTAGAAATGCGGATCACGCTATTATAAATTAATACAGAAACTATGAAGCTTGAATTCCATGTATATCTTTTCAATGATTGAGCATACATGCACACCTAACATCTCTCAAGATTACAACCTATCCTGCCTGTAAAATATTACACATACGCCAACACACAACAAGAAATATGTTAGAAATTCAAATCTATGACTAGTATTCTATTCAGTGCACAGATATGCATAATCTCATATTTATACACAGTTACGCGCGCGCACACACACACACACATATATATATATCCCCATCTACTAAAGTATTCTTGCATTAGGATATTTAATAATAACAATATCAAAAGTAGTAGAGTTGCATCCAATAATAACAACAATATAGAACATAAAAACATTAAATATAAAATATAATAAACACTACCTATAGCTAAGTTTCTTGTATCAACGAGCAGAAATTTACACCATCCAGAAACACAAAACAATAGACTGTGAATATACATGCATGTTGGTATCTTACGTGATCAAGCAGCAAGACATCATCTTCCTCTTCCAATCGTGAGAAATCTATAGCTCGTTGGCCTGTCACAAGCTCTAAAAGCATGATTCCATATCCAAAAACATCTGTTTTTTCTGAAGATTTTCCGGTGGACAAGTACTCGGGAGCTATGTGACCCATAGTACCACGAACTTGAGTCGTTACATTAGTTTTCCTAACATCAACCAGCTTTGCCAAGCCAAAATCACCAACAACAGCTTCAAAATCTTCGCCCAGTAAGACATTTGCAGCTTTAACGTCTCGGTGAATGATTTTAGGATTACAATGTTCATGGAGGTACTCTAATCCACGTGCTGTACCCAGAGCCACTTTCTTCCTTGTCAACCAATCCAAAACAGGCTCCCCAGCTTTAAGCTCTGTGTAGATATAAAAACATGTTAGCAGATTGTACTTTTAGGGGGGGGGAGAGTAGGATTACCGTATAATCCTGTGAGAAAATCAACCTTGTGTAGATTTGAGATTTCTCAAAATAACATATAAGTAGATTTCGGAAAAATAAATTTTTTTAAAAGGAAAATAGGCAGAAAGGGAAGACTCTTCATGTTTCTATAAACACAAAAGATCTATGCCTTATAATTTAACCTGGGGTGTAAAGATGAGGACTGCAAGAAAATACCTCGTAGCTGGTACGCAACACTCAGGTTTTGCATAAAAGGGTAAACCAAAAGCCGTTCAGTTGGTGTTGTGCAGAACCCAATCAGTCGTAAAAGATTTCTATGAACAGCAACACTGATCATCTCAACTTCACGCTGGAATGCTGTATCTCCACCTGGGCTCTCAAAATCAGTCAAACGCTTGACAGCAACCTTTGTGTTATCAGAAAGAGTTCCTTTATAAACCTTTCCGAAACCCCCCTGCCCTAGGACATTTTTTTCACTGAAGTTGTCTGTGGCGAGCTGCAATTCTCTCCATGAAAATCTCTTTAATTGACCAAATTCAATTCTACGATCAACTTCACCTGGCAATATTGCTACACCTTTTAGTTTCAATAACAAAGAATCACAAGTGCACAACTTGGAGAAATCCAAAATACATATACAAATCATCCTTGGAAATATTCCGTGAACTTGATACCAGATTAGGAGCAAAAATACTTGGATCTGTTTAGTTGAATATTTTGTACAAGCTGAGAATGGAAGATCTATATTCACCAGCTTTAGGAAACTAAGAAATTTTTTGTTTGGGGGTTTAGATTTTGAGTTGGGATTTGAATAATAAAAAATTTGAATTTAAATAGTTGTATGATGTGATATAAATAGGTGTTGATGTGATGTTTTGAATGTAAAATTGATTTTTAGTATAATATAAAAAATGAAAAATATGTGTTTGATTTGATGTTTTTAGGGGAAAAAAATAGAATGAATAGTGTAAATCCAATCCAATCCCCCAAACAAACACACCCTAAGTAAACTAGATGAGGGACTATAAATAATCTTCAAAATCAAATGGATTTAATGTCGTAATCTCAGGATGAATTAAAGATTTAATAGAGTAATTTTAGGATTTTTACCTGTTTAGTATACCAGAAAATTGTATGTATTCATTAAAATATATTGTAGAAATAGAATATTGAAATATGCAATTCCTTATGTTCTCTATCAACACTCGTGTTCTTTATCAACAAACAAAAAATAAACAACCCCTTAGTGTGTATCATCAAATAAAAGGAAACCTGCAACATCGACGAAAACTTCACGCCTGCATCCCTTTTGCCTATCCTTCCAAAGGAATAACACGAGGCAGCCTCCAAGAATGAGAATAACAACAAATGCAACAACAATTCCTATTATCATCCCAGTCTTTGATTTGCTGGAACCATCTGCCAAGATAGAATTAAAATCATATGATCTTCCAACTTAATATTTATTGTTTTTTAGATCCGGTTGCTAAAAAAAATTAATATTCTTAAGTATATGCATGAAGACTTTGTTTCCATTATCCAAAAAAAATACCACAATATATTAAAGTTCCTAAAGAGTAATAAGTACAGAGAATGAAAGATCACATATACCTCCATTCTCTGATGCACAACCATGTGAATAGTTGATGCCGCAATTCAATTGGTTCCCAGTAAAGCTGAAAGCAGCAACTTAAACTAATTACTAAATACATAAATAACTGTAACCAAATGAATATATACAAACACACATAGACGCAAAGTTTGGAATGATTTTGTACTTGTACTTAGAAATCTTGAACAATTGCTGAGGTATGTTGCCACTTAGATTGTTGGAAGCAAGCTGCCTGCAAAATACATTTCCCAGCACCAAATAAACACAAAGCAAATAGAGTGACAATGATGTGAAAAAATAAGGGGGATCCAGCCTTGGAATTGAGTCCTCTTAGATTAAGTTTTGGTATTTTACTTTGATTAGTATTTTAGTTTGGTTAGGATTAGATTTGATATTGTACTTTGATTATAATTTGCAAATTCTATCTATTATAATTTTATAGTTAGTCTTGGCATCTATAAATAAGCCAAGTATAATTCATCTTGTCATTTGCAAATAAGACCTTAAATGTGGCAGTTTTTGGCCAAAGCCCTATAAGTTTTGTTTCTAACAAGTTGATCCAACCTGCCAAATTCCCCCACCTTATGAGACACAATTGTTGATAGATCTCATGTTTAGTCCCTTGGGTTGGCTCGCTTAAGTTGATCAATATCTAGAATTCGATCCTTGCTAGGATGGGCAAAATTTTAAGCTTGTTATGGTGGCCATGGAAGGTCACTGCTAGTTCTGTTGGTTCAAACATCATAGGCCAAACTACTCATGGCATGAGTTCACTAGGGCAATCATAGCGCGATTCGATGAGTATGATGGCAGCCCTTACAGCATATGCCAGCACTATGATAGACAGAAAGCATAACAAAATATGTGAATGCCTTCAGCCGATCAGATTCCGGAACTGTCAAATGAGTTTTTCTTATATTTATTATTGAATGGACTGAAAGAAGGAATTAGAGCGTAGGAGCATGCAGATCTGGATTAAAGGAGATATGTAGAATGCAGTAGCATTTTTGGCCAAAGTCTCAGGTTTGGTAAATATTATTTCTAACAGATGATCTTGAGACTACAATAATGGAACGCAAAAATGAAGATAGTACTTACAAGTTAACAAGGTTTGGAAGACCCGAAAATGATTCAGGAATCGGTCCGGAAAGATTGTTTTGACTTAGAATCCTGCCACCATGAACAAGCAAAACTTATTTTGACAGAATAAACAAAATCACTGAAAGACAAGTAGTTGGAACATGCTTACAAAAACGTGAGCTTCTTGAGATTGCCCAGGGAAGGTGGTATTTCACCAGTTAAATGATTATTTTCCAGATCCAGCATTGTCAAGCTTGATAAATTTCCGAACTCTTCAGGAATATTACCCATTATGCTGTTTCCTTGTAACTGGCTGCAATTATAAATTAGCTTCACATAATTAACTGCTTGAATGGGAGTATAAACAGCATCTATACAAGCTTTAAGTTACATGTTATACATAATAGTTCTTCCAGGAATATCAATTTAATCATGGATCAATCTGAAGTTAAGAATTCATCAATCCCCCAGCAAAATATTAACTGAAAAGGCTATCAGACAAATATTTTGAACAAAGTTATATTTTGGAACTTGAAAGTGTCACCTCAAAAGTCCATTTTAAACCAGATAATATATGTGAAGACCATCTGGATTCTGGGACCAAAATACCAACAGCATACCAGTGATCAATTGATGGCCATAGACCATAAAATATCATATCAGCTCACAAACTATGAAATTGATAGCACTTCCTGTTCTCTCCTTAAACTCAAAGCATAGGCAGGTCAAAGGGAAACAGCTACATTGAATTAAAACAAGATCAAAAATTTTCCAATTAAGTTGCATTATGAAGTGGAAGACTTCTCCATAATAATTGTGTCAACCAAGCCAAGATACCAAGATCACTGAAAAGACAATCAATATATTATACAGCTTTGCAAGATTTGAATACCTACAGTGTTGCCAGCTTCTTCAAAATCCCAATTCTAGGTGACAAGGTTCCAGTAAACCCCATATTAGACAATGTCCTGATCAAAATAGAATCATGTTAAAGAGCACATCAGTAAGCCAAGAAGAGAAAGGGAGACAGACCTTTGACCGAAAAGCAGAAGAAAAGAAAAAAAAAAAAAGAAGCAATATTTTTTACACTGTGGTCACATTGTTGCTACTATCACAGATAACTTTGGACCAAGTGCATGGGTTGACTAGATTCCGATTCCAATCCTTGAGCTGATCGCCTGAAGCATTAAGTGAACTCCTTAAAGACCACAGTGCCTCCCCTGCAGTCCTTGAAAATATGAGTGACCTCCTTTCTAAATTATTGTAGGAAAATGAAGGTACACCGCTAATGAAGTGGGAGATAGCAGGAAAGAGTGAATTCAGGCCATTGCACATAACAAATTGTGGATCAGGTTTGATATGATTACCTCCAAGGTGCTCATAATTAACCAGACTGGAGAAATTACTAAATCATGTAGTAACATTTCACATCAAATTATATATAAAATGTGAATAGCAAGCACAAAGACATGGTGGTGGATCACAATTATATTTTATAGCTACCAGTTCCCGTGCACAAAATTCAACTAAAATCAGTCAACGAGTGGTATCATAGTTAATCCTATCAAGTATTGCCATTCCCCTATATATAAATATCCCCAACACTAATTCCCAGTTTTTAGAGCAACAAACAATTTAAGCAAGACCCTTAGTTCAAACGAAGTAATCAATTTTTGGAACCAACTTTGAAACTTCCATCATGTTTTTCCTTGTTTTACATGCGGAAGAAAGGTTTATACCATGAGAAAACAAATCTAGGTTTGGTGAAGCATTTGTCTACCAGCATAATTGTACATAATTTACTTCATATTTTATAACTTGGAAATCCAATAAGAAATGTACCTTGTGCATCAGGAGATGCAAAAGAAAATAAATATGCCAGCACCAGTGCTCTAATAATCAGGCCCATCCTGAACAATATCAAGACATCATAAATGTAGCATGTGAGAATTGATTCAGACCTGCCACTGAGAAGCAGCAAATTAATAAGCTAGCTTGTGTCAATGAGCATCCAGAATGTTGCACCTACACCTTTAAAATGTCAAATAGTTTTAGATCATCAACAAGAAAAATCTGTCCTTCCAAAGCATAAAGAATTTGAAAATCTAACGGGCCTGCAGACTATAGGTCCAGATAGGAAAAAAAATTGAGGAATGAGGAAATTTGATCCTTGTCATCAGTTACAATGTACGGTTCAATGTGAAGCCAGAACAACTTACACTCAGTTTTTCAACTAGCTACCAAATTAAGCTTGGGTCCTCTCACAAGATGTTATCTGGCATGTAACATAGTCACTCAAAGATGTAGGCATATTATCCTATTATTCAACCTCACAATATATTTCCAAAACTGATAGAGAAATCAACTGCTAGATGTCAATATACATTAGTGTTCTTTGTTGTTCAGATCTCAACTGAATCCTAGCTTTTCCACAAAGGAAACGGGAACTAAGCTTCAAAGACAGCAATCAATCCTTGAAGCAAGCAATTTCAAAGAAGGAAATTAACAATTTAGCCCTGAATTCCCTAATTAAGATGGGTATTCCTGCTTTTTTTTAAGGATCAAACTATTAGCTTGAAGAGTACAATCTCTGACATCAACCATGCACGAGTGAGCATGACACCAATGTAAAAACTTCAACCGGCTACAAAGTGTGAAATCTAAACCTTGAAATGGATCAATAGTTGTGAGTTCACCGCTGTGACATGCCGACCCGCAAGCCACGCAAAGCCGGGTGTGTTGGGATTGTAGACTAGCCTACAAGTCAACACAAGTATCTCAAGAGGTCACCCATCCTCAAATTATTTTAGAACAAACTTTAAAGTTATTTCAATAATAATCCCGAAAAAAGAATATACACATTGTTAATACGAGGAGTCTATTCAATTTTAATTTCTATTCACTCTTGAATAGCTAAGCACCGGCTCATCTGTACATAGAATTGGTTTAACACCGGCTTAACTTCAAGGATATTACAACCGCCCTTAGCCAAGCTGCTTAGGAGTTCTTCCAGTAAAGATCAAGACTCTTAAATAATAAATAAATAAATATATATATATATATATATAAGCACCTAAAACGTAAATGCATTTTCCACAAAACAGAGACCTAAATCCATCCCAATGATTACCCATAATTGGCCAAAAATGCATTTTTCCTGAAGGCCAAGCCCAAAAAAGAGACCTAAATCCAACCCCAACCCCAACTATATTCGACTAGTTCCAAATGAAAGCTCACTTTCTCCCTAAGCCATTTCCTAATTTCAACTGATAGGGTGGGAGAGAACGGAGGGCATGAGAGAGAGCGGCGGTGCTTTCAGGGCTCAGCTTTCGGCGAGTGACAGGCCACGGTGGTCGTTCGCGGGTGAGTGAGAGAGATAATGAGGCGGAGGGAACGAAGGCGTAGCGCAGGGGAGATCGAAAGGGACGGTAGAGCTGGCGTCAGATTTCTTGATCAGTGGCGGCGAAACACTGGTCCAGTTGGGTTTATACAAACGGAAGTGTTTGTACATATTACATATACAAACACCACAAAGCCTTCGCAATATACTCACGCAGATCGATCTGCCGAAACCCTTAGCAAAGAATGGAAAATGATCGAAAAATTCTTACAACAAGAGCCCTCAGACGAGGAGTTTATGCGGATCTGTTAGGGCAGAGGCGGATTCTACCTGTGGAGCACAGTAGAGGCCGGTGACTTTCTTCCGGCCGCAAAACGGCAGCGGTCAAGCAGCGGCGTCTTGGTTCTGAGTTTTGCTGCAGTAGATGAGTTAGTTAACACGTGTTTTGTTCCTTCACGGGTTTGGGAACTAGGTTTGGTTTTGGAAAGGTTTTCGGGTGTTTGCTAAATAAAACTATGCCGAAGAAAAGAGGCTCAAATCGGTCTACACAACCACAAGAACTGTGGAAAATATGAGTGCAAAGTGGATTGTGATATTGACGTGTCTCCGTAAAGGTGTATCCATCCGGGCACCACTAAAAGTGGTCTTTACAGGATGTGCTTGAAATTCACCTGGAGGATGGAAAATTAACCGAAAAGTTTTAAACTATGGAAGGATGACAGTAAATCTTTCCATGAAGAGTAACCTTGAGAGAATTTTCCAACCAAGGCAAATCGAAATTCTAAAACGAGTTCCGAAGTTTCCGAAGCAGAGAAGGATAAAATTGGACACTCTTTCGCACCTGAGACAGAGCCAATACGAGAGGAATGAAGATCGGAATCAAAACACTTGGACGAGGCATTTTGTCGAACAGGTAGTAGGCGACTATCAGTCTCAGCCATGACTGAATCGAATGTTAACCGTTACTCGACACCAAACTGAGCAACTCCAGATCAAAACACCAAAGAAAACGGCAAAAAAATTAGAACAGACACGGCGGAATCAAACCAGCTTCGGGCGAGCAGGAACAGGGGAGCAGAGAACGGGGAAGCACAAGGTACAGTAGGCGGAGAGGGCAGAGGGAATTAAGAAAACGTTATATTTATGTTAAAAATAATTAAATAAAGAATTATTTTTGTTTTCGCTTAGCCCATCAAAATTTAGAAACAGCCCTGTATATATATATATATATATCTCTATAATTATATATACATTATGGTTTTGTTGTGCTCTGAAAGTATTCAAATAGTAGTGAAACTGAAAACCAACAAATTGGGGTTTACAAAATCTGAATCCAACATTTCCTCAACGGATCTCTCTCTGCTATCAGGGTATTGCTGCGTCTGCAACGGAGGTTAGATTCAGTCAAGTCTTAATTTTCTATATATAGAGAGAGAGAGAAATTGATGCATTGAAATATTTTATCAAAGATTTGATTGTAATCTCAGTTCATCTTGTATCTTCTTGGAAAATCTGAAATCTTTTCTAACGTTTAATTTATTTTTATTTTTTTGTTTCAGGAAGCCAGAAGTGTGAGTCTACGCCGGACCCAAATCCGACGATGATCCTCTGCCGAATGCCATACCTCTTCCGATCATGAATATCGATTTTCCGAAGATTAAGATCAATGCCGTGCCGGAGATCAAGGACGTCGATTCTACGACGTCGCGATCCAGATTCCAGCTTCTTGTTAAGCTCAATGCACCATCAATGTCGAACTACGCTCGTCCCCGAAATCGTGCTCCTATCGATCTCGTTGTCGTGCTCGACACCAGCCACGGCATGCGCGGATCGAAATTCGACGAAATGAAAAGAGGCGTTGTGTTTCTCATCGAGAACTTATGGCCGGACGACCGGCTTTCGATGGTGTCGTTGTCTCCCGATCCCCGGAAAATGTTTCCCCTCCTAAAAATGACCGAGACTCGACAGCAAGAAGTCAAACGAATCGTCGACTCCCTCGTCGCGGGAGGCTCGACGAACGTCGCCGGAGGCCTATTGAAGGCGGCGGAGGTTCTCGACGAAAGGGTGCATAAGAACATATATTCGTGCATTATTTTCTTGTCGGGTTCGAGAGATAATTGCTACTGCACCGCGCAGCCGCGGGGCGTCGCAGAGCAGAGCCACTTGCCGGATTATCTCAATGCTCTGCCACCGTCGATCTATCCTCGAAAAGAAGAGAAAAACGGCGAGCTCCGGCGAACCATTTTTCCTGTTTATACCTTCGGCATTGCATCGTATCACGACCCTCGAGCATTGCGCGTAATCGCCGATGCGTCAGGCGGCACTTACTCATTCATCGACAGCTTCGACCTCGTCCAAGACGCCCTCGCAAGCTGCCTCGGCGGGATACTCAGCTTGGTCGCGCAGAACGTTAACCTGATCGTCGACGCAGCATCGCCCGGCATAAAAATTCAAGCAATCAATTCTGGGATTTACGATCACAGCATTACATGCAACGGCTGTCGCGGCAAGATCGAGATCCCCGACCTCTACTCCGACGAGGAGAAATATTTCCTGATCTATTTTACTTTGCCAAAACTTGTAATCCGGGGCAGCGAGAGCGACAGAGCTACGTATCTTGCGGAAATAAAGTGCATCTACGTCGATGGAGTGATGAAGGAACACATTATGATCGAGCACGCCCGGGTGGACATACACAGGCCAATATACTTCAACCCGATGTTAGAATCAGAGAACTTTGAGATTCGACGGCAGATGGAGCGCCTTCGCGTGGAGGAGACCATCGCCAAGACAATACACGTCGCGGAAGCTGGAAATCTGCAGAAGGCTCAGGAAATTTTGTCGACATGCGTCTTGAGGTTTTCGAGATTGAAAGAAATGGGGAACCTTGACGAGGTGACGTTGTGGCTATTCGGGGAGATGTTGGAGATAGAAGGTCGGATGAAGAACCAACGGATGTACGAGATGAAAGGGGGACGAGCTTATGCTCTAGCGACTTTGAGCTTGCTCGGGCACCAGAGGGCCACGACAAGAGGCGATAGAGTGCCCGGAGAAGAAGGGACGTCAGAGTCAGTATCTTTCGAGCTTTTTTCGACGACAAATATGGTGAAAATGGTGACCAAATCAAGGAAGGTAGAAGAAGCATTGTAATGTGATGTTGAAATTTAGGATTTAGTGAAGATGTTTGTTTTTTTTTTCTGTTCAGTACTTACGACGTTTGTAGTTGTGAATCAAAATTAGGGATATTATTGATATTTTCTCGATCAAAAGAACTATTCATAGATAGGATTATGAATTTATGATAGCAGTTTTTTGAATCCCATGACCTAACACTAAGATTAGACTAGATAAAATAATACTATTCATCTCAATTATCCAAAATAAAATAAATAATGAGTGTTGACTATTTTTTTATGCCTATTTTGAAAAAATCATATCAAATTATTTTGTCTTGTGGTTGAATAGGATTTCAAGCCATTAAATTAATCTTATTAAATAAAATCAATATTTAATTATAACGCTCATTTATAACAAATATAAAAAAATTTTATTACATTCTCTTTCACTCTTTTTAATTATTAATTAAAATTTCAAAAATGCCATAATCTACTATTTTATATCCATTTTTTTAATAAAATATTCCTTTTCTTAATCCTGTGCCAATATTAAATAAACTAATTTTGTAAGCCTGGAGGGAGTGCATGTGTTTTAAGAACATAAATTAGCAAAAGTACTATATATATAGAGGGAAGCTTCATAGTGATATAGGACGAGCTATATATATATATATATTAAAAAATTTCAAATCATGAAATCTCTCCTTCTGAAAATTAAACCGCATCAGTTAGTTTATAGGTGCGGCTGTAACTGTATAATAATTATAATCTGCTATCATAACTTATCAACATACAGCACAGCATAGTATAGCATAGCACAGGGTAGATCCCCGGAGTTGGGAGGGATGCATACCTTAATATGTGCAAAGCCTCTCCATCTCTTCGATTCTGCCTGCATACTCATACTCGTACTCATACTCATACTCTTGTGGGAATCAATCCTTTATAGAAGCCCAAGTGATTTCAGCTGCTGGACGTGCTCAGGTGGCAGAGCTGGCGGCGTCCAGTTGCCTCCCGTCTCGCTGTCAACATCCTCGACAACGTATTCCTATACATACAAATACATCAACCAAGGACTATTCGTTTTTTGAGATCAAAGCTCAACAGTCAGCAATAGAGAAGTTAATTCAATAACCATCAAATTTTGTGACTTAAGACTGCTCAAATCGAGTTTTTATAATGGTGCTTGCATATATGATAGAAGAATATACAGCAAGCAAATAATCCTGTACTTTTAAATCCTCAACACATTAACCGACAAAAAAGTCCAAATATAGGAAGGTAAAATATACAGAAAGAAAAATGTGGAGTTGTTAGATATCTTTTCTTCACTTATGTTTATTTAGATGTTATTGGGTGAATTGTAATTTGTTTACACATAAAAGAATGTAACATGACTTACTTTTGTTAGCATTCTTTTCGCAAGTATGTGGTAGTGTCTCTGCCAAATCCTCTGCCCGACCATTGTCGCAACCAACATGCTGTAGAATATCCCAATGACAGTAAATAAGCCCACCACGATAATAGCAACTATGAATAACAATGGCACTCCAGCTTCTCCGGCACCTCCCAAGCAGCTGCCACATTCACCAGCTGCACCAGCACAGCCTTCAAAGCATGTGGTGCAGTCAGTCCACATACACAGAGTGCCAGGCAGATGGCAGTCGGCGCATATACTGCAGTAAAGTAGAACAGTTGAGAATGCAGTATTCAAACAATCACTTATTTAGTGTATGGAAAGGCTGAGTAGAAGCTCATCTTGTAATTAGGAATACAAAAGCAATGCCATATCGCTAATCACCATTTATTCAATTATAGAATGGATCACAACAATGCAAGGGTAAAATTGCACTTAGTCTCACTGTAGGTGTTCATTTCTACCATAGTCAAATGATAGGTGAGTTCTTTTAGTAATTTTAGTCATATGTTTTTCGGGGCCCTTACAATTGATAGAAAAATATTGTGTGGATACACAGCCATTATTCTTTCGTTGAAGGGTTGAAACATATACTTTTTTTGGGGATTAAATTTGAAATTTTACCTCCACGTTGGTCGTGCCAAAATGCTAGCATAATTCAATTGTTTAAAGACATTATTGGGAGTTCAGTGTTAGATAACCCCCCCCCCTCCCCCCCTCTCTTTTTTTTCCTTGTAAATGAGTGTTCGATAAATTTTTCTAAGATATGAAGTGGCTATTTAACAGAAAATAATACCCAGGATGACAGCAACAGAGGCACAGTTCTCGACATGGCTGAGCTAGATCGTTGCGCACTCTTCTGTCATAACAAGTTATGAAGCACCCGGACAAGCCCAACAAAGCAAAAAACAATAATGCCCCTGTGTAAAAACAAAATTAGATGGCCACAACATAAAATAATTGACACTCTCATACAATATTAAAAATAGCAAGTAAAAAATTATGGCTAATCTTCAATTTTAGGAATTTATGTATCAATCACAAGCGCGATTATGAAAGACAGTTTGCATATATTGATATGAAACCGTAGCAAGTGAAATAAACCAAGTGGATCTACTGGCTTGAATCCAGATTTGCCCAATTCATGTTTCTAATACAATATATCCATTACATCAGGTCAAGTATCTCTACTGAAAAGTGTACAGTTGGGCAAATCTATGACCTTATTCATAAATTGATTGTTAGCACCTTCAAAAAGGTAGCGACTAATATCAAAATTCAATATATCGACAAAGAGGGGAGATATATTCTGTGTAAGCATTAAAACTGGCAAGACTATAGATTAGACATAATGGTCGATCATGACAGTTGTATTGTAACATTAGACACAATGGATTAGAATGTTACCACATATGTAGTAGAAACTAATTTCTCCCTCAAACCCCCATGTCAGACGAAGCCAGAATTTCTGGTAACCATCAACAAAATAAACCAAATATGCCAATAGAGAAATAACCTGAAAGAAAGAGCATTTCTATAGGAATCAGAGACATTGTGATGTTAAAGACTCTCATCTAATGGCTAGGACACTTATCTTTCCTTGAGACATTAATGTTAAAGGAAGAAAGGAGAAACATACATGAATAATCTATGAAAGCCAAATAACATACCAGCTGCACAGCGAAAAAGATAAATAAAATATCCCTAGTAACAAAAAATCTGAACTTCAGCGTACGCCATTTCCTATCAGCAACTCCTTGTACTCTTATGTAATAGGGAGCTTTACAGGTTGTACAATGAGCGAAGGCAAACCCTTCCTGCAAGAAGCATGGGAAGGGGCAAAACAAATATTAAATCAGCTCGCACTTAGTATAAAGTGTTCCAGAGAGGTAGTGATAGCCCCACAGCAACAAACTTGAGGACTGAATCTTTACCATAACCTCAAAATGAGAAATCAGGCATCCATCATACTAAAACTACAAAGCTAGGCACAAATATGGAAACTTAACTGTAGTAGACGCAAAAATGAAGTACACTACACTCAAAAAGAATTTCCATGTATTATAAAGATGGATACAGCACAAACTTCTCGATGCCTAAAACTGCAGTTACCTTGACAGACCGCCAATGATCCAGACATTCTCGGTGAACAAACTTTGCAGTTCCTTTACACTTGCATGGAGCAATAAAATCTCTACCTGAGACAACAACAAAATCTATAAATTTAACACCACTCGACCATGTATAGCCTCTGACTAGTGAAACTACACTAGCAAAAACTTTTTGTGCACAAATGGTTTCCTAGAATATCCCTCCACATCTAATATATAGTCCTTCCCAAATTAAGTCTTACGTCGCTTGATTATTACCCAAAATGTGTCAAATATCCATCATCAATATTCAAATTCAAATATGAATTTATACATACATGGCTATAGCCCACTCAAGTTTAACTATGGAGATATTCTACAAACTAATTCAGCATACAAGCACACACTCACACATATAATCAAATGTTTCTTATCAATTCAAATTACACAGAAGAAGACCTAAAACTGAAAAAAAAAAAGTATGATGATAAAGAATTGATTATGCAGAAATTTTCCATTGTAGGAATCACAAGAGGAAGTCAGTTTCGCTAAAATCATGTGGCATCCGAGATAAATATATACGGTGAAAGACATAGCTAGGAACACTCGATTCGTATAAAATTTCCACTGCAGTGCGCAATATCCACAATTAACAGAAAAAATAACACCAAAAACCATATCCATCAAGAAAGAGAACAAAAAAGGCTGGCATAATCAAGAAAATTCGAGGGACTAAACCATCTGTTTCGAGGCAAATTCGGCATTGAATTTGCTCATCAGGACCAGCCTCAAGGTCAATCTCGGAAGGGTCTTTCATCGGTACAGGCGCCATCAGCGGCGACGAATCGGACTGCTCGGTATTCATCATGCCAAGACTTGATCACAAAATTCAACAACTTGAATTCGATTTCATACAGGGGAACAGATGAAAACCCCTTCGAAAATCCGCTGATTAACCTTGCTCCCCCAATTCTTCCAAATTACAGCATAAAAAAAAATGGATAATTTTGTTGGCAAACAGGGTTCCGAAATTCCAACTTCCAATTGAAATTGAAGGTCCGAGCAAGAGCCAACAGCAAGAGCAAGGCTTACGAAATAAATAATGTAAAATAAATAAATAAATAAGGGGAAAATTTCAGAAATGAAAATAATAATAACTTAACATAATAATAATAAGTAGTCTTATGCAAGCGCCATGTGAATTGCCATTATTACCCCTGTCTTGTTCTTGAATCAACATCGATTTAAAGGTACCTACCCACTAAGAGCACATACAATGACTCTTAATAATAAAAATCTCTATTGCCTAGTTGGCATCTATGTATCCAATCTTTTTTCATCTATGTCGATTTAAAAATTAAAATCAGCCACAACGACTCTCTTTCTCTTTCTGATTTTCTCTTTCATCACTTCCAAATTTCACACAAAATATTCATTCTCGTGTAAATCCAAATCTCCCAAACATAAACATAAGGTGTTCAACAAGAACTGAGAGTCAATTGAATATGCAAAATGCCGAACATGTGAAAGAATTGAATCAATGTAAGAAATTACAATGTGAGGTGTGAAAACACAGCAATTCACGAAGAATCATTCACTCACTCACACTAAAAACACATTGGAATTTGTAGAGGAAAGGAGAGGGGATTTGTTGAGAGAAAATAAATCTGTTTCTAGAAATAGACACAGGCGTAGCCCTCATCACTAAATAAAAATTAGAACCTAAAAAAATGAGAAAATCCCCAAAATTTACCCGTCGGTCGCCGGAAAAGTGCAACAATGTCGACTGTGAAATGAGGAAAAGAGGAGGGAGAACAGTCATCGGCGATGGGGATGGAAGATGAGTTTGGGGAAGAAGAAATGAGCAACAAGGGTGAGAGGGAGGACAACGGAGAGAAGGAGAGAGAAGAGACGACGTCGAGACGTGCTTCGCCTGCACGATGGTGCTATCGATTTTTGATCGAAATGATGGGGTCGAAAAGTAGGCCATTACGGATGAGATTTTTCGAAATTGAGAAAAACTGACATCGAAATACGAGATAAAGTCTTCTATTTAAGAGCCACAGTACGTGCTCTAAGGCATAACGCGTCATATATTCACCTCGACTAATATAAACCTTTTTGGAAGTTTTAAAGTTTTTTTTTTTTTTTTAATTAGAAATAATAAAAGAGTATATATTGATCATTTGATGTTTTTGTCATATATCTACATCTAGTAATGAGAATTAAGGTGAAAGAAATTTTGTTATACCTACTAAGTACCAATCAGGAGCAAATTCGGGCTGAAATTCAATCTTCGTTGCATAATTCGGCCCAAATTATTTTTCATATTTGATAAATATCATTTGTCCAACTATTAAAAATGAAATTACATAGTATTGAGACAAAGAAACCTATAAAAGAAAAGCTCCGGTACAAAAGGCTAGCCAAAATGAAGCAACTTCTTTTGTCTATCCAACAAAGGATATAGAGTTTATGCCGGTTTTTACGTCATTGTTTTTAATAATAGACATGCGACTTTACTATAGAAAATAGAAAAAATTTCTAATCATTTTCAATCAAAATTTCTAATCATTTCAATACACAAGAAATTCAACATGTATAGGGGCACAAGAATGTTAGTTTTTTTTTTTTTTTTTTTTTTGAATTATTGTATGAATATTAGTATAAATATGAATGATGAAATGGTCGATGGTTGCGACAGCCACACTTAATTAGTGGAGAAACCACTCAAAATGGGAAGAAAACTAAGCCCACAAATATGGAGCAACAAATAGTCATATTACATGTGACGTGTCTTTAATTCTCAATCTCCCAATCTATAATATGCTATATTATTTATATTTGCATTATATATATATATGCCAATGTAATGTTATTATTTAAAATTATATTGCATTGGATGATATTCATGTGGATTTAAAATATGGGATTTTGGATGAAAATTAATTTTTGAGTGTGTTTGGTCCAATACTCTTACATATGACGTGAATTCTTGATATTGATATGCATTTTCATTAGTTTTTATTTGAGTTTCTGTTTTTTTTTTTTTTTTTTTTTTTTTTTTTTTATTTTATGTTATATATACACCACATCCTCAATCCGTAGAAAACTTTTTTATTAGAATTTCATTTATTTTTTTAGCCAAGTTTTGTCTTCAATCTTTATGGAAAATAACTCCTCATATATTTTCTTAAGGGTTGCAAATCTTGTTCGAAAATTTGTTGTAAAATTTTCTTTGAGGAGGTTTTCCACGTTTCTAAAAGAAGAGAAAAAGGTGGTTTCGTATATTGCTAATGCCATATATAGAAATTGAGCATAATTAAAATACTTCTCTTTAGATACCATATTTTATAATTATTTTGTAGTGAGGATTTGCATACATCTAACTATTATTATTAATATAAAATAAAAAATTTAGTGGGTGGTGTGGTGTGACCCCATAATTATGGAGTACATGGATCCACCAATGGAAGAACTAAAGTCCAAAATATAGTGGGTTGAGTTAAATTGGATAGATCCAATCAACCTTTAATCTCGTTACAATTTAAATCCTTCAAATTTGAATATTATATAAATATATATATATGCATGCATACGTGATTAAATTATTGAGTTGAGTGGAAAATCGTGAAATATTGAATTATTTATTTGAAATGCGACGTGGAACCCAAATTGGGTTAATAGAATATTCTTTTGACAAGTTGGAGGAATTGAAGGGTTAGTTAATGATGTCTCTAAAAGATTTGAAGAGTCATTAATAGTTTCATAAAAAAATAAAAAATCAAAGGGGTTAAGCTTAGGCTGTCCCGATTCACTTTCTAACATCTTATTATTATTATTATTATTATTATTATTATTATTATTATTATTATTATTATTATTATTATTATTATATCCAAAGGAGGATTTGATTTGTGTAAGTTGGTGGAAACAATCTGAAATTATAGTTGTAAAATATATTTAAATGTATGCAAATTTTTTATTTATTTATTTATTCTTTTTATGTCGATTATTGGCGTCATTGTTGTTTGTTGTTGTTGTTCAAGTGGAGTAGTAAAGTATCCCACCGTCTAAAAAAAACGCTCATATTTTTCACCACATGTTTTAATATAATGTATAATTTTTCTTAATTTTTTTATAGTAAAAAATTAATATATTATTTTATTGAGACAAAATAATAATAATAATAATACAAACGAACACATTTTTAAGAGATAAAAGAAGTATCACATATATATATATATATATATATATATATATGCTTTGGTTCAGAGAGATGTAGGTCTTGATTAATTTATCAAAACTTTTCACTTCATAAATAATATATGTCGTATTATATTTTTGTTAATTCAAATTTAAATTTACATTTCATATATATATATATATTGCAATTTAATTGGTGCATATACTAGATTTGGTCCTAAAGCATAATGATAGAATTTAATATGGTAAGAGATACACGTAGACATGCAATAAGTAATTTGAGTTTATCTTAATTGGATCTATATTTACAAAATACATATAAAATGTAATATTTAAACCCCAAGAAAAATATAAAAGTTTATATGTATAATTTACACAATATTTTAAAGCCTCCAAAATACATCCAAACACTCACATACAAAAGATGCACAATATATATATATATATATATATTACGTATTCGTCGTGTATACTTATTACATATAAGAGACGTGTATATATTATATGATTTACTTTTTAAAGCACTTTTTGCACTTTTTATATAAGAATTTTTTACGAAATTGAGTTACAATGTGATGCTCTTTTCAAATGTGTTGAATTGATATACCCAAAAAAAAAAGTAGTATAAAAATAGTTATTATTTTATATTCTCTAGGCATTACAATCAATTCTAATTTAATAGGTTGTATTAATGAACGTTTTTCTTAGATATATTATTATTATTAAAATATGTTGACAGCTTCAATACGAATGAGGTTAATAGATTTTTTCTATGTAGAATAATTTATTTAATTTTTCTCATTACTTTTATGATATTTGTTTAACATAATAGTATATTGTAATACGATTAAATTTTAAAATATGAGTTGTTGACTTCTAAAATTGAAATAAATTTAAATAAAACATCTCATCATTTTATATAAAAGTATCAAAATATTTATTTCAATATATATTTCTTATTAGATGTAAGTCTTATAGTATTTTAATATGTATACACTTGTATCATTATATTATTTCATAATAAATTTGTAAACATTAAGGATGTGTTCTTCTAATGAAAAAATATAACTAAACAGATATACTCCATTATATATATATATATATATATCAGAGATATATATAAAGAAGACAAATGTCACTTTCTCCTAGTTACAAAATTGTGATAATCCAAACAAACAGTTTGCATCAGAAGACACTCGACAAACCACACCAATATAATAATCAATCGAAACTCCAACATCATCCCTACACAATACAAATACGACATCGTTTCACTCAGTAGAAAACCCACAACGCAAACATACAAAGCAGATAAAAACCAAAACCGAAAAATAAAAACAAGAATTGGAAGATAGAAGGAATCATGGTGGGGTTGGAAATGAATTGAAGATGATGATGATGATGATGATGGTGAGGTCAGAGATGATTCAGTGCGCATATTCAGAGCAGCCATAGCACAACACAAGAACAACACGACACCGTTTTGCTCGTTCCTTTGTGGAGACGCCACAACAACAACAACAGATTAAAAAACTCAAAAACAAAAAAAACAAAAAAAAAACCATTATTCTATATGTTTGACTGTAGCCTGAGATAACACAATACAATTGCATGAATGATTGTATCATTATTTAGGCACAACAGTAGCTACCAGTAGACTTTGTTTTTCCTTTTCTTTTTATTCTTTTAGTTGGCATTTAAATAGAGCAAGTCTATTGAAAAGAAAGGTATACATATATGATATATATGTATGTATGTATGTATGTGTGTGTATATATCCCCTTTACAATTAGATTCGATGGTGCTGCTGCTTCACAACGGCAACACCAAACTACAGATGGAAGATGGGTTTTGGGGCACTGTGATTTGCCTTCGGCTACTTTTCTTGGGAAGAACAGCAACCAATTGAGAGAGGGAAACAAGATCAGTTTTCAAAGTGGGCTCTTTCTCATAATTTCACTAATACAGGTTATATTTCTATGTCTACTTTCTTATATATATAGAGAGAGAGAAAGAGGTTAGAGAGAGAGAGAGAGAGAGAGAGAGAGAGAGAGAGGTTTTCAACTGTGTTCATCAAAGGGTTGAACTGAGTGAGTGTTCCTTCAAATCATGAAATTTTGGGATTATAACTGAGTTCTTGTTTCATGTTGTCTTGAATTTGTATCCCTTTCCTTTGATGAAAAAATATTTTAGCCATGGAGAGATCACAAGTTTGACTCGACGATTTAATGGATAACTACTGAACTTTTTGCTTTTCATATGTTTTCTTTTGGAAAGCAAGAACTCATAGTCAATCATGGTATTTGTTCTTCAATCTTAGAGGTGTGTGTGTTCTTCAATTACATATGTATAGACATACATGTATGTTCTTGATTTGAGCCCGAAAACTGGCTCTTGTAGTTTTTGCTCTTAGTCTAACCACTCTTGAATTAAACATTTCTTGATAAAGATCTAAATCTTCTTGTATAGCTGTAGCTTTTAATGGGATTATATTCAAGATGGTTGCAATAAGATTCGGTCGACTTTTAGTTAATTATTGAGTTTTTCATATAAGTTTCGATAAAATCAGAGAGAATTTTGATTGATACAAAGCTTTTGTAAAGATTCTTTTGTTCCATCCTTTTTTTTTTTTCCTCCTAACATTCCTCATATTCTCTCATCGTGTCTTTTTCCCATTTTCTGCTGGTGAATCTATTCAAGTACTCACTTATCAGATTTTTTTTCCTCTAAAACCACGGTTGGATTGATGTCTGATCGAATGAAACAGGAACAAGTTCTACCAAGAATTTATACACCATTTGGGAGATTCCGGTTCTTCGTGCGCCTTTTGTAAAAGATTTGGCTTTATCCTTAATTCGATGGCTTCGCCTACCTTCTGACTAAAGCTAGTTAAATCTTATATCGATCTGTTTCCAATAGAAGCTCGACAGATACCCTATGTTTCGAAGAATCTGTACTGAAGCTGATTCTCTTCTATTTCTGGATTCACTAATCACAGTGGAGTGTTTGTTAGGAAGTATTTTTGCAACCTTCATTTTGAGAAGCTAATGAAGTTTCACTAACAGCCTCTTCAAACAGAATGAATTCTGCATCGACTCAGTTTGTTCCCTCAAGACGGATGGGCATCTGTGAGCCTATCCATCAAATGGCCATGTGGGGAGATTTCAAAGGCAACGATTTGCTGCCTGTGTCTCCACCGATGATTCTAGATTTTGAGGCTAAACTAGACAATCAGGTGAAGTTCATTCAAAGAATTTATGTATCAGTAATCTATGTCCCCAGTCTTGCCTAGCCCCGACTCGTGGCTTAACTACTGTCCATGTCTGTGCAGTCAGAGGACACTTCGCATCAAACTGCCGGGCCTTCTAATATTTATACCGAACAAGCAAGTAAACTCAATGACAAGGTAAGCAGCATAACGGTTAGTTATGTCTTGCTTATCATCATCAATCTTTGTCTAAACAGAATTTTGGCTTATAGGCACTCAGACGGTTGGCACAGAACCGTGAGGCTGCGCGTAAAAGCCGTATGAGGAAAAAGGTATGATCATTCCTATTCTTTTCTCATTACACAATCATTATCATTCTAAAACCATATCGTTGTTCATTGCCAAGATTGTGAATTACTGACGGGATCTAACTGTTGTTCGGGCAGGCATATGTTCAGCAATTGGAAAACAGCAAATTAAAACTCATTCAGTTAGAACAAGAGCTCGACAGGGCCAGAAAACAGGTAAATTTTCTTGAAAAAGAATCATAGCCCACACACACACTTGTTACCTTTCCTCTCTTTTAAGTTCTAACAAAGCATTGAATCTAAAAGTTGGAAAATTTCTGCTGCAGGGTCGATATGTAGACAGTAGTGCAGATACTACACAGCTCAGTCACTCCGGATCTATGAATCCAGGTTCGATCCATGACTTTTCTAGTCATAACTGCACTAAATTGGATATGAGTGTTTGAAAGTCATGTTTTACATATATGACGATGTTTAAAATACAGGTATATTGAAATTTGAAATGGAGTACAGCAGTTGGTTGGACGAACAGAACAGAAGAATTTCTGATTTAAGGAAGGCTGTGCATTCGAACATTGGAGAAAGGGAGATGCAGATTCTTGTTGATGCTGCAATTAAGCACTACTCACATTTATTCACAATGAAGGCTGCCGCCGCAAAGGCTGATGTTTTCTATATCATGTCTGGCATGTGGAAAACTCCAGCCGAAAGATTTTTCTTCTGGATAGGGGGATTTCGGCCTTCAGAAACCATAAAGGTGAGATTTTTGCTCCCGAAAAGAAGAACATTATTTGAATTTCCTGAGGACTTCTTACAGAACCAAAGCTTTCTTTCTTGTCTATTAATGCTAACCCAAGAAATTTTCTAAATATCTAAAGTGGTAAGGGCAATAGCTACAACACATTTTTCACGTATGGATTTGAGCTGAATTCGACTTTCTTGAGTCCTAATAATCTCATATTTGTCTATTACATGTCTTTTAATCAAACAGATTCTCTTGCCACATTTAGAGCCACTATTAGAGCAACAACATTTGGACATTTCTAATCTCGGGCAATCGTGTCATCAAGCAGAAGATGCCTTATCACAAGGAATGGATAAACTCCAACATATAATCGGGGGAACCTTAGCTGATGGCCAACTAGGTGAAGGCAACTACTTCTCTCAGATTAATGCTGCCAAGGACAAGTTGGAAGACCTAGTCAGGTTCGTGTGTCAGGTAATATATATATAACTCGCCTATTATTCTAGCCGAAACTATGGTCACATTGATCATAGGACACCAGGTCTGAAACATGTGTTTTATGTTTGTCTTTCTTCTAAAGGCTGATTATCTTCGGCAAGAAACTCTGCAGCAGATTTATCGCATACTTACAACATATCAAACAGCTCAAGCTCTACTTGCCATGGGGGAGTATTCTCAACGTCTTAGAACTTTAAGCTCATGCTGGTCTTCCCGTTCCCATGAAAGAGCTTAGATACAGCAGATTGAGTTCACTATCATTTTAGTTATGTCGTAGGAATCTATGTTATGAAAAATTCTTATGTTGCTGCTTCCTATGATAATTGAGAAATCTGTAAATATGATCAGACAGAGATGTCTGTTGATAGGAATCTGTTTCCACTTTTGTCATATACTTGCTGATTCTCCACGCATTCATTCTATACATGTTTACATCATTCTGTAGTTTTTCCAGGATTCGATTGAACCATCACTTTCCTTGTTTGCCATTTTTTTGGGAATTTTCACAGTTCTTTTCTAAATCCAAGTTTTCCTCAACTGTCTATCCAAGAATAAGAAAATGATATAAAGTACCGGCTAAACTACCATATAAAATTCCAATAGACCACAGTTCTGTGGCACCAAAATTGTAAATAATACTGTTAAACAGTGTAAAAGGAAATTTACTATGCACGATATCTTCAATCAGCACACAAAAGTTCCTAACAAAGTTCAAATTATGTTGCAACTAACCTGACGCTGAGAAAGCCGTTGCTAGGATTTAAATAACTGAGGGGGATTAGTAATAGCTTGCCTCCCCTTTCCTGTCGAAACAGCCTGTAATGAATCTAAAATCAAAAGAAGGAATTTTGGTTAGGATTAAAAATGAATCTGTAGCAGATATAGGAAGGGGGAATTGACACAACTCAGGAGATAGGAATGCTGACCAATATATAGCAAACTCAGGATGCATAAATCCATTTTTTCTTCCCCAATAGGAATGGCATTGTTGCACAACCTGAAGTTTCCTTTGAGAAACACTTTCCAAACTTCAACAAAGCAATAAGCATTTTTCTGCAGTAAGTACCATGGGAGCACTAATGGGAACACTTTTGTTACCAATAATCCCGGCAAGAACATGTGCCGTTCTTGAAATGGTGGAACCGTGTAGCATCTCTAACAACGATTTCCCTGTTAACAAGTTTTGAGATAAACTTGATGGCCAAATGACAGTCATTACAAACTCTGAGGTTCTTCATGATCCTTAAAGTAGTGTTGTCCGGAGTATTCATCAACCCGAATGCAATGGCAAGTTTTTCACTATGATGCTTCAGAATCTGCTCTTTTAACTCATGATCAAGATCATGCAGTACCGATGCAGTATCTGGAACAAATCCGATCTTCTTAATCTCCTCCCAGATTTTGTCCATCCTCCTGTATATGGCCTCTCTCTGTGGATGGAACGCATCGTCTGCCCCGAAAACATGAACTTCACTCCTTATTTGCAACCAGCTGATTCCTTGTTCTTTCTTCACCTTTCGATCTTTCATTGACTTCCTGATTTTCGCGGCTTCTTCCCACATTCCACAAGCAGAGTAGACATTCGCAAGAGATGAGTACGCCCCGCTATTAGCTGGTTCGAGTGCAAGCATCCTCTCCGCGGAAAATTCAGCTATATCTACATTCTTGTGAACTTTACAAGAAGCTAAAAGTGAACCCCAAGCTATCGTATCCGGCTCAACTGGCATGGTCTCGATAAAATTCTGTGCTTCCCTTAACAACCCTGCACGGCCAAACAGGTCGATCATGCATGCGCAGTGACTGGATGATGGTTCGATTCCGTGGACCTCCTGCATTCTTGTAAAGTAGTTTCGCCCTCTGTCCACCAATCCAACGTGCGTACAGGCTGAGAGAACACCAACGTAAGTTATGTGATCCGGTTTGATATTCAACTCCAGCATCTCTTCAAAGAACTCCAACGCCTCTTCTCCATAGCCGTGTTGAGCTAAAGCCATGATCATCGAAGTCCAGGAAACCGAATCCCTCCTCTGTTTTACTTCAATGAATGCTTTTCTTGCACAGCAGATGTTCCCAGATTTCGCGTGCATATTAATCAATGCATTACTCACCGAAACAGACGATGCTTCCCCAAGCTTCACTGCAACGGCGTGAATGTGTTTCCCATGGTTCTGCGAAGCCAAATTCGAACTGATGCTTAGTGCAGCAGCAAGGGTGTAGTTATTAGGAAAGAGGCCGTCTTCCATCATGGATCTTAAATGCTCCATCGCAAGATTATTGTTTCCATTCTGCACATATCCAACGATCATAGCTGTCCACGCAACCACATCACGGTCCTCCAACATGTCAAAAATCCATCGGGCCGAATTCATATCTCCAAGCTTGATGTATCCGTCTAATAAAGATGTAAACGCCGTAATATTTACCTTGAGCACCCCCCCATGCTTTTCCAACACCTTTCGTCCTGTGTCAACGCAGCCACTCTTCGAGTACATGTAGATCAGCACACTCCCAACTACACCAGAGATATCAAACTCATTTCTTACAATATAGGCATGAACTTGCTTCCCAATTTCCAATCGCCTGAGGTTCCCACAAGCAGACAATGCACTGGTTAAAGTGTATCTATCTGGCTTTAGTTTGGATTCTTTAAGCATCATAAAAAACATATCCAGGGCTTCGACATTGAGACCGCACTGATTATAACCTGCAATCATCGAGTTCCAAGTAATGATGTCTCGATCTTTCATTTCTTCAAACTGCGCCAATGCACGATCAACCTGGCTCGTCTGCATATACAATGATATCATTGCATTCCAAGTCGAGACATTCTTCAACTTAATCCTCTCAATCACAGCCATTGCTGTCCCAAAATGCCCCAACTTTGCATACATATTCACCAGCGAATTCGCCACCGATACGTAACCAGATAATCCAAGTTTAACAACAAAAGAGTGAACCTTCTCACCTAAATCGAACGCCTCAGATGCTGCACAGGATGCAATTATATTAGTAAGGGTGAATTCAGTGGGCAGAAATCCACGCTCGAGCATCTCTAGAAACATCAATATAGCATCCTTAAATCGGTCCATCTGATTATAACCTACGATCATCGACGTCCAGGAAACCGAATCGAGCTCAGGTGCTTCATTGAACACACACAGAGCTTCGCGGATCATCCCCTGTTTCGCGTATGCAGACAAGAGCGTGTTGTATGATGATACATTCTTTAGAGGCATTTCATCGAACACATGGCAGGCGTGACTTAGAAATCCCGCTTTGGCATACGCATTCATAACAAGATTCATCAAGTGCACGCCTTGGTGAAGGCCGGTTTTGATTATACGGGCATGCATAGGCTTCACGGCAGAATGGTTTCTGGATTTGAGGCTTGTTTGCAGAATTGATGCGTAGAATTCCATCTGAGACATGCGACGTGGGGTGTTTTGCATTATTAATTATGATTCAAGAAATATACAACGTAAGTGAGGTGAAGTCTTCAGAGCTTCACACACATGCTCTCTCTCTTGAAAATTCTGTGACCGTTAAAAGAAGAAGAAGAAGCGTTGAAATAAACCAGTTGAAAAAATTAGTTGACATGTCAGTTTTTGGTTAGGGGATTTAAATTGTGAATTTAGATTTTAAATAGCAAAATATTTAAATTTAAATTATTATATAAAATAAGATAAATATGTGTTAAATATAATATTATGAATTTATCTACTATGCATTCTAAGTATTTTATTATGTCAATGGCATGTCCGTGACGACAATAAAATAAATATTTTTCCATTGATCATTTCAAGCAATTTCATCATTTTCAATAATTAAAAGCAAATGTTTGCTTATGTTGTTGGCAAAATATATGTTAGATAGCGGTAAACACGATAGAATATATTTTTGCAGCAACATGAATATAAACAAAAGTGATAATGGGATATAATCTCATAATCTGGTATTCATTCACTTTTTGTACTGAATTTTAGAAATAAAATTTAGTAGGAATAAAATAGAAATTATTAAAATAATCTTAGCATCGTGTAGAAATATATTGTAAGCAGTAAGAAATATTAAGTAGATAGTACTGTTACTAATAAAAATAAAATGAATGAGTCTCTGTAACATTGCTATTTCAAAAACACCATTAACCTAGCTACTCGAATAACAATACTGAATCAAATTTCCCTATATATATTTGATCACATTATTCATCTCTGCTACCAAAATCTAAAAATAAATATAAAAATGTAAGAGAGAGAGAGAGGAGAATAACCATAACTATATATGGAAATCAAAACTCTTAAGATCTATCTTGAGCAACTAAGCAAACCACGACGAAGGATCGAAAATCGAATGAGGATTTTGTCCGACGAACAAGTTCGGATTCTGGGTTTGGCTCGGCCCTGCTGCCGATGTTGTGTTATTACTATTAGCTATAGGAGGTTGATTCTTTAGAACAGCAATCTCGGCTTGAATTCGAGCCAAATGATATTGCGCAATACATATTTGTTGATGCAATATCGTGATCATACCAACACAACCGTACACCGGATCTTTTACTCTGCAATAAGCTTCATAGTACAACGACTCAACAGCTTCGGCTCTCAAGTTCACCGGCAAATCCTACAAATTAAATTTACATAAATTAACAAGACACGTGAATTTTCGCGTAGATATTATCGATTACCTGTAGTATCTTTGAAACATTGCTGGCTCCATACACTTTGTGAACATACGAAAATTTGCGAGGATTATTGGACGGGAAATACGGGGAGAAGATGCAGTCGGAAGGGCATCTTCTTCTCAAATGCTTGCAAGCTGCACACCTATGGGAACTCATACAAAAATGAAATTTTAATATTCGATTCGATGAACAGAGGAAGGGTTGAGAGTATAAATATGTTTATTTTCAAAAAAGGGCAAGTGAATTTTTTGTTAAATTCTCTTTTAGATTAGAAGAGGGAATGAATTTGGCACATAGATTTGAAATGATGTCTCAAGTATAGTAAATGGCAAATTCCTAGTTTGAGCAAATTAATGTGTGTGTGTGTAGGAAGGAAACATGTGTTGATTTTTGTTATTAAATTTTTACTTTCCTTTGTGCTGAAAGTTTACAGCATACAAGGAAGTAAAATTAAGTGATTTATTGTAGAGTGAATTGGTTTAATATTTATTGCAAATTTAATAGTATTAACATTTATAATTATAATAATAATGATGATGATTAAGGGAATTTTTAGGAAATGTTAATAATAATAAAGATGATGTAATGATAAATTAATTAATTAATGACTTTGGTTAAGAATTAAAATTAGGAAATTAAATAGTAAATTTTGTTTCTTACCTTGAATTTTTAATGGTTCAATTTCAATTCTAACGTCTTACAAATCATAAATCTGTTTATTTTTTTTAATAAAATACACTAAAAGTATATATACATATATATATATATATATATTTGGTGGTCTAATTGATGGTTTGAACTATTTTTTATATACAAAATTTGAATTTAAGGGATGAAATAAATGACTAAGAAAATTAACTTTGCCAAAGACCTTATTTTAGAAGGTGTTTGAATTCAACCAATGGGATAATAATTGGACCTGTTATTATCTTTGTCCTTTGAATAGAACATACAAATTTGAGTTAATAATTTTGCAAAAGGCTAAATTCCCAAAAAAATATATATACATAAATGTGTAGCACAATGTTGTATCATAAAAAAATTGCCTTGAAAAGTGCCTCCAACAATTTTTTTTTTTTTTCTTTTCTTCTATGCATTTGGCAGTTATTTTCAAGATTCCAATCACAGTAAGAAAATGATATTGAAGTAGCACAGTAAAATTACAGGCTAAACAACCATAATAGACTCGAACTGGCCAAACAAACATTGCCAATAATATGATTAAGCAGTGTCAAAAGACAGTTTCTACATAGACTATTGTCAATCAGCACACAAAAGTTCCTAACAAAGTTTAAATTATGTTGCAACTAACCTGGAGTTTGGAAAGCCGTTGCTAGGATTCGAATAACTCCGAGGATTACTAGTTTATGTCCCCATTGCTGTCGAGCAGCCTGTAATGAATCTAAATCCAGAGAAGAAACTGCAGTTAGAATTGAAAATGAATCTACAACGATTATACAATCCTCCAATTCAAAATAGGATTTCCTGTTACTACTCTATCCGTCGAGACACTAAGCAGGCCTTTTCCCCGATCACAGACTTGAAAATAGAACTCTTATTCAATGATCTACAAATGAGGGGTGCACCCTGCATGTATAACTTAAGTTCATAATGAAAAGTCAAGATCAAATCAATCTAACAGTCTATAATATTCAAATCTATATTCATAAAAATAAATTAAATAAATCTTGGGAACAATTATTCCCCATCTAAGCCCTTGACATCTCCGTCAAGTTTCCGGCTACGTTCCAATAAGTTGTATGATCTCAAAATGTCCATTGTGTCGTTGAGCCAGCCCTTTGTGCACTTGCTGGGGAATTCTTGCATCAAGATTCAATTCCATTTTCCAGATTCCCAGAACACATGTATCACTCTTTTAACTATAATGCGAGACATAGATATTAAAAAAAAATAAAGAAATAAAGAGAAGAAAAAGAAGAAATACCTCAGATTCTGGAAACCCGAATAACTCACAAATGCCTGGGAAAGTACAAATTATTGAGCACATACTAATCTTGTGCACTTTAACAAGAGTGATTTAATCATATACCGAGCTGAATCTATCTAGGACTTGACAACGGGGAGTTCTTCATGTAACACATCTTTTCGACTGATGGATTTCTTGCTGGCAGGAGGCGACGAAGCAAATGCCCCAAGAGCATCAAGGAAAAATCTTTTATTTGGGATGATACCATCTTTATCCATGTCAACGAGTAATTTCTGAATCAACTCCTTCATATCAGCCTTGACATAAGCCTTGTAAAGTAGTTTGTAAGTAGAGGAATCGATGGGAAACAATCTGGCAGCACGTGTGCGCACAAAAAGCTTATCCGCTTCCATTGGTAAGCCATTCCTACAATAAACATCAAGCATGGCATTTAAAGTCGACACTTTTTTCTCCTTCTCTGATTCAGCCATCTCGTCGAATATATCTCTTGCTCTGGATACACAATCACAGTATCCATACATCATAATAAGGGATTCATATGTAATGAAGCTTGGTTTGTATCCCATTTCGACCATTTTCTCAAAAATCAAGTCTGCTTTCTCCCTGAGCCGTGCTTTTCCATAGTTTGTGATCATGGAATTAAATGTAGGCAGTGTTGGTTTTTCCTTGGACCGTAACAAGCTCTTGAACACTTGTTCCATCTTATCAAACTCCTGCTTTCTTCCATATGCATCGATCAACAAATTAAATGTAATTATGTCAGGCTTTATCCTTTTGCTCTTCATTCTTGAGAGGACCGATTCCATTTCCCTGATCATCCCGGCCTTTCCATAGGCATCCATCACGCCATTAAATGTGAAAATATCCGGTGCAATTATGCTTTCATCAAGATCTTTGAACAAAGCATCAACTTGGTCAACTTTTTTCGCCTGAGCAAATGCTCTCAACATAATGTTGTACGTGACGACACTAGGTCTGCATCGTTCCATCCCTTTCATCTTCTCAAAATACGAAAGGGCCTTCGCTAAGGCCTTGGATTTGTCCCGAGAGTGGAGGTGGGCTGTGATGAGTGCATTGTACACAGATGTGTCGGGCTTACAACCACTACTACGCATCTCAGAGAATAACCACATCGCCATCCGACTTTGCCCTTTCCGTCCCATTACAGAAATCAACTTCGAATAAACACCATTATCAGCTATATACCATCTCTGCTTCTGCATCCATCTAAACACCTAAACAAATTTCCAACATAGTGAAAGACTCGATCATCTCTGAAAAGCACACCCCAAACACTTTCTTGAATACTAATATACCTCAAAGCAAGAAAACGGTATCCAAACAAGAACAAAATGCGAGCTAATAAAAATTAACATTCCAAGAACAGTAAGACAAAGACAAGCAGCAAGAAACACAGGGCTAAGGTAGAAATTTCATGTGGTCTAATACAGTTCAATCGTACTTGAAATTGAATCCCTAAATGATTAAACATCACAAAATCTCACCAGCAGAAATGGAAAGAATGCAAATTCGACAATCCCAAAAAGTATAGTTAGCTTAATTTTAACAAAATTGAAATCTGAGAGTGACAGCAAAACCCTAAATGGAGTTGAAACCCTAAACGATGAATTACACAAAAACATTGGGAAAAGTTTAGGAAAGAGGGCAAAAACCTCAAGGCATTGGATCCAATTATCAGTCTTCCCGAGCTCCTCAAAGAGTAAGAAGCAGTGCTCTGTGCGCACGAGCTTCACATACTTATTGAGTGTACTAGTCAGAGGCTGCTTGTCGTTGAAATTCCTCACGAGCAATCGAACCAACTCCTCTGCTTCCGAGGAGCTGGAGCTGCTTTGCTTGTAGCTGGTCCTTTTGGGGAAAGGATATTTCTTCGGTGTGGTTGACGCCCGACACATTCGGATTCCCGACGGCGGAGGGTTTATGAAGGAAGGGATTGTTGTCCATTTGGGTTTTGGCATGGAGGAAAGACGAAGATTGGAAGGAGGGAAAGGAAAGCTGCAGGATGCCATTGAGGGAGAGGGATGCAGCACCGATGGTTGCGGTGGCTTTCGCTGGCGGCGCCACCCGCTGCTGCAACAAAAATATGGGGAAATTGGAAATTACCGATACCTATGTATGTATTGGATTTGGGAAGTCAGACGAAGAGGAGGACCGGAAGAAGACGAAGACGGACTCGAGGTCTTTGGATTGGCATATTGAATTGAATTAATTTTTTTATTTATCTATTTATTTATTTTAACAAAATGAACCAACAAATAAAATTTTACTAATAAATTATCATTAATGAATTTATTTTAATTTTTTAAAAAATAAAAGGTCATGGTGACACAATTTTAAATTGGTGAATGTTTGAACCTGAATTTTCTAAATCTAGTTTGAAATGTCAAGTACATATAGTTTGGTTACCGATTACTTTGATTAGCCTCAAGTTGGTGCTATACTTTTCAAACTCTTCAAAAACATTTACTAATATTTATTTTCAACAAATAAATATAATATTAATTTTAATAATAATAATAATACTAATAACACGACTTTTCATTTGTCGTCTGTATTATTTAACGTATACTTACCATCAAGTTGAGGTTGCCATTCTTAAATCTTTCCAATAAAACAAATATTTTAAAAAAGGTATATCATACTGTATTATCATGATGTACGGTAAAAGCAATTGTGGTTGAAATTGAACGGACCAGCGTTCGATCGACATTAATTCTGCTTCGATCGACAAAATTTGCGTGCCTGAAACATGGACTGGATCTCGATATGGATCTCAATTTCTTCAATTACTCTCCTATGGATTCTCCGGCGACTGGTAAACTCCGGCAGCAGCAAGAAACTACCGCCAGGTCCGATGGGGATTCCGATTTTAGGGCACTTTCATTTATTGGGAAAGAATCCTCACCGCGATCTGCAACGACTGGCGGAGAAGTACGGCCCGATCATCCACCTCCGATTAGGCATGGTTCCGACCGTCGTCGTCTCGTCGCCGGCCGCCGCCGAGGCGGTGCTAAAAACGCACGATCTCGTCTTCGCCGGGCGGGTGCGCCACGAGGCGTCGAAATACCTAAGCTACGACGGAAGGAACATCGTGTTCGCGCCGTACGGCAGTTACTGGAGGAACATGCGGAAATTGTGCACCACGGAGCTTCTGAGCAGTTCTAGAATCAACCAGTTTCAGGCGATGAGGAAGGCGGAGTTAGGGCGGTTAATTGGCGGTCTCCGGTCGGCGGCGGCGGCGGGGGAGAGCGTCGACATAAGCGGCAGGGTTTCGAGCTTGAACGGCGACATGATATGTCTGATGGTTTTCGGGAGGAAGTTCGGCGATAAGGAGCTGGACGAGAGGGGGTTCAAGGCAGTTGTGGAGGAGACGATGGCGGTGGCGGCGCGGCCGAATTTAGGGGACTTCTTCCCGGTGATGGGGGCGGTGGATCTCCAGGGGCTGCGGCGGCGGATGAAGGAGCTGAGCGGCGCGTTCGATGGGTTTCTGGAGAGGATCATTGAGGAGCATAAGAACAAGGAATCTTCTTCCAAGGAGAATCAGGATTTTGTAGATACGATGATGGCGATTATGGAGTCCGGCGAAGCCGGATTTGAGTTTGATCGCCGCCATGTAAAGGCTGTGCTCCTGGTTGGTAACCTTTTCTTAAACTAATTCTTGTCCGAACACCAAATAAATAAATATATTTTAAAAAATATAATATAAATTTTATTTTTTTTTAATAACAAAAAAATTTACACAGTAGTACCTCCGTCTAGACAAAATTTTTGGAGATTGTTTAAGTTTTATAATTTTAAAAATAGTAAAAGTTATCTACTTCCTTCGTTTTACAGGAATGGAACATTTTGATTAGAGAAGATGTTTAATTAGTTAATAATAATTAATTATTATATTATTATATTATTTTTTTATAATTAATAATATTTATAATTTTAAAATAAATTTAATATATATGATTAAAAAAATTAAATTATATTTTTAAATATTTAAAAATTATATAACAATTAAAAAATATATGCAATATAGATAATAAAGTTTTCTATAATACAAGTAAATAAAAAAATATTTTTGTTTATTTATAATTAATATAAATCAATTCTATATCTTAGTTTTAAATATAGATAAAAAAATTTATTTTTTTAAAGAGAGATGTAGAATTAAAATATTTTTGAGTGGGTCTTACGCTCGTTTATTTATATGATGGTGTATGTTACTTAGTTAATTAGTTAATTAAGTTGATTTATATTTGTTAAATATATTTTAATTTAATAATTTTTATCAAAAAAATAGAAAAGTGTCAATTGTTATGACAGATAGAAATAGTGTTAATTGTGGTGGAATGGAGTAAGTATTTAAAATGATGTATTATGAGATAAAATTATATTTAATATAGTATTTAAAAAAATTAATTGAAATAAAATTTTCAAAATTGTTATATAAACAACCTAAATAAATACATATCAACATGCCAATTATATATTTTTTTTCTCTGGATAAATAGTCTGCAAATTAAGTTTTATAAGACGACCATGTGGTATTTTGAGCCGTCAAAAATTTAAATCTATGATCTTATATCACAAGTCATCCTACGGAACAAATTTATGTTTGTTTTTAGTTTATAAGCATGTTGTGTATAGATTTTTTATTTATGAAAAGTATTCTAACGTATGGTTATACTATTTAATACTCCCGGTGCAAAGTTGTCATTTACTTTTTGCACGTAGATTTTTTAATATTAGTATTATAATGAGTTATAGTGAAAAAAACGAAAATATCCTTATTAGTATTGCGTAATATAAAAATAATGGCATTTGTGTAATATAGTGTAAGTTGGAAGGGTATTTATTACGTTAGGCAGGTAGTACAATTACTGAATTAGGAAACGGTAACCTTGTTTTGGGACAGACGAAAATAAAAAATGGTAACCTTCGAATGGGACGGAGGAACGGAGGGAGTATTATACTTAGTTATAAATGTATTGTAATTATTTACCTAATATATTCAAAACGTTCTCTTATTTCATTAATTAGTTAGTACCTTTTCAAAATGTCTTATAAGAATCACTTGTTTTTCTTTTCTCTAATAAAATATCGTATTAAATAATTATTTTATTCTAACTCATTTACTCTCGAGTTAGGATATGCTATTAGCAGGGATGGACACTTCAACAACGGCAATAGAATGGACATTGTCGGAACTATTTAAACATCCAAGCATAATGCAAAAGCTCCAAGAAGAAATCGCGCAAGTTGTCGGCCTAGACCAATTAGTCGAGGAATCACACCTTGACCGACTCGACTACTTAAATTTGATCATAAAAGAATCGTTTAGGATGCATCCCGCAGTTCCTTTGCTGGTCCATGAACCGATGGAAGATTGCGCGCTCAATGGCTTCCACGTAGCCAAAGGATCGCGACTCATAGTGAATGTATGGTCTATTTGTAGAGATCCTAATGTTTGGCAATGCCCTGAAAAATTCACGCCGGAGAGGTTTGTTGGAAGCCATATTGATCTCCGGGGCAATGATTTTGAACTTATACCGTTTGGGTCGGGTAGACGAGGGTGTCCGGGGTTGCAGTTAGGACTAACCGTGGTCAAGTTAGTCGTGGCGCAATTAGTTCATTGCTTTGATTGGAAGCTTGAAGATGATGTCTTGAGCATGGAAGAACACTTTGGTTTGGTTGTTAGTAGAGAAAAGCCTCTCCGAGCTATTCCTACTTATAGATTGCATAAATGAAAATTACTCTTAGAGTTCTTATGACTTCTATTTTCAAATCATATATGTAATTATTTATATGTGTGTAGAGTTAATATGTTTTGTTTGTTTAGATTAATTATTGTATGTATTGTATGAACTAATTTTATGCTATGTTAATTCACATACTGTTTTATATTATATAAACATATATATTGTGTTGTCAATTTATATTTCATGTGCTGTTTTAGGTAAGAAATGAATAATCGAAGTGTTTTCGGCACACAAAAAATATGTTGAAGCTTTTAAGGTAAAATATATTTTTTTTTTTTTTAAAAAAAAATATATCATATTAAAAAATTATTTAATCCAAAAATTCAAATCAAAACCACACAAACCCTGGTCAAGGACATTAGCAACTACAATAAGCTAAACCGTCGGAAACTCAAGTTTTTTTTAATATACTAACTTTCCAAGAACCCATCAAATATCTTGCTAAGATCCCTCAACCTTCGGGCCGATCCCTGGAGATCGATCCCCCGAAGGTACGGGAAGTAGTCGCCAAGATTGAAAGCCCCGGCCTCCTCCATTGTCGCCTTCATCACTTTCTTAAAATCTTTTTCGTCAAGATCTTTATTATCATATTTCTTCCAAAAACACCATTAGGCACATCATGTGGGCGCTCAACGACACAATCCAAACACTCATATCGACAACTTCACCGCAACCCCGTTTAAGTGAATCGACCAATAGGCCGAGCTGTCGTTCCCTCATTGGTTGAAATTGGCTTATCTTCGAAGATGTCAATAGCTCCACGGTGCAAAGTTTCCGCATGTCTCGCGAAAACGGACTATACTCTCCGAATGCAAGATTCCTCTGCTCATAGCAAAGGTACCTCGAAGCCTCATGGTGTGGCCTGTCCGAGAAATTTAGGTCATGTGTTTTCAAGAAGAGTTTCACGGCAGCCGGGGACGAGACAACGATCGTCGGGATCGATCGGAATCGCATGGCCATGATAGGACCGTATTTTTGGGCCAAACGGCAAAGATCTTGATGCGGGTTTTTACCCAATAGATGGAAATGTCCGATGATCGGAAGCCCGACCGGGCCGGGAGGCGAGTTTTTGTTCTTAGAGAGATTCCGGAGAGTGATGGAGAATATGGTAATAATAAGAATAGATGAAATCCAAATCCAGGGCATGGTTGTGTATGTATAATGTATGTATTGAGCGTGAAACTAGTTAGTACATTAAGCTTTTATAACATTCTATGATTTTGCCAGAAGTGGTTTGTTAATGAGCCCTTTTTATAGTCTAGAAATGAATTAGGCAATTCATTTGGACAATTTTGAGATTGTAGGCAGCAAATAGTCTCCAAAGCTTTAACCGTATAAAGTTACTCAATGGTGGGTTCGACTTAAATGTGTGGGCTCACAACTCATTAATATTAACATTATTGCGGCTAGATAATATTATGGATAGTTGAGATTTGTCCGAATGTATTAAAATGTAATTGCAAATAATTTTCATATCGTAGTACCTATTAAATTATACAAATTTAATATTTATGAAGATTTAATAATAATGTCGTATCCATTTTTATATAGAAAATTTAACTATTTTGTAAAAAAAAATCTTTTACATGGCAACGGGTTGTGTGTGTTGGATCGGTCGGATTTGCGACCGATCCGATGATATATTATTAGATCCGAGACTCAAATCGAATCTGATTATACCTGATCTCGGCTTTACTAGGGCCACCCCGAGCTATACCAAAGAAGGCCTAATGACCCGACTGAACCGAAATATCATTGTAATTCAAGTTGGATCCGAACCCAAATATGGACTTGACAAATATCAAAATGTATGTAATTTATTCAAAAACATTATAATATAATTATATTTTTAGAAATTATTTTTCTTAAATAGTATTGATATATTATTAATATATTGATCGGGTAAAATTCGGGTTTATAGGGTCTACCCCTAGACCATAGATCCAACCCAAACATGATTAAAGTATATAATATCCGACCTGATAAGAATAATTAGACTCGACCTAGATAAATAGGCTGGATCTGGGTCGGATCTTGGATCTATTTGAATCCCTTGTCATCCCTACAAAATCTAAGTCATTTTTCATCCTTGAGCATTATATGATCAAAATTATCTTGAAAATTACGTCTTGGCGGATTTTTGACTTGTGTACACTATAAAAAATTCTTAGAAAATGTTCAACCTGATCTTTCTTCCAATTGGCCAAAATGCTTCCTTGTCATGAGAAAAGTTTTTCCGTTGCATCTCGGTTACTTTTACTAACAATCTAAATAAAATCACTATGTCGTTATTGTTAAGATTTTTTCAGATACTTAAAATATACTCAAAACTTAGGATTCTGAATTTTATAATATTATTTAATGCTTGAAGATTATTCTAATGTCGATTGACTATCATATTGTAATAACTCATTTTTCACAAATGGATACATTTTCACGATCGAAGAAGGTTCCGCATTATAAAAATGGACAAAGATCATAAAAATATGCAACATTGCATTTAACAAAGCATAAATAGATCTACATAATTTTTAACCGACTATAATTATGTATACATGTGTATAGATATATATATTCTTAGAGTTGTGGATCCCTCGTTGATTCGGCTAAGTAATCAGCATGGTGCTGATTTAACTGGATCAGCATATGTCATACACATAACCAACATATATACATATGTTACATATATAGCATATATTGATACAATCAAATCAACACCATGCTGACTTGATGGAATCAGCGGCTAATCCATGCCCATATTTTAGATACTCAACCTATAGATTGGAATGGCCATAAGATGATTAGCCCGGGAGGTAACGAGCCCGAAATTCTCAAACATATCCAAATCGGCGGCGACCATTCCGGGGGGAAGTTCCCAATCGAAGCAGTGAACCAACTGCGCCACCACCAGCTGAACCATAGTCAGCCCCAACTGCATTCCAGGGCAGCCCCGTCTCCCAGTCCCAAAGGGTATCAGCTCAAAATCCCGCCCTCGGACATCCACATTATTATTAATATTGTTGTCCTCAAACCTCTCCGGCCAAAACATCTCTGCATCTTTCCACACATCGGGATCTCTCCCTATGGCCCATACGTTCACTAGGACTCGTGTTTTCTTGGGTATGTGGTACCCGTTAATGGTGCAATCTTCGATGGATTGGTGGATCAACAGTGGCCCGACCGGGTGGAGCCTTAAAGATTCTCTTACAACATAGTCCAAGTATTTGAGGTTGGGAAGATGCGATTCCTCCACCATTTGGTTCATCCCGACCACCTCCGATAGTTCTTTTTGTAGCTTCTTTCTTATTTCGGGATGTTTGATGAGTTCCGATAGCGTCCATTCCACTGCCGCTGCTCCGGTATCCATTCCCGCCAATAACATGTCCTAGAAATCAAAAAGTTCATGTATTCTTCTTATAAGATATTTTAGGAAAAAAAAATCTAAATTTAAATCGTATTGTACTGTATTCTCTCTGTCCTAAAAAATTAGCACATTTGAAACTGATGAAGTAGAGATTAAGAAAAATAAATATTTTATTAAAACGTAATAAAAATAAAAATGTAATTAACAGTATTTTTGAAAATTTGATCAGTAATTAAATAAAATGAAGTGATAGAATGTAATAAAAATAGTAATAAATATTAATGAAAAAATAATAATTAAATATTAAATATTTACTTTGCTTATAAAAATCTCTTAAAAAAAACAAACGGGTAAATAAATATCAAATATTATTTTAATAAAAAATTGAGTCCGGACCGAAAATAATTACACCACTATTGTGTACGTACCAACAACACGGCTTTAACATGGCGACGATCGAAATCGAATCCGGCTTGTCCCGACTCCATGATACTCATCATAGTATCCACAAAATCCAACGTTGGATTTTGGGTTCGGTCTTTCTCATCCTTGTTGTAACTATGCTCGTCAATGATTCTTTCCAAGAATCCATCAAATATCTTGCTAAGATCCCCCAACCTTCGGGCCAATCCCGGGAGATTGATCCCCCGAAGGTACGGGAAATAGTCCCTGAGATTGAAAGCCCCGGCTTCCTCCATTGTCGCCTTCATCACTTTTTTAAAACCTTTTTCGGCCAAATCCTTATCACTATACTTCTTCCCAAACACCATTAGGCAAATCATGTCAGCGCTCAACAACATGATCCGGACACTCATATCGACAACTTCACCGTCACCCTGTTTAAGCGAATCGACCAAGAGGCCGAGCTCTCGTTTCCTCATTGGTTGAAATTGGCTTATCTTCGAAGGGCCCAAGAGCTCCATGGTGCAAAGTTTCCGCATGTTTCGCCAATATGGAGTATACGGTCCAAACACGATATTCTTTTGCTCGTAGGCAAGGTGCCACGAGGCCTCGTGGTGCGGCCTGTCTGCAAAATTTAGGTCATGTGCTTTCAAGAAGATTTTGGCGGCGGCCGGGGACGAGACAATGATCGTCGGGATCGATCCGAATCGCATGGCCATGATGGGTCCATATTTTCGGGCCAAACGGCAAAGATCTTGATGCGGATTTTTGCTCAATAGATGGAAATGTCCGATGATCGGGAGCCCAACGGGCCCCGGAAGAGAGTTTTTGTTTTTAGAGAGGTTCCGGAGTGTGATGAAGAAGATGGTAATAAGAATAGGTGAAATCCAAATCCAAGGCATTGTTGTGTATGTGAAACTAAGGATTCTGTTTTGGTAACTTTCCATGGTTTGCCAAAGTGGTTACTTGATGAGCCCTTTTATAGCCCTATATATATACTAATTATACTACGTAATTATTATAGTAGTAAAATATTTTTAAAATATTCAACCTAAATATAATTCAAAATTCAACAACATATTTTTAATTCAAAAAATTTAATTTATGAAATTTCAAGGCTCTATGTCATATAAATAAATATAGTTGTCCATGAGCAATGCTCTGCTGGTGTTGGAAATTAATTTGTCATCGTGAGATCATGGATTCAAATTCCGAACGTTTTCAGATCTATATGTCAGACATGGGGCCTAAACTTTTCTATATTAGATTAGATTCGATTCCTAAAATTGGAGGGCTGAATATGGGCAACTTGGATGTACTTTTCTTGACCGTTAGATTACAGTAATTAATGATGTCAAAGGTGGAATATCAGATGCAAGTGGTAGAGTCTGTTTCATTAGAAGGCTTTCAGAATTTATCACCATCATATCATATATTTATGATTCCAATAATTACATAAAAATATTATAAATAATTTTTTTTTTCGTGTCAATTCAAAATATTCGTTTTTATCATTTTTGTATTTCAAAGTATTTTTGTTTTATTTTTAAAAAATAATTATATATTAATATCAAGGTATTTTTAATTTTTACTTAAATTATAAATATTTCATTACATATAATTATATTTATGCATAAAATAAAAAATAAAAATATCAAAATCTCTTACACACTTTTGCTAACTAATAAAATATTATTATTTTTAATCTAAAACAAACTCCAAAAAAGGTTCGGAGGAGTATATATTTTATAAAATAGCAATATTTATTGTTTATATTATTTTATATGTATATTAAAAAAATATATTATTTGAGTATATTATATTTCCTTCTTTTCAAAATAATAATTTTATTCTTTTATTTTCGTCCATCTCAATCTTATTTTTATTTTTACAAATTTATCTCCATTTTTTTAAAATAAAGTAAAAATATTTTATTCTTCTAAAATACATTTATACCAATTATCAATATAATATTATTTCTTAATTGACATCTTCATCTCAAATATCTCTATTATTTTGGGGTTGAGGGAGTATAATACGACTATATTATGAATAAGCCGGTAGAGTCAATTGTATTATTACTCTTTCATCCGTCACAATACAATAGTTTTATTTACCATTTTTGTCCGTCCCAAAACAATATTCTTATTTCCATAAATAACCATATCACCATAAAACTACCCATATTTTTTTTTTATTGTACAATTGTGATTGTCACTACTTTTTACACAAATATACTCACAAAGGCAAAAAGAACTTTTATCCATATTTTTTATCAACTACCAATATAATATCAATATTCTTTAAATATCATGTCCAACTCAATTAAGACTATATTTATGGGATTGATGGAGTATTATTTTTTAATATTTTAATTGTTTTTCTATCAGTTGTATTATTTTGTGTCAAAGATGGTGCGTTACGCCGATTGCGTGCAGCCTGCACCGTTACTGTATGGGTTTCAATATTTTTTAAATTATTTTATCTAATATGCAACATCATCATTTTTATTATAAATTATGGAGTATTATTTGTTATATAAAATATTATATTTACTGATTATTCTATTTAAGATTTTGATTGAAAAAATAAAAATAAAAAATAAAACAAAACAAAATTATTGTTAATAAATTGTTATATATATAATGTGTACATAAATAGAGTCTTATTATAAATTGAAATTGTTGGTTGTAAAATCATTATTAAAAATCATTTTAAGGGGTAATATTATAGAAAATGAATTCTATGTTTAAAAATATTGGCACGACTAACAACCCAAATATAATAAGAAGCTCAAGTTATTGTAATTAAAAGTCAATGTTCAAGAATGAGCATATTTGAATATTTTATAGTAATATTTTTCAAGTAGACACATGAGCTCTGTTTTTCTAACATTACTTTTATTTTTAATTTTTTTAAAAATAATAATAAAATATTTAAAATATTTTTTTTTATATAATACATTAAAAATCACTTTATCTAAAAAAATTCAGTTAACAGAGTCTACTTTTAATTGAATCATTCTAAAGTCTACATAATTGAAGCTGTATATTTTTTTTTTTTGTTTTTAATGGCGTGAAATTCATCTTCGAGTGCGTTTTAGGTAAACCATCGGTTGAACTTAATAACTTACAAACTATATCCGATAAAACAAATCACACCGGGTTAACCATATGTGACACACAAGGCCTAAAGCATCAAAAGTCTGTACATATTAGTGGAAGAGTACCTCCGCTCGGCATCGCCTTCTATGATTGACAGTTTTATTAGTCATGATAGGGGTGTCAATTTATGATTTTTCTTAGATGATATGGGAACCTGCAGTCGCTACCCGAAAGTGCACACTAGGTAAACTTCCGGTCGAAACTAATACCCTGCAAATCAGGCCCGACGGAAAAGTCACACAAGGCGAACCATGTGTGGCAGGTGACCTGAAGCGTCGGGAGTTTGAACCCATGACCTCACGGTCACAAGTCCAACGTCATTCCTTACGGGACAATTTATGATTTTAGATCGTACTCGTGTTGAGTTGAACTGTGAGAATAACACAAAATCTGTCAAGTTAAACTTGAAATTCTAAATTTGAATACGACAAATTTTTTCAGATCATGTTCATATCAATTTGATTTTGTTTCAAGTCATCCGATAATCCAAACGTATCCAAAAATTGGACACAAAACAATGTGAAAAGTTAAAAATTTTAAACTAGTCAATAATTATGTTATGCAATGTTCAACTATACCTATATACATATATATATATATGTCAACACAAATCATACGCTGATTTTTTTACTTGTGTTGATTAGTTAAAATATTAATTATTTTAATTATATTTAAAAAATAATTAAATAATATAAATTAATGTAGAATAACTTTAGAGGGTTGAGTTTTGAAATTTTTTTTTTAACACCTCATCCATGGGCCACATATATATATTCTGCATTATTTTATTACGTTTATTATTATTATTATTATTATTATTATTATATATGAGAATCACACCTAAAGATTACAAAAAATAATAATAATAGTGATATGAGTCAGATTTAATTATTTTGGTATCAGAATGGATATGAATCAAATATTTTATAAATATAATAATCGGGTATGGATTGAGTATAAGTTTTTATATTCATTTTTATTGTCAAATGCTTTTGAGCATGATTGTGAACATCTAGAAGTCGAATTACCATAAAATACTCCATCTGTTTCATAACAAAATATCTATTTTTCTATTTTAGTCTGTCATATATCAAAGTATCCATTTCATTTTTTTTAGTAACGATACTATCTACCTAACATTACAAATACCCTTACAACTTACAATATATTACACAAATATCATTGCATTTATATCACATATACTAATAATATTATTTTAGTCATTTCTATTTTATTTTTACTATATCCTAATATAATACTAATATTTTTAAAACTACGTGCAAAAAGCAAATGAATATTTTTTTTTGGGACGAATAGAGTATAATATGTTATGCTACACTTTATGATTCAAATATATTTAATAAAAATATATTAAAATCAATTTATTATTTCTTTCATTCTATAACGGGAACATATATTAATATTTCTAAAATAGAAAAATTAAGCCTATGATGAAAATTAATGATTCTTTCATTATAATGTGAATTTGGGATGTCATTGGAAATTCGGAATAGACAAAATATATTTGTCACTTTTTATAAATATGAATATTTGATCTCATTTGTTTTTCATTAATCTAATATATCAAAAATTTGTGTTTGTAATAAGATATTTTCTTCCAATATATATATATATATCCAATTTCACAATTATAGATATTCTTAAAGTATCATTTAAACTTTAGTACTATAAATTATTTTTCAATGGATCAATAGATTTTTATGAAATCTTCAAATTATGTGTTATTGCCTAAGCCTCCTATTGCTCTTGTCAGTGCCCGTTTTTGGGCCCATGTCACAGGCCCAAAATTTGGAATCATTTCAGTATATTTCTATAAAAATATATGTATAAAATTTATTAATATATGTATAATACTAAAAAAAATATACTTCCCAGATTAAATTTTTTTCATTTAATTTTTATATATTTATCTCTCAATGTTAATTATTATATCAAAATATAAGTACAGATTTAGAAAAAATGGCAAAATACTTTTATTATGTCTTATAACACTAATATAATGAAATTTGTACAAAAAAATTATACGAATATAAATATATTTTTATTGTTAAATTTAAGTTTTTTATTTGAATTTTGATTTAAATATATTTTAATACTCCCTCCGTCCCGCAATAAGGTTGTCATTTGGTTTTTGCGTCATTGTACTTATTATTAAAAATATCTTTATATTTAAATAATTTACTCAACAAATATCACTGTATATTTATTATAAGAGACTAATAAACATATTTTTGTTTTCTTTTATTGAGTTGTACTACGTATTGATATCATAATTAATATTCAAATATTAACACGTAAAAAACTAATGACAACTTTCTTGCGGGACGAAGGGAGTATAATATTTTGTGAAAATAATAGTATCAAAATCATATTATACCCTTTTACTAATTAATACTTCCTCCGTCTCGATTTAAATGGGTCATTCGAGATTTTGTAGTAGATTAAAAAATAATAGTATTTTATTAGTTAGTAGAAGTATATAAAAAGTTGATATTTTTTTCTTTTGACTTTATATATAAAAAAATAATAATAATTAGATATGTAATTGTATATTTGTAATTTAGGTAAAAATTAAAAATATTTTAACATTGGAATATTATTACTTTAGTAACACTTTGAAATAGAACATAAATAATGAAAATAATAAAATAGTATATATATATATATATAGAGAGAGAGAGAGAGAGAGAGAGAGAGAGAGCCACAATCCTCAATCACTTTCCCAAACGATTCATATAACACATTATTATAATGAACAACATCAAGAATAACGTACCGTATAATATTATATGTATGTATGCAATTTAAAATAATATGTCGGCCCAATTGTAAGGCCTGTTTCCAGCAAGATTGTATTTTTCAGGGAAGTATGTATATGTTTTTTACATAATTTTTAATAAAATATTTTTAAAATAATATTTTAGTTGAATAATATTATAAATTTTCATAATTTTCAATAATAAATATAAAAAATCACATTAAATCCAAAACACAAGAGCACACTCTTATTTTTTATTGTGAGATTTTTGTTATTAATAAATAGAGATTTGTAATGTTGTCTAGGCTAAAATAAACTTTATTATTTATTCAAATATTTTATATAAAACAACATATGTTTATTAAAATATGAGTAAAGTTTTAATTCAACATAATATTTTTTTTAAAAAAAAAAAATTATAATTGTGATTGTCTCTTACTTCGATTTTTTTTCTTTTTTTAAATTAAATTGTGAGATGTCAAACATGGTGTAATAAAATATAATTATATATGTAATATACTATATTTTATTCAAATAAAATGAAATATGTAAATAATATTTTAAAAAGTATATAAACGTGTGTATATCATTTCATAAAATATATATATACACATATATAAATTTAGGAAAATATAATCACATAGTACGGAATTCTCATGATAGACATATTGAACACACCGTGTAAGAGCATACTGTTCTGTTATTTACTTCCTTCTTACTTAATATTATGTCACAGTTAATATAGCCATGGAATTCTTTTAGAAATATGATTAGTAAATATTAAAAATATATGAATAAAATTAATTACAATATAATAGAAATAATTATAAATTAAAATTAAAATAACTAATTAATTTAATAAAAATTTAAAATTTTAAAATACTATTAAAATGTAAAATAAATTTTCAAAAATGAAAGTGCACTTAGCTCTCAATAGTAATAATTATTTTTATAAGATATTTAAAAAGTATTAAACCACATCATAATTTGTCAAAATACTTATATAATTTTCAATATCTAATATTAAAAATCCATATTTTTTAAAATGTTAAAACACCAAATTCCAATGTACCTCTTCCATCCAAAATATTTTATATTTGTTTAATTGAACCCAGCAACTAAAGAATAAAATATTTTGATATAAAAATAAATAAATAAATAAATAAAAATTAATGATAAATTACTTATTTTTTGAAAATATTGATAATAAAAATTTAAGTGAATAAATTATTATTATAAATAAATTATGTATAAATGTAATTCACACTAAAATAACAGTGATATAATTTTTCAGGATAAAAATAATATCATGTAATAACGAATTTGTCTTTTTATCCTTCAAATCAAAATTAATCAAAATATTATTTAAATAAAACTTTAAATTTAACACTCCATTTATAAATTAATTTCAAACCACGACTATTGTATACTAATAACATTATTTATATATTCACTCCTCTCCATTTTATAACAAATGCTACATTTTTATATTTATAACATTTACTATTCAAAATATATTTAACCCATAGTATAATATTTTATTCTATTGTATTATTACATCGTAATGTGTGTACATCTATAATATTATTCATATATATATATATATATTACAAAAATATTTTAAGATGTCATTCGTCAGCAAGAGTGCTGTTGTTACCTATTGAATTTCATTACATGAATAAATAATTACATATTGCACTGAATAATATATATTATTCATATTCATATTTTATTAAATGATATCATTTGACATATGACCGCAGATAGTGATAACTGATGAGGGCAAAATTGTAAAATAAATTAAAATTATAAATTAAAATTTTGTAATTTTTTTACCGTTTTGTTGTTCTGTTTTTTCTTATACTGTAACTATCCTCTTTATGTCATTTATTTTCTTTTCTTCATTTTTCTAATTATTATTATTATTATTATTATTATTATTATTATACATTCTTTTAATTAAGACAAAATAAGACACCCTAAAGGCGGCGGCGTCCAGAAGCAGGGCATTCAAACAAATTTTCTCATTTGTTTGTGATTTTTTTAATTTTAATTTTACTTTTTATTAATTTTTCTGAAATATTGAATTAAATATTTATTTTTTATTTTATAAAAATAAATTTTACATTAAAAATATTATATCAATATATATTAATATCAAATTTGGTTCGTTTCAATTTAGCAATCAAGCACTTATAACATATAAAGTTATAATCAGACTTACACAAATAGATGGATTGTGTAATAATCAAACAATAAATGCACCCTAAAATAAAATACAAAATAATTATTAACTCAATTCGCCTTCTAACTTGTCCCACGTTTGAAGTTCCAACCCAAGTGTCATCGCTAAAATTCAGTTGAAAATTGCAATAACATGTATTCCAAATTAATCTCAACTTTAAGACAACAAACACACAAGTAAATTCTTATTTATGTATTATAAACTCTCCCTTAAAGGATGTTTAGCACTGTTGGAATTGAGTCACTCAACATTATAATAATAGTGTCCGCTTTGAGTTGAGCCCATATAGATTTGTTTTTGGATTTTTTCAAAATGATCAATCACAACGGTTGGAATAGACCCAGTGCCATGAGACTTTCGACAACCACCAATGTACGAGACTCTGATACCACTGTTAAGGTTTATAAAATGTAGATTTTTCTTATCAATTTTCAATGTGGAATTTGAATTTGCACTTCAAAAAGTACTCTCAAATATGTGTGTCTCGATTCATCATCGTAGCATATTGAATGAAGCAAAAATTGACCTCACTTCCAAGTATCAAGACGACCTCTTCATGAAAAATGTAGTCTGTCAATAATTCGATATGCATTCAAACGGGGCATAATTAGATCACCGTTTGGACTTTGTCTCCAGTCAAATAAACTTTTTTTAGTTTAAAATTATAAATTTAAAAGTTTCCCTTAGAATTCATTATTCAACTCAATATATTTCCTTATTATTTTATTTTCACATCTCTTATCACTTCACTTTCATTTTATTGACTCTTGGTCTGTTACAACGGTCTTCCACTTCAACAAAAAAAGGTGGAGGCTATAGGTTATTTTCGAACTTTTTACTTGGGTCTTCATTAATTTATTCAATTTGAATTGCATTTATATTACACATTCGGTTGATTGAACTCAAATTAAATGGGTTACAATTGTCCATTGAAGTTTGTTTGTTGATCGAACTAATTACTGACAACATTAACTAATACTAAAAATAAGTACAATATACTTTCAACAAATTTAATTCTATATTTTTTACTAAACCAAAAAACAAACGTGTTTATTAAAAATTTATTTTCAATTCAAAATATTACAGTGATATCGACTTATATTATATCAAATAACTATTTAAATTTAAATTTTTATTATAAAAAAATCAAATACAAAACCAAATTCACATGCAAACAATCATATTGGTTAATGATAATTTAAAATTGACTAAAAATAAAATATTAATTTAATATTTTATTTAAATAGCAAATATTTCTGCATATTATTGTGTCCTCATGTCGAAGCTTTATCCTGTGTCGACTTCACGAATTCAAATGCATCTCGGCTGTAGGGAATCAGATCCCTTCGTAGTGAAATACTAATAAATACTCGTCTATCCAGTCACCGTTCTGACCGAACCGTTCAGACCGACTCGGCCGGGACCGGTTCAAACCGGCTGCCAAACACATGTCTCTTGCCGTCAGCCTTCACGCGCGTTGCCAGCCCAGCATCCTTCCAGGAATCCCTCCGGTTCCCCACCGTCCAGTTCTGTGCAGTACCTAATTTTTAACTCAAGTCGCATGGCACTGTTCCACGTGGCTAATGTTGAAGTCGCATTTGTGTGAAATGTCTTTTTCGCCTTCGTACATTATGCGACTTCTGTTGTAAATGAAATAACTGCAGCGAAAGGAACCGGATCCGACCTAGTCAAGAATTGTCACTGTGATTTTTTGGCTCCCAGGTTCTTGCGGGCAACAAAACAAAGGAATTGTTAGGCAAAATGGAAAAATATTAATTCAAAAAAATTTCAACCTCTCTCTCTGGGTCTTTCTGTCCAAAGGGAAACCTAAAATTGTTTCTCTCTCATTGTCTATTCTCTTCCATTGGGTGGTAAATTGATTATGGCGACTGTCAAGAACCCTAATATTTAGCAGCCGCCTTTGGAGTTGCAGGGAAGGAAAGACGCGACATCCCAAAAGCCGCCTCGATTTTGTGTTGATACAGGAGGGTTAGCTGCCTCACCTGAAGTAAGTGCTTCGGGGACTCCCATCTTGTGGATGTTTAGCTCGTTGGAGGGGTGTTGTTGTATGATGTTTTGGGAGGGTTGTTATCTTGGAGGTCATCGTTCTTGCGAGATTTTCCGTTTGATTTATTGTTCTTGTTGATTCATCTGGAAGTTATGTGGTCGGGCAGCTTTTGATGGTGAATCTCTTTTGTTCATATTAGTTAAGTTTGTTCAGATATTACCAGTGGCCGATAGAGGAATTGAAATCATTACATCTTGTTTAGTCGGAACTTGAAAGATTGGATAGCTCTACTTTCAGAAATCGAAGGTATTTTTTCGTAGATACTGTGATAATTCGGAGTGATTGTTGTTGTATGTTGTTTTATTGGTTGGGCAAAAGTTGACTTTGGTATTAAACTTCTTGTAGAATTCTTCTGTAGTTTTATAGACTTCATAGAATTGGAAAACTGTGCCTGATTTGGGGTTAAGTAGTCGGCGCCGGCAATGGCCGATGAGGGCCTAAGGATGGGTGGGGGGCTTTATAATGGATTGGCTGTAGTATTGAAGGGGAAGGAAAGCAGTAATGGTTCTGGGAAATCTCATCTTGTTTCATATTGTGAAAGTTTTGGGGAACAGCCTGTGGAGCGTGCAATCGAGCACATATTCGACCTCCCGTATAAAGCAATTAATCATTTGAACAGCCCGGTGAACAGTGGTGATGTGCGGACAATAATACGGCATGAGTTCTTAAGGCATCACCAAGAATTGAAGACTGTTAGTCGGAATAGAGATGGGGTCTGCACAATCTATGATACATCACAGCAAGTGGTTGGGCTTGATGAATCTAGTATTTGCGGTGACATTCGAATTCTCAATCAGCCTTTGCTCGTGGAGAGCGATGCGTTGTTCAGTAGTGTTAGGGCCAATGCCTGTGTATGGAAAGGGAAGTGGATGTATGAAGTTACTCTTGAAACTTGTGGCGCACAGAAGCTTGGTTGGGCTATAGCTTGCCCCTTCACTGAACGGAAGGGTGTTGGCGATTTAGACGATTCTTATGCGTTTGATGGTAAAAGGGTCTGCAAAAGAAATAAAGAAACTGATCCCTATGGCCAGGGGTGGGTTGTGGGTGATGTGATTGGATGCTGTATAGATATGGATAGCGATGAGATACTCTTTTACCGAAATGGTACCTCACTTGGGGTAGCTTTCACTGGGATTCGGAAGATGGTGCCTGGCTTGGGGTACTATCCAGCTATTTCTCTCTCTCAAGGGGAACGGTGTGAGATAAATTTTGGTGGACTACCATTTAAGTATCCTATTAAAGGATTTCTTCCCATTCAAGCTCCTCCCCCTTCGACGTGTCTTGCAACTAACCTGTTCGATTGCTTTTTAAGACTCTTGCAAATGCAGTGCCCACGGAGGCTGGAATCCAACACTATTGAGAAGCTGAGCAGGCTGAAACGTTTTGCGTCCTTTGAAGAACTTTATAATCCTGTCTCTAAAGGCATTTGTGAAGAGTTGTTCTCTGCTCTCAATGCTGAAATTGCGAGTGCAGAGTACATAGGACATGGCCCCTTTTTGTCATTCATGATGGAAGCCTTCAGAATTCGTCCCCCACATGACTATCTAACCTTGAACAGAGTACTTGATTCCCTTCTCGGGTTTGATGAGTCAAAGCTATTGTTTGGGCATGCATTTGAGGCACTTTCGGGAAGATGTAAAACAGCACCCTTAGTTCTTACCGAGTGCCCTTATTCTGGATCATATAGTTATCTTGCTCTGGCATGCCACATGTTAAGGCGGGAAGAACTGATGACTCTCTGGTGGAATTCAGATTTTCAATTCTTGTTTGAGGGGTTTCTTTCAAGGAAAGGTCCTAACAAACAGGATCTCCAATCTCTGATTCCCTCTGTCTGGTGGCCAGGCTCGTATGAGGACATATCTAATGAGAATAACATGATGCTTACAACTACAGCTCTATCTGAAGCAATAAATAAGGTATGCATTGACTTTTGGATAGTTTCTTTTCGAAATTTATTTATTTTCTTGCTTGATTTCAATTATTAATTTAATGGATTACATATATCCTTCCTCCGTTGGAGTTACAAATGTTGAAATGTTACTATATTTGAATGGAAATTCTGTTGTGAATGGCGGGACAATTTCCAATCTGCATTACCTACCGTTGGAGCAATATCTAGTGGATGACAAGATTTGATGTGTTGAATTATACATAGATCGAAATAATCTTCCGGCTTCCCAAAATGTAATAATAAATGCTGAAAAAGTTATGACGACAGACAAAATGTAATATTTTACACTTTTACACGATTTCATTCTTTTCTTATTATACCCCAATCACTATAGCCTTCTAGTTTACCAAAAAATAACGATAAATGCTGAAAAGTGTTGATAAATGAAAATGTATATTTTATACTTGACACGGTTTCATTTCTTACCTCATTATGACAGTTATAACATGAGTTATTTCATTGGTTGAGATCTGCGGTATATCGTATAATGTAGTGTAGAATCAGATTTCTGCTTTTTATCTTGCGTGACCGTTGCAAGAACTTCACGGAACCTTGGGTTCAGTTTGGTGTGCTAAATTTGGATTTATCCTGTCTATATGTAATAGTTTTCCATGCCTTTTAATGCTAAAAGTGTAGATCTTTGTCACAATGTTTTTGGCACCCAATTTTGTTTCACAATCCTTATTTTTGGCAACAGAATTTTAAGTTGTTATTTGTTTTGATGGCATGAATCTTTATTCTTATTCAGATTGAAGAGAAGCAAAGGGATCTATGCCGTTTGGTTATGCAATTCATACCACCTGTAGGACCTGTACAATTGCCAGGCTCTGTCTTTCGAACATTTCTACAGAGTATTTTACTGAAGAACAGGGGTGCAGATCGTAATGTGCCACCCCCTGGCCTGTCAAACAACACAGTACTTGTCTCTTTATTTAGTGTTCTTCTCCATTTTCTCTCTGAAGGCTTTGCTGTAGGAGACATCTATGGCTGGATTAAGGGCTCTAGGACGAATTCTGGAACTCATGTGGGATTCCTTCACAGGGGTGGGCAGCAAAGTTTTCCTGCTGGCCTGTTTGTGAAAAATGATCCTCATCGAGTTGATATACCCAGGCTAGGAGGATCTTACAGTCATTTGTCAAAATTTAACAGTTTTGATGAAGAGGAAGAAGAGGAAATTATTCGATGGGAAGAAGGATGCATGGATGATGAAGAAATGAGAGTGACTCATTTTGGTAGGCAGAAACCATGTTGCTGTTTTACAGATGATGGTGATTCTTCTAAAATCTTTGAAGATCGCATAAGATGTATGACTAAAGGTTCTCAGGGGAGTTGCAGCTCTATTCCTGATAAATCGACTCACGTTACATCTGAATGTAGTGCTGCAAATCTGAATGATGAAATAGTTGATAAACCCAGTACCAGCGATCACTCTGAGTCTGAGTTTGCGTTTCGACCCATGCAGCAACTGAGGATTGTACCAAAAGAGAATGCATTTTCTTCAGCTACTTTAGAAGAGGAGGAGCTTTTAGATACTATGCTTTTGCTTTATCATTTGGGTCTTGCGCCAAACTTTAAGCAGGTCAGTGAAACTGATTTAATTTTTATTGAGTTTTTAGTCATACTTTCTGTAATAGGGTATAAAATCAAGGCTATCTTCACTTTTGATGACTAGATTTAGATATAGGCTAGCTGCATAATTTTAAGGGATCGTTACCTCTGGTCATGCTAAAATTTTGAATGAATAGCCCATCACTTAAGTACAATATACATATATATATATATTCAGATAATCATTCGTTGTCCCTATCCCAAATATAAAGGTGAACACAACAGGACCTATGGTTAAGACACCATCAATATATTGGAAGTTCCTACTCAACTTCTTGAAGCTCAAGTGTTGTATTTTCTTGTAATGTTCACACATATTGAATGATGTGTGACATTTAATTTTTTTTCTTAACCATGATTTTCTCTTTAACTTTAAAGAGCTGGTGGAACTTACTTTCTTTTCTCGAGCCTGTTTCTTAATCATGATTTTCTCTTTGATTATAAAGAACTGGTGGATCGTACTTTATTTCTCGAGCCTTTGCATTGTCATTTAGAACACAGGGAGTTTCTTTAAAGGATAATGCTTTTACAATTATGTAGCTGTAAGCATTATATTTTCCATATCATTGGGTTTATGTTCACTTTTTATGGGAATCAAAATTCACAAATATAACCTTGTTGCTCAATGCACTAAGCTTCTCATTGTAAGCCAATAAATGTTACCGAATATATTTGTTTAGTTGAAGTATAGTAAATGCTGTGCTCCATTCTTTTCTTTGTGAGTTTCTAGCATTAGTTGCTTTATGCGTTGACGCAAGTTGAACCAACTAATCTATCAGTCACCCCTTGCTATGTATATTGAATTATTGATACTTTTTTTTTTTAATCTACAAGAAATCCAAGATTATTTTGAGCTTTACCTTCATAGGGAGTTTAGTAGAATGTGTTCATTTCTTCTCATAAAATTTGGAGAAATTTTCTTTAGGGTGTGCCATCTAATTGCATTGTATTTGTACTATTATCATTGGAAATAAGACGATAATCAACAGGGAATTATTTACTTCTTGTGTCTGGTAAACTCCCTCCTCAGAGATTTTGTCAATATAAGAATACTTGAGAAGCTGTTCATCACACATTGTATTTTTCCTAAATGAAGCATTATATCCGTTTGTAGCATAAGAAGTCTGTGGCAGTTAGCTCTGAGTTAAAGGAGACATTGGTTGTTGATGCATTGTATTTTTGGAAGAAATTTGTGTGTGGTTTCTCCTTTGTGCATCTATCTACTCTTTCTTGAAGTTCAGTGATACTTTCTTTTCCCCCTGTTATCCTCCTTATGGTCTGCACAAAAAAGTAGGATCGTTGTACAGGGGATATTTATGCTATGAGGTGGAGAGCTTGCTTACTATAATTCTTCATTTATTTATCGGTAGGGGAAACTAATTATTGTTATTTGGTCAAATTTATCTGTATCCAGGCATCCTCTTTCATGTCTCGTCAATCACAGTCCATTTCACTTTTGGAAGAGACCGATAGACAAATTAGAGAATGCATATATAGCGAACAAGTGAAGCGCTTGAGGGAAGCTCGCAGTGTTTATCGTGAAGAAGTTGTGGATTGCATCAGACACTCTGCCTGGTATCTATCCTGTCACGACTCTTACCTTTTCTATTGCTGAGCATAATGAATCTCTTTGTTTCCTAGAAACATATTCTAATTATTTGGTGTTTCCAAGAATTTACAACATGGTAACTTATCTAACCCACTTTCCTGTATCATTCCTGCTGTTATATTACGATCATTCATTTATAAATTGGTTACCAGATGGACAAGCCATGAGCATCAGATTGATTATGTTATAACCTATGCCATTAAGCCAATATTTTATTTCTCTGTGCAGACTTAAAATTCCGTGATATGTTCCTGAATGATTCCTTATCCTCGTTAGAAAGTCTATGTGGAATTGCTGTTGCTGAAATATTTAAACGTTGTGGATTGTAGCTTTGAAATGCTACTATCTAATATTTTGTGTTTTGAAATCTTAAATAATGTGATGCCCTCCAAAAAATAAATAAATCTACAGGTATAGGGTTTCGCTTTTCTCTCGTTGGAAGCAGCGGGGGATGTATGCAACCTGCATGTGGATTGTTCAGTTACTTCTTGTTCTAAGCAAAGGGGACCCGATCTTCTCCTATGTTCCTGAATATTATCTAGAAACTTTGGTAAAGTATCCTTTTTCTCACATGTCAAATGCCTTGTACTATTTTCTTGCTGCCCGCAGTTTGTTACTCTGCCTTTTTTATACTAAAATTTCACTCCGTTTCTTTATATCACGTGTTACTTTTATTTTTCTTCAAATGTATTTGTTTTGATTAAACAACCCCGCTGATGCCTCTTTATCAAGCGATTTGAAGCGAACAATACATTTCTATATTAACATTTCAAATATTTTGGTGATGCTGCTTCTTTGTTTTTGGCAGGTAGACTGTTTTCATGTGCTGCGGAAGAGTGATCCTCCTTTTGTTCCAGCCACAATATTTATTAAGCAAGGACTTGCTCCTTTTGTACGTCATATGTTCCTTCTTTTTGTGTTTTGGTGTGCCCATATTCTTTATTTTTCAGGCAGTTATCGAGCAATGGGATTACAAATAATCTGTTTGTCAAATCACATTCATGATTCTAATGTTTTGATCTCCAAGGATAACTACGTTTGGTTTCTTTCTAAATTTACTCCTTCATCACTTACCTTTTCCACTGAGTGGTTTTTTACGAGTAATCCAGAAGGAATGTTCGTTAGATTGAAACATCTGATTGCATTTTTTATCTAGTATAAAGTTTTGCATTACTAAAATATTTGTAAATTGTATTTTGACATGAACTGTCAGGGATGCAGGCCATTATCTCAATAGTTGTTAGCATGGTAATTTGTTGAATCTGATTCGAAAAACAATGCTTTTATTTCATTTTGTACAGGTTACTTTTATCGTTACCCACTTCAATGATCCAAGGATAGCGAGTGCGGAGCTAAGGGATCTTCTTCTCCAGTCTATTTCTGTGCTGGTACAGTACAAGGAATATTTGGTTGTGTTTGAACGCAACGAAGCAGCGACAAGAAGGATGCCAAAAGCTTTATTGTCTGCCTTCGACAACAGATCCTGGATTCCTGTAACCAATATTCTTCTCAGGCTATGCAAAGGTTCGGGATTTGGCTTGTCCAACCGCGGCGAGTCTTCATCCTCATCCATATTGTTTCAGGTAATGACATATGATTATGTCAGTAAAAATCTAGCCTCACTTCTGCTTTTATACAGCTCTATAATTACTAGTACTTGTCTGATTTTCGAATTCTACACTACAGACATTGCTTAAGGAAACTTGCACCAGCGATGAAGAGTTATTCTCAGCTTTCCTCAATCGCTTATTCAACACTCTTAGCTGGGCGATGACCGAATTCTCTGTTTCAGTTCGTGAAATGCAAGAAAATTATAAGGTAAATTGTAGCTTGATTTGTTAAGGCATAGTTTTCCTTTCCTTATTGATTGATAAATTCCTTTGTCAGATGATGGACATGCTACAGAGGAAATGCAGTGTAATATTCGACCTTTCTTGCAACCTCGCGAGAGTTTTAGAATTTTGCACAGGGGAGATACCTCAAGCTTTTGTATCGGGGATGGATACAAATTTGCGACGACTGGCTGAGTTGATTGTCTTCATGTTAACCCACTTAATCGGTGCTATCGATCCAGAAGTTTTTGACCTGTAAGTCGAAATTTATCTTTACAATGATACCCGTCGCCATATATTTTGCTTTATTTGACGATCATTTAATATAATAGGTTTCTTTTGCAGCCGCGAATAGTCCCTAATGATGATATTAAATAGCTATCGACTTTTAGTGGTTTATTTCGATAATTCTCTATAAATCTGTGCAGTTACTGCCGTAAATTACTTATTGAATGTGATATCATATGCTTGTCTTACTATTATCAGATTGATTCGACGTCCGGGTCAGTCCTCCGAAAAGATGAACGGCGGCATGATTTTCGCGCCGCTTGCGGGAATCATTCTGAATCTTCTGGATGCCAATCGAGGGACAGACAATGGGGACGAGACTCAAAACAATGACGTGGTTGCCGTCTTCGCCAGCATGGACTGCGCCAGCACCATTCGTCACGGGGTTCAGTATCTCCTCGAATACAATTGGGTTCGTATACGCATACATTTCCATCTTAATCGACATTTCACGCAACCGTCTTCTTACAAATCCCATACATCATATTTTACCAGGCGGGCTCGATCAGGAGCGACGATTACAGCGAGCAGCTGAAAAAGCTCGAGAATTTCTCGACCCTCTTGATGCGCCGAACGGAAATTCAAGAAATGGAGAAGAATGTCGTCCGAGTGGGAGAAACCGAAGGCGAAGTAGAAGCAGCCGACGACGGGACATGCTGCATATGCTATTCGAACAAAGCCGACACCAGCTTCGAGCCGTGCAAGCATATATCTTGCCATGGCTGCATTTCCAGGCATCTCCTTAACTGCGAAAGATGCTTCTTCTGCAACACAACCATCGTCAACACCATTGGGATAAACAGCAGCAAATGAAGGATTTGTCCTATTGTTTCTGTTGCATTGCATTTTGCATCTGCCATTTAGATGACTAGTTCATATATAAAATAGATACCCTTATTCAATGGGAAAGACCAAACTATATTATTATTACATATACATACATACATGCACATATATATATATATTATATATATGAGGGTTGTGCAAATGTGAAATAAAGTTAGCCAAGGAGGGATGGATCCTTTGGGATTTGATATTTTTGTAGCCAAATATGAGGCCTGAGAGGCATTTATTTTTTATGTATGTATATATATGTATGAGAGATGTAAATAAGAACCTGTTGAAAGAGTGGGAAGCCATTGGAAGCTTTAAGTAGCTTCATGATGCATATCTTACTCCAAGATTCTCTGAATAGTGCTGTAACTGATATGATCTTGATTTTGCCATTAGAACACAAAATAAAATGGGGAAAAAGTAGAGAGAGAGTACATGAGCAAGAGGACATTGACAAAAACCTAGCGAGAGAGAGAGTGACAGACAGAAACATTAGATGGGAAATAATGAAATTGAACAAACAAAAGGTAAGATACAGATTAAGGGGGCCTCCCATGACTCATGTTTCCTCTCTAACTTTCTTGAACAATTAGATGATCTTACAAACACTTGATCAGTTCAGCAGCACCACAGCAAGAATTATTATCCATCTAATAAGAGGGCGGGGCGCCCCACCCGTCCCCTCCCCACCCCTCGGATCTTCATCAGAAATATGTATGGATGTATGGATGTATGTACCTGTGTAGATAAAAAGAAACGGGCATGACTTTTCTTTCGTTGGATTCAGTATGTCAAAACACAGATGGTGTTCTTGTAGGTTCCGGCTACATTGTATTAGTTATTCTTGTTTTTCATGCTGACGGCTTCTAGAGGAGCTTTCGGGGCTAGACTCTAATCCAAAGCACTTAAAAATTGCGCGCTTTGCTAGTCCAAAATAGTTGCACAGGTGCATTGGATGTTGGAATCCTGTCAATGAAGATGATCCCTCTCCACTATGGTCTTCTTGTTGAGTCGACCCTTCACTGGTTCCGGCATCCCTCCTACCCTGTCGGCATTCCACCTGCCATACCCGAAAAACATTAAAAAAAAAATGAAGTTTCTGCGAAAAAAAGGAAGTATACTAGACGACCCGACAATTTTCAAAATGGATATGGATAAAAGCCAGTTCTATTGGAAGGATTTTGAATAAAGAAAACAAATGTAGAAAATGTATACTTAATTCAAATTCATCAGCAAGAAAACATCTACAAGAGAGTCAGGTGTTTTGCAGAAACTTCCAATCCAGAAACAATTGATGTCATCAATACATATATATATATACATCTAAATATATACACATGCATATAAAGAGAGTTATAAGCAAACTATAAATAGAAAGAACATTATATCACTAATGACAAAACCTTTTCAAACAATAGAGTTCTTCCACAGCTGCTTCATGATTTTCTTAACATGGTTCATTATTGAAAATCTTCTAAAAATACACTAACTATTATTATAACCCTGTTATTTTCAAATTGAAAAAAACTACCCTCCAAGTTCTTTTGAAATTTTCGACCGAATCCCATTACAAGTAAAGAAGGCCAAATCCATTTCAAGTGCAAAGAATAAACTAACTTAAAGGAAGACCAGCTAAATCTTAATAAATTGCCAAATTATTGCAGTATTATAGAAGGACTAGCATTATGTTCAAAGAAATTTCAGAAATTTATAATAAAATCAGACGAACAGACAGTATTTAGTGCTACAATCAAGGCAAGTATATTAGTTCATTTCCAAAATAACAAGAAATTGTTGTTCATTTAACCTCACTGAGCTTTCAAACATAGTTTGAGCGTGAAACACAATTATGACTTAATCATTATATGTACAATATAATCTGAGTAGAAGTTCAGAATCTTTGCCTTTTCTTGCACCTAAAGCATCATCAAATTAACTACAGAAAAATAAGCCCCTCAACAACAACTCTTGTTCCTTTTACCTTGCACATATAAAGCAACGAATAAGACTACTCAATATATCATAATGTCCAACTAAAATTCCCAATATTTGAAATTAACAGAAACAGAGCACCACAATCATATTGAAACAGGAGACAAAGGTCAAAAAGCAATATGAAGAATGAAAGAAAACAATGCGAAAATAAAACGACGAAAGAAGAAATTGGACATTCCTAATCAGTTTATCCTCAATTCAAATAGCTAATTAATCGTAAGCACGAAGCAGATTGGGGAAATTAATAATCTCTCACAGCGATGCAAAATCAGGAAAACTGATATAGAAAAAGGAAGGAAGGAAAAAGAAAAGCCTTCAAGCTCGAACCTTAGCGACTCTATTAGAAACCACGGGGTTAATGCCATGGTTAGTTGACAAACTTATCGGCGGAGCCGCGGAGCTGGCGGAGGAATCCAAAGAAAACACGGAGAGGCCAAAAAAGAGTAGTATTAAAAGAAGAATCGTGACAAGAAGTTGGATCCATATCAGCCATGGGACCTTGAAGCTCTCAATCATCAACTCATCCCCGAACTCCACCATTTTTAGCTGCTCCGGAGCTCCAAAACCCCTCCGGAAAGTCCAATAAACCACCAAGTGAGCTCTGAAAAACCAGGGATTGAAGTAATTTGGTTGATTTCAAGACGGATGTCAATTTGAAGAAGACGAGACTCTGAAACGAAACTAGGAAGGCTGTCTAATATATAAAATAAAATAAAATGGGAACGTCAAAGTCGCCGGACTTGCCCAACGGTTCAACCCACACGTTATGGTTACAAACCGCCGGTTCGATTTCTCATAATTTCAAATTGAAATCGAATTTTTTAAATAACTGTTTTGATTATGATTCGACCGGTTTCGATTACTGTTTATAAACAGTATTTGAACGACGGGTTTATATAAATTCATTTTTAATATATTTTTTATTTTTTTAATTTAAATTTTATTTAAAAATAATTAATTTTAATTTTATTATTTATTTATTATATTGAAATTATATTAATAATAATTAATTAAATTATAATAATATACGAATAATAAATTTAATAAGTAATTAAATTATTATTTAAATAAAAAAAATTACAAAAATATTAATGTATATATTAGATAAAAAAAATAGTTTAATTTAAATATAATTATATTATAAAATAATAAAAATAAAAATAATATTATAGTATTAGTATTATTTTTCAATATTATTAATAATTATTTACGTTAATTAATATTAATATTATTTTTATTTATATTAAAATTTTAATTATAAATATATTATTATTATTATAAAACATTTTTTCCCGAAACAATAATTTACGCATCCACAACCACAACCACCGCAGGCCGCAGCTGCTCACCAGGTTTTCTCTTTCTTCTTCTGCGTCTTGATCCTCCTTCAGCCCTCCCTCTCCTTTCGTCCTCCTTCTTCTTCTTCCTCTCCTTCCTTTCTCTTCGTTCTTCTTCACCTATTTTGTATTTCCGCTGCATCTGCGCCTGATCTGATGGCCAGCAGATTTTAAAATGAAAAAAAAAATTGCAAAACCGCCGTTCAAACCGTAAACCGGCAGTTACGGTTTGAGAAAAGCTCAAATCGAAACCGAACCGTCCGCACCACGGTTTCGGTTCGGTTTGAGTACGGTTCCGATTTGAACCGTAATCGCCGTTTTGAAAACCGACGAACCGCCGGTTCGAATCGACGGTTTGGAACCGAATGAGCAAGTTTACGTCGCTTGGAAACGGGAAGTGTTTCGGAAAATTGCATTTTACCCCTTAATGAGAAGTTGTTTACACTTTTGACTCTCAACCTTTCACTTTTTTTTTTTTTTTTTTTTTTTTGCAAAGAATAATAATTATTGTCATTCAAATAATTTTAGACATTCAAAATATTCTTATATTTATATAATTTCTTTTTACAAATGTCATTATATTATAAGACACTAATTAAAGTATTTTTATAATTTAATATAATAATTAATATTCAAATATTAACCCAAACAAACTAAATGTAACCCTAAAATTCATAGTAATGCTGATAAACTTCTTTTTTGTTTTTTTGTTTTTTTTTTTGCTTTACACCATATTAGTCACATTTTTTTAAATATTTATTACTAATAATTTAAATTCTAACTATATTACTACAATTACTAGAGCCCATATTTTTAGATGACATGCTAATTGACTGACTTAACATAACATATTTTGTATTGTTGAGTTTAAATTATAACTTAGAAATGAATTTTATACGAGTGATATAGATGCAGCGATAAGAATTTTTGAGATGAAAACAATTAAAGATCAAAAAGCTGTAAAATAAATTCTTGATGTAATAGTAATCCGTAAAAAATTATTATTATTAGGATGTTCATGGTTCAATTGAACAGTAATTTATTGGGAAGCAATTATATACGTAAGTTGATAGTAAATTGATGGATGCAGATTCAGAATAACCATTTCATTATTACTATTAATTATATAGAGATAGAAAAGCATGTATAGCAGAGAACATGAACTCTTATTCCACGATGAGGACGACTCGACTCTCACTTTGACTCTAACTTCGACTTCGACTGCGACTGCGACTCCGACTCTAACGAAAATAACATTAACTACCAGCTACCATCGATGATCCATTGAAATGCCAATTGGAATAATATTGTTTAATTAATTATATATGGCGCCGCGCGGTGGCGACAGCAGACAGCGGATGCTTCATCTCGCAGGACAGCTTCAAAAGCTCGGCGAGATCCACCGGCGCCGCCGCGTTCTCCGCCCACTGGAAGTGCCTCACTAGCTTCCCCACCCAGAGCGCCACCGTCGTCATCCCCAGATTCTTCCCGGGGCACACGCGCCGCCCTGCGCCGAAAGGAGCCAGCCTCAGGTCACAGCCGCGGACGTCAACGTCGGCGCCGCCCATTCCCGGTACGAACCTCTCAGGCCGGAACTCCGACGGGTTCTCCCAGACTTGAGGGTCGTGGGTTATCGACCACATGTTGACCATGGCGGTGGTTCCGGCGGGGACAACCATGCCGTTGCTGAGAGAGACGTCGGAAGTGGACAGCCTGGCCCAGGACAAGAGCGGCCCCGGCGGATGAAACCTCAGAGTCTCCTTCACCACCGCCTGAAGATACGGCAGCGCCGCCACGTCGGCGTCGGTGAGGGAAGGATTATTCCCTACGGCGCGGTCGATTTCCTCACGCAGCGTGGCTTGTACCTTAGGGTACAACACCAGCTCCGCCATCACCCACTCCGTCAGCAGCGCCGTCGTGTCGGTGCCTCTGAAGATCATCTCCTGAGATTGAGATTAATTAATTGCAGAAATTAATCATCAATATAATTAATTGTACTCCAATTTATGTGTGTATATATATATATATATAAAGCATACCCATAGAACTGCAATCATGTCGTCTTCATTGAGCTTCTCGTCGCCATCCAAAGACAGCAGAATATCAACAAAATCAGCAGAATCTGAATCGCCCTTCCCCGACGAAGACGATCTGTGCTGATCGATGATCCCCTTGACGAAGGCCCTGACACGTGGGACGAGAGCTTCGCAGCGCGCCACCACTCTGCAAGGATCGTACAAGCTCGACAGCCATGGCAGATGATCCGACCAGTTGAAAGCTCCCAGCAGCTCAAACCCTTCCCTAACCATCTCCCGAAGCTCCGCAAGTTCAGGCTCATCACTGTCCACGTCATAACGCTTTCCAAATACGCTTCCCATAATATTATTCAAAGCCGCGCCTTGTAAATGCTTCCTCAGCGACACCGCTCCCCGCCGCGACTGCTCCGCCGCAATGTTCCTAATCATGGCGGCGCAGTCCTCCTGACGCCCCGCCTCGTGGGCGGCGATGCGGCGGGGGGCGAAGAGGTGCGAGGCGGCGATGCGGCGGAGGAGGCGCCAGTAAGTGCCGCTGGGAGCGAATCCAATGGCTCGGCTGAACATCAGGCTCCGAGCCGACTGTTTGATAGGACGATCCGCAAAGTGTGGGGAAGTCAATATCTCCTTAGCCACTTGAGGATCGGAAGCCACCACAGTCGGCGTCGAGCCGACGCTGAATGCCATAAGCTTCTTGGCGCCCATTGATTCAGCAACTGAAGCCAAGGATCGGTGACCCAAGCCGCGGCTCAGAGTAAAGATGCTGCCCAGAATGGGAAGTCCACGTGGACCGGGAATGGCGACGGCGCCCTTCCGATTCCGGCCATTTCTCCAAGCAGTTCCGCCGGGAGAAAGCGCCCACGTCAGCAGCACGGCGGAGATAAAGGCCGGGACTAATGACAGGATGAGGTATCCGTCAAGGAGGCCGCCGGAGCTCATAAACGCCGGGAGAGTGAACATCCACCAGGTCGAGTCCTTCGCCGTCATTCCCAACTCCATTTTTGTTTTAAGTAAGCTACTGAGACGAGAGGGAAGGTAATGCCTGACGAGTGATGAAAAGAATAGAGAATGAGTGCTCTATATATAGCAGAAGATAAGGGTATTTTAGTCAATTGCGTTAATAGAGTTTTAGTAAGTGCAATGATTATACCAAACTCTTAATTTTATAAGGGTATTTTAGTCTATTGCATTAATAGAGTTTTAGTAAGTGTAATGATTACACCAAACTTTTAATTGTATTGGTGGTAGGTGAAAATTTTTATTGCACTGTTTTACCTTTGTATTAATCGTCTGTAATTTATGAAGAATTTTTATTTATTTATTTATTTTTTATTGTTAGATGAAAAAATAATACTAATATTTTGTCGTGATTGATACTATCTAATATTTTTAAAAGTGAAAGTTATGCTACAAAATCTTTATAGTTTATTATCTTAACTCGATGGAAACATGTTTGTACATTATAATATAGTATTGATAATCAAATTGTTTAAATGCAAGCTTTTATCTCTTTATCATTGTCCTTTCTTTTTTCTTTTTTTTTTCATATTTTATTATTTAAAAGGAATATATTAACTTTTGTTAAGATGATAATCTCGAAAATTCATCCAAACTCAATACGAATAGCTCTGATACCATATTAAAAAGGAATTTGAACATCCAATCTAAAACCAATTGATGACAGGTGGAGTAGTCCTTCGTTCTTATATACTATGGGAGATTCCACACATTTAAGAACAATATTCAACAACTTTTTAATCCATTACTTATTGTTGATGTGTTTTTTCAACCGTAGTTAAGATCAATTGCTTTCGATAGTTCAACCTCGTTATTCTTGTATTCATAATTAATTTTAAAATGTATAAAAACATAGGTAAAAAGAGTTTAATTATTTCATATTTGATATCGCTATAGCCAATTGATGTCATTGTGGAGATAGAATGTCCAAAATCTAATTAATTTTCTGAATTTAGTTGTGTAATTTTGATTTATGAAAACTTAAATGTCAATCAAAACATTATTTACGAGTGATTGATGGCAGATTGAGTTTTGGTTTGGATTTGTTTTCACTTGGATCGGATGAAGCATGTTTTTTGATGTTGTGTGGGTTTAGCCCATAGTTTAATTTTGGCGTTCTTCCTACCATTAATATTTGATATGATATTAAAAAGAAAAAGAAATAAAACATAATATAATAATTATAAGCAAAGAGAAACAATACCTATACTCATCTTATGGCTCGCATTATTTGACGTTCCTATAAATAGTCAAACATATATTGATCCTCAAGAAATTTTTAATTCAAACAAAAATAAAAAATAACCATTAAATTGGATACAAAGAAAACCACAATCACCGCCAAAATCTGAGCCATATTCTTCCCTACAGTTAGTTATTTGTTCATGGTGGAATTCCCATGGGAGGAGAGGTTGCGCCGCCGTCGCCGCCGCCCACGGCAAAGAAGAAGGCCAAGTCGCAGCCCAGACCCATCCGCCTCCTCCGCAACGTCTTCCGCTCCTTCCCGATCATATTCATAACCTCCCCCGCCGCCTGCCGCCTTCCGACGGACGCCAAAATCATCTCCGGCAGGCGCGTGACGGGCACGCTCTTCGGGTGGCGCAGGGGGCGCGTGCGACTCCTGGTCCAGGAGAGCCCCCACGCGCCGCCGACGGCGGTGGTGGAGATGTCGATGAAGACGCAGGCTCTGCAGAGGGAGATGGGGCTGGGTATGGTCAGAATCGCCCTCGAGTGCGAGAAGCGCCCGGCGGCGGCGGCGGCGGCGGCGGTGGAGCTTCTGGAGGAGCCGCTGTGGATGATGTACTGCAACGGGAAGAAGGTCGGGTACGCCGTGCGGCGGGAGGCCACGGCGGAGGACCGGCGGGTGATGGAGGCGCTCAGGGCGGTGACGATGGGGGCCGGCGTGCTGCCGGACGGCGACTTAGCCTATATAAGGGCGGAATTCGATAGAGTGCTGGGGTCCCGGGACTCCCAAACGTTGTACATGGTGAGCCCCGATGGGAGCATTGGTCCCGAGCTCACCATCTTCTTTGTCAGGTTATGAATATTAATACGACGCCGTTACGTTGCTAAACATTTATTTATTTAATTAGTAAATTATATACATATAGAGGTAGTGTATATATCTAGGCGATTGGTCGAAAGAATTTTGAATTTAATTCAAGGTATTTTATTGGGATCTTTTTTTTTTTTTTTTTTTTTTTCATTTCTCTTAAATATGTTAAATCTTTTATATCTTTATTTTGAATATCACAAAATTATTATCATTTCATGATTTAATTAACTTAAAATATTACATGCTTAATTTATCAAATTGCCAAAGAACCCTTATTTCTTTTTTCATATTTAAGCTGCAAACTTTCTTAACTCGGAATTATGACTCCTCTTTCGTTTAAATCTTTAAATCAACAATTATTTGTACAGTGGAAATGTTATGCAGCATTTTCAATGGCTAGTATGCATTCAACCACACTTACCTTGTTAGCCATAGCAGACATCAGAGCTTCATGAACACCTTGATTATTCTTAATCAGTGACGCAGCAAACAGTACCTGTAACATCATCACATAATAATGATGATGATGATGATAATAATAATACTTTTAACATAAATTATTTTTATCAAAAAACTCACAGCCCATCTGGTGAGGTTTTGCTGCTGATCATTGCTCAACTTTGGCTTGCTTCTGTTTATAAACCTCTAAAAACAAAGGACTCGCTTAGTTTTAGCTTTTAGCCTTTACCCCCATGTTTATTTGTGTGTCAAATTTGATCTCACCTGAAGAGTAAAAAGATCTGCCGATTGCCCGACGACTTTGTCATATTTTAGACCTTCTGCTGCCAATCCAGCCATGGCTACAATGGCTAACCTGAATAAACCTCCCATTTTTAGTATGAATCATTTTAGAAGAGACAGAAGCAGAATTTAGTCTACAGGTGTGAAAAATGAAAGCCATATAGTATAAAGATTACGGTTTTAGGAGAACCTTTTATGTATACCTGTCGAGTTCTTTGGCATCTAGCTGTCCACTGTAGACGAGCTTTTCAAGCCTTTCATCAGTGAGATTGACATTCTCCTTCCCAATATCCAGTGAATAACCAAGGATGGGGATGCCAAGCAAATAAGCAACTACAGATATCAAAATGATACAAATTAAATTATCAGGAAATTTGGAAATTTATGAATGCGTTTACTTTGATGACAAGTTGTCGCGTAGCTTAAAATTGAGCCTACACGAGTAAGTTCAAATCCAGTCTAACCCAGATTTTAAACCATTGTAGAATTCTAAGAAGTGATTGTTAAGAAGGGATCCAGGACTTCAATTAAGAACCTTGTTGATATAATGATATATGGCTGTGACCCTCTCAGTAAAGGATGTAAGGGTATTGTTGAATTCTAAGAAGTGATTGTTAAGAAGGTATCCGTGTTAAGTGGAGTAGCCCGTGGAGTAGCCCTTCGAATCCTAACCAAGATCAATACCTAATATAGGCACCATGGCTTTGATACTATCTCAAGAAGAGATTCGAGATTCCAACTTAAAAAATTGGTGGTTAGTGGAATAGCCCTTCACCTTTATAAGTAATAGGAAATTCTTACATTTTTCCTATGCGGGGCTATATTAAACAACTATAAAGCTAAAAAAATCACTAGAAAGACAAATGTCCAAATATAGTGTGAAAGAAAATTACGGACTCCTTAACCGCTAGTAATTATGCTAGTTTTCCCCAGTAAAATTTTGACGATGTGAATATTCTCTTAGTATCAATTGGGTCATTTGGTGACAATTGATTATTTGATTTGGGTTGCCCATATTATATGCATTATAATAGAGATTGATTCTATTCTTGCTGGCAAGTTAATGGATGTGTTTTAATGAGGAACAATACATCCTGTAAGGTTGTTGGAATAAAGACAATTAGAATTAATATGCATGACAGTATTGTGAGGGCTTTGATGTTCGAAATGTGTCGGATGTAAAGAAAAACCTTCTCTTCGATACTCATGATTCACAATGTAAGTATAAATGAGAAGGTGAAGTTCTAATTAAACCCAATCCAATATTAAACCTAAAGTCTAGCAAATATATATATCCTTGTGGATTGATGCTTTCCAAAGATACATATTAGTCTGGTTCATTATGGTTGGACACAAATCAAAAGTTTTTTATTGCTATTATATTTGTTTGTTCTTGTTGCGGTGTTCTCCAACTATTGTTTGTATTGCTTTGTTGCAATATCATTGGAGATAATTGAGTTGTTAGTTGGTGTATTTATTTGGCTATTTGGTAAATTGTTGGGCCACACATTTGATATCTCTTGTTGAATAGCCATGAACATAGGAATTCATCCCCATATGCAAATTGTGTCTCGTTAATTTTTTGTTATTATGTTTTGGTTAAAGATTTATGATATTTATACCGCAAATTCACATGTAGTAGCTTAGCTTTTCATACGTGCATAGAAATTAATCATAATAAAAAATACTCGGACTACTCATGCTATAAAATGAACGACCTCAAATTAGGCATATGAAATTCATGAAGACAATACCTAAGAAATGAGCTGCTTCATGTCTAGCAATCCTCTCCTGATAATCAGGGAAAATAGAAGAAAATGCACCAATGGAAGCCTGCAGCAACCTACATAACAAAATAGATAAATAAATAAAATGCTTCACGATATTAGTCATCTTATTTATGTCATATCCCTATCAATGTTATGGGAGTCAAGCTACTCAAAAGCTCTGCTCGGTCGAAAGAAGCAAAGCTTGAGCTCAAGCTTGAAAAAATACTTGAAAATTTTTCAAGCCAAGTAGGTTCGGCTCAACAAAGCTCAATGAAATAATAAGTTTATGTTGTTATTATATTTTTAATATATAATATATAAAACTCGAGCACAAGTTCAATCCAAAAAATTAATTATGAGCTCAAGCTTGAACTCAAACTCGCTTATAAAATTAGTGAGCTTGATCTTGGTTCGACAAAAGCTTGAGTCAAGTTCGAACATGAGATACTAGTCTCGACTTGGCTCGAATAACAGTATGTCCCCAAGCATGGGGTAAAAAGTTTACTTTGTTAACCAATACCTGAAACAAGAAACAGGCACAATAATAGATAAGTCATAAGAAAGTCCCCAGAATGTTCAATTGCAAACATATGCATGGGTGTGTTTCTTTGGGTTTAAATTGGGAAGATTTGGTTTAACTTTTGTATTTAAATAATGATTGATTTAATATTTTGTGAGAGAAAAAGTATGTCTTTTTTCGAAAAATACGGAATCCAAATAATAAAAACTTAGAAAGAAAAACCAAACAAACACACCTCTTTTGAGCAGACAACAATCAAAGATCAGATAATTTACTACTCACCCTGGGGATATACTGCCTACAGCAAGAACTACTAAAGAGATGCTCCCAATCAAGTATGGCACGAAAAAACCCCAATCCTGGAAAGAATGGTAGATCAAGAATATCATGTACCAGATGTTTGACAGCAATCAAATTTTCTTGGCAATCCTTAAAGAGTAATATGCAAAACTGAGCAGTGTTTAACCCAACCAACTCACTAACTAACTAATAAGAAATGCCAGCAAATAAATAATACAACTACTTTCGAAAACCAAAATTTGTAACCTCCACATTTTAGCCCTCAGCTATCAGATCCTTATCAGAAAGGCATTCTTCCACATTTTAGCTCTCAGCTATCAGATCCAATTCTCTGTGGCTTCTTTCTTCTCATAAAACTTTTATTCACCTATCTCAACTCTCACCACCGACTTTGACCCAATGTAATTAATATCCTTCCGTCCAGGATAATCATGCCAGTTTTTTTCTATTTTTGGTTATCCGCAATCTATTTATACAAAACTTTATCTATCCATAAATTTATTACTCCTATTTAAATAAATAGTAACTATTTTGTCACTACTTTTTCTATTTACTCCACTACTTTTTTATCAAACTCCTTAATAAATTTCCCATAATACCTCCACTGCACTTTTTACTATTCAATTTTTATATTAAAATACTATTATTTCATAATCTCCAAGTCCATGCAAATTGCATAAGCTTCCCGGACAGAAGAAGTAATATATTTTGACTATCAATATCAGCACGAACATCTGGCATATACTTTTGAGGGGTTTGCTTTCATTCCTTGTTTCTTTCCTTCATAACATTTTCTCGAAGGCAAGCATCTATATAAATAATGAATAACAAGCCCTATAAAAATTTTAATGCAGGAGAAGACTGGAATGTAGCGACGGAAATTTAAGCTAATAAGGAATTAGAGGCTACCCCAGGAAGCTGACCAGCAAGAACACCCAAAAAGCCAGTTGTTCCAACCACAGTAAAAAGAAAAGCTGCCTGCATCACTGAACAAAATCAACTCAATAAACAAGGAAACTTCATTCCAAGGTTTTACAGCTTTATACAAGTCCATAGAACTAACATCATTTCTAACACTTGGAATAGCAAGATTTTCTGCATTCTTTATTCCTAGAGATGTAAGCTCCCGAAGGGATGTCTGCAAAAGAATATGCAATTAGCAACAATATGTAGATTATATATAATCTAGATTCATAGAAATTTAGAGGACTGACTGTACGACGTGAAACATATGGTTGAGAACTCCATTTCTTAGCCCAGCCAAGTTCACTCAACTCATCAAGTGCCTCTTTGACACAATCACCATCTTTCTGCAGTCAACCATACAAATACAGTTAAAAATATACCCAAAAAACAAACTTACTTACAGCACACACAAACATAAACATATCCAGAAAAGATCAAATGTATACATTTAATGCGTTAGGGGGCAAGTCATGTTTACTAAAATGATACAACAATAATCCCAATGATTATTTTGATTGAATAATAAATCATAGGTGTTAGATGGTCATAGTTGAATACGATTGGGATTAAGCCCATTGGGCTTATTTGTGTGTGTGTGTGTATATATATATGTTGTATATTGTAAATTATAATTTTTAGAGAAAATCACTACATGGTAGCACAGGTAGGATCATATCCCTCCTCGCTTGTGCCAAATTCGTTCTCTGTCAAATCCATCGCCACCACTGCCACCGCCGTTGGACAACCCACTACCGCTCATCGTCCTCCTGTTGAACGACACCAGCACTGTCTCTTCTTTGTGATGCCTCATGTCGCCCTTCTCCTTGCAGTGATTTCACTGTTGACTTTGATCACAACCCAACCATGTCATTACCACCACTTCTGCACGCTGCCGCCAATTCTCCTCGCACCACCGCCGTGTCCATAGTTGATCAAAGGATTGCGATCACTTGTTCCAGACAGATTAGACCTTTTCTCAGCCTGCTTACTTGATTTTTTTAAAAATTCCGCAGCTATGGCTTCTTCATCTTCCACTATAATCACTCCAACTCCAGGAATTGCTACTGAAAAATTGGTAGGTGATGCCAATTATTCCTCTTGGTCTATAGCGGTTGGGATGTGGTGCTAAGGACAAGGCCCATCCAACTAGTTACACGATGGAAGTCGGTTGATTCAAAATTCTTGGTTACATGATAAAAGACCCATGCCCCATTGTGTACACTGCTCTAGCAATCTATTGACTCTTATCTGTCGGGTGTTATGGAATCAAGTAGCTCTTCTATATCAAATGCAGACAAGACCTTGTTTCAAGGGATGATGCTGAACATCCCATTTTTCTTATTGCATAAGAAACTCAAAAGACTCCAGTTGACTTTGGTTTTTAATACATTGTACCTTGTGATTATAGAAGACTATTGCATAATGAAAGTTCAATGGATTCCGACCTGCATTTTCATATCTGTTTGAACTCTAAGCTAAATGCCTCTCTTTACACTGTACTAAACTTTTTCACTTGTCCAACTGGAACAATAAACCATTTCACAAGCACCCTTCGAGAAAACCAATAACTAACATATACCATACGTGAAATTTTATCTCGAAATTCAACTGAGTGCGCTTGTATAAACCTTTCTTTTCTTCAGCACACTTACACTTAGAACTCACAATCAAAAAACACATCAAAACAATAAAGCAGACACAAATCACCCATTCCGCAAAGCCGAATATTCTCAATAGAACACGAACAGCATTCTCAAACATAAAATCGCAATAGAGCAATCAAAAAGAAGAAGAAACCTTCGCAATAGCCGATTGGAGAGAGCTCAAATCAATCCCCGGTGCAGCCGACGAGGCAGATGCTCTGACCACAAAGTTACCGCCTCGTCTTAGCCCATCCAGACTCGAAGTCACCGGATTGCAGTGCGCGAAAACGAGCGACGAGAACGATGCCGCCATTCCAGCATAAATCCCGAACTCGGTCGATCTCCGTTAGAGAATCATCAATAGCTGATAAGGCAGCAAATTGGGCCGTTCGCTGGCTTGTGTACCGTTGGCGCCTTCGTGTCCACCCCTTCAATTCTATCCTTGTGGTATTTGTTTTTTTAGCTTTTTTACTTATTAGGCCTATTATAAAGGCCCAATAAATAAATAAGCCCATTAAAGGTCTATTATGGGCTGTGTAGTTAATTTAAAATAACAGTAGGAAATTTAAATTTATTTACTTTTTCTATTTTGTCATTTTGTTATAAATACGTAGGCGTAGATACAAAAATGTTGCAAGTTCCGAGTACATTAGCACACATTTCAAAGGTCTCGAATAATTCCATACATACATATAAATAAATAGCGTGTGTGTTTAAATAAAATAAATAAATATAAATTGCAATCCCTGCAAATAATATAATAGGGTTGACTGAAAATTGAATATTGGTTTCAATATAAAAGGAAATAAATTTCACTTAAATTCCCAAACATGGCGAATAAATTGTGCCACATTCTTAGTACTGACGAATTTCGGCGCCGCCGCTACTCTAAATAATTTCGGCCATGTTTGGATGTAACAAACTATTGTCTTCCCATTATTTGGTTTTATTGAGGTTATTTCAGATTTTATTCAAACAGTAAAAAAAAATATTCGACAAGGGGTGGGATGACATTGAATCTGCTCTAATATAGTATAATTTAATTTATTTGTGGGTATGTGCGAGACAGACACTCCAGAAATGTCCCCAACATAACATTCATTCATCAAAATCTTGTCCAAATTGGCTTTCCTTTGCTTGTGTTATTATTATTATTATTTTCTATCATATCCAAATTCAATGTCCCAATTCATAATACTATATCTATATTATACTCCCCTGACTCCGCCCATTGTGTATAAATTTACTTATTCATTATATGTAAATTTCTTTTATAAAAATAATAATAATAATAATAATAACATTTTCTCCATCCATTATATATATATATTTATTTATTCATGTCAAATATATATTTTTATTTATAACAAAAATAAATAAATTATTTAATTTATATTTATTTACATATCACAGCCATTTACACACTCACTTTATCTAAAATTTTCTCTCATTTTATTTTTTTGTTTATATATTTTTATAAAATATTCATATTATGTGTAATAATCAATCAATATAATACATTATTTGTCTCGTGACAATGTATATGTATTTTATCATTTTCACGTATCCATGGCAAAGTATATTATCCCTCCGTCATGCAAATTTCTATCTACTTTCATTTTTTAATTGTCGTTGAAAAATATTCTCATTTTTTTTTAAATAAAAAATTATTATATTTTTATTTTATTTTTTTTACTATAAAAAGAAAAATAATCATTATTACTCACTTTTATTAAAACTCGTGTCCGGTCAAATGAGCACATATTTGCATAACAGAGGAAGTATTATTTTTATACAAAAAATAAATGTATATATAGAAGTATTTTCTTCATCCATCTTTAAGAATTATATTTATTTTTATATGTTGGTCTTTAAATATTATTATATCAAAATTTAGTACGAATGAAAAAAAAAATATTTTATTAGTATCTTGTAATATTAATATAGATATTTGTCCAAAAAAATATAAAAATATTTTTATTTTAAATACAATAACACAAAATATAAATATAATTTTTAGATGTGGAGAGATTGAGAATCATATTTATTAAAATATGCGTCCAATTTTAATGAATAGATATATACTTGTTTTTCAGATAAAATATTATATTCTCTCCGTTTTAGCTGTGGTGATCTCTTTTATTGTAGACAGCGTGAATTTAAAAATATATAATTAGTAGATAATTAAAAATATATTAATTAAAAATAATAATTATATAATAAAAATAATCTTAAATTAAAATTAAAATTAAAGTTAAAAAATATAAATTAAAAATTTTAAAATGACATTAAAATAAATAATTCTTTTTAAAAACGAAAAAATTACAGAATAAATAAAATAGAGAAAAAATAACGACATAAGTAAAACGGAGGGAGTAATGAACAATCAATTTATTTAAAAAAAAAAATTACAAACAAAAGAAAAACACATACCGAGAAAAATAGTACTCAGAAATATTGCACAGTATTTTAAAAATCAAATCTTTTCCCATGTGGGTGAAAATATGATGTTGTAATTAATATAAGTGTAAAATAATTGGAGTGGGAAATGGACAAAAATTGCAATCCCAAAGTGCATGGGAAGTGATTTAATTTGATTGATTTAAATAATGAATGAACAAGGTGGGGTTCGGTTGATGTTCATGTGAAAAGACAAATGAAATGAATTTAATTGAAATGAATATTATTAATTTAAAAAAAAAAAAAAAATCAGAATTGCTTTGCTGTCCTCTTATCTTTAATACATATATAATTATTTTTCAATAGTAAAATTGTGTATATATATAATGATGTATAAATTATTTAAATAAGTTAAAAAATTCTATTAATTTTTCAAACAAGATTAATACGAAATTTAATATATATTTGTTACGTACAAAAATAATAATAATAATAATAATAATAATAATAATAATAATAATAATAATAATAATAATAATAATAATAGTAGCATGATTTTAAATGAAATCAGGACACGAAGTCGGGCTGAAAATGAAAAAATATGCACTCAGGTCGGTTGGTCCGCGGTCGGTTGGTCCGCAGTCGGATAAGCAAGTCGGATTGGTCCGCAATCGGATAAGCAGGTCGGATGGTCCGCAGTCAGATAAGCAGGTCGGATGATCCGCAGTCGGATAAGTAGGTCGGGTGGTCCGCAATCGGTTGAATCGGACGACACGGAGGTCGGACCAAGTGAGGTCGGACGAAGAAGAATGAGATGGACGATACGAGGTCGGACAAGAGACCAAATAGTTGTCGCTTGATGGTGCGGCCAATGAGTCGTTTGGTCTAGCGATCAATTAGTCTCTGGAATGGTCGATGGGTCATCGTTGTAAGCGTTCGGGTCAGTCGATCGGCTTGCGGTCTGTCTGAAGCATGTTGGGCGTTTTGGAGCATTCATTCGGGACTAACCGTCCATTTAAAGAAGTAAAGCGCCCAGAGGCGGTCGATCGGGCCAGTTGAGTTTTGGAACAGGTATAAGCGTTTGACGAGACGATTAAAGACAGTGTCAATGAAGGAGGAATTAGCGGGCGGTTGCTGTAACCAACCAGACGACGGTTCTGAAACGTTTTCTTGAAGGAATATTTAAGGATTTAGATTTTTTATCTTCAATCATCTTCAATCGATATCAAATTCAAGAGAATTGCCTTTGGAAATCACCACTTTATTTTTCAATCTGTAGCTTTATTTTTCGATTTTATTTATATATCCTACAGTATTTAGAAATTTCTAATCTCATGTACTAATTATATTAAATTCGAAGATAATTTCTTATTTTCGAATTTTATTTTTTTATTATTGAAAAATTGCATCAACAATATTTTTTTAAAATATATCTTAATACTTAGTAAAATTCAAAATATAATCTAACTAACTTGAGTTTGGGCAGGAAGTGATGTAGCCAGATCCATCCTATGAGTCAAAATAAGATGCTGCATCCCTAATTGAGATAGAGTCGAAAATAGAATTTGTACACTTTTAATAGAGTTAAAGTTGAAAACAAAATTAACTTGCTCACAATAGAGTTAGAGTCAGAAACGAGACCTCCTAATTCTTAAAGAGCTAGAGTCGAAAATATAATTTGTGTATTCATAGTGGAGCTAGAGTTAAAAATAAGACCCTCTTATTTGAACTTTAAAATCAAAAACAGAATTTGCTCCCTCATACTTCCTCCGTCATTAAAATCAATGTTCACTTTTCTTTTTGGGTTGTCATCGAAAAATATTTTCATTTCTTTTTTTAAGTAAAAAATCATTTCATTTTTATACTTTTTTTACTATAAAATAATTATTATTATTATTCACTTTTATTAAAATTCGTGCTCGATCAAATGATCACGCATTTGAATGACGGAGGGAGTATAAAGTAATAATTTTACACAAATATTAATTTTGAATTATGGATACAATTATCAGTGGCTACCATAAAAACTGCATTCATTTAAAATTATATATATATAATTTTTTTTATGAGGTGGAATTATCGTTATTCGAAAATACGATAAATTTTCTATTGAATACAATACCTGCAACATCAATTAAATTTAATAAAATCTATTAATTAAAAATGATTTAAATTAATCAATTATAATTAATAATAGTAATTACAGTTATAAATTAAAGATGTTTTTATTTTTAATTTTTTTATTAAAACATACTAAAGTAGTAAAAAATATGTTGTTTATCCATATTTTTTTTAGACAAAATTTTAATGTATATATATATTATACTTCTGCAATAATTGATAATTAATAAAAATATTATTTTTTATATTATTAATGCAATTTTTTAATAGTTTTATAAAAATAGAAATAAAAATAAAAATTCTCTAGACAGACAAACCCACCGTAAAGAGTATTAAACAAGGAGAAAAAAATAAAAAAACATGGGGATGGAGGGTGCAGTAGTGTGAGGAAGTAGAGCGAGTGACACAACAAGGGCGGGAGTGGGAGCACGTGACCGGGGCGTGGTAGAAGTCAATTCATACTCAGATTCTGACAAGAGATTTTGACATGAGGACACTTTGTCGTACGATTTGTCGTTTGACTTTGACCCAATCCTATCATTTATTTATTTATATTACTATTGTTATGCAATTTTTTTTATTTTTACAATTTAATTAATTTTTTCGTTTCATTTTAATTATCATATATAAATACAAAAGAACTAAAACTTCAACCATCTATTTTGTTATTATTTACTCCCTCCGTTCCACATAATTTGTCCTTATTTTTTAATTCCGTTCGTCCCACATAACTTTTTTTTTTATTTTTGAAAATATAATTATGTTTAATCGGATTTTAAATTTTAAATTTTAAATTTTATAATTTTCTTAATTTTAATTAAACTATTTACTTATCTTAATCTTAATCTATAATTATTTTTATTAATATACTTTATCTAAATTGTCG